TAATATTTGTTCTTGGTTGCTCGTTACTGTCTAAAATCACCGATCCGAAGAACGCTGGGTTATTTCAAGGTATATCGCTTGCGACCGTTCATTCTTCAATCGTCATTAGTCGAATATTAGCAAGCTTTGTCTTTACACAAACTGGAATGGTGTATTTCAGTGTTTGTCTTGTTGTTTTGTGGCTCTTTGGTGCTGTATGGTATGTTTTTGCGTTTGAAAACTCAAGCAAAAATGCGCATGCCACGTTGATCCTTTAAGATTCTTAATTACCAAATCGATGGAGGACCTGGTTTTCTATGCACATTCGTAACTGTTTTGCAAGGAAATGTGAACTAAATGAAATTTGAAAACCTCTCTTGGTTTTCCCGGAAACAATTCGTCACTCCTTCAAAAGACATTTTTATTTGGAAAATGTTTGACATTTTTAACATTAGAGCACTTTTTTAGTTAGTCGATGCAACCCATGTCAAATTACAGACCCATGAATGATAGACAACTCATGGTTTGGACACAAGAGTTTTAAGCGCACAACGACTGAATTTAAGACATGGACTTTTGTAGCTGATGATGCAAAGTCGTTTATGATGAATATATGGACGACGCGAGGAACTCAAAGTTTCAACATTAGATCATTTTTCATGAATGAAAAGCACAAAAAGGAAGTATGTTTGACAATAATTTTTCGCCACTGCAATCTGTTGATAAAGAATAAAATAGCATTTGTAATGTTCTGATAAATCATTAAACGGATGAGTAATCACAAAAATCAAAGTATAGCTGCAAGAAAAATCTCGTCATTGATGCTTAGGAGACGCCGGTTTTCTGCCAAGTTGTCTAAAAGCAAGCTCCCTCCTGTTTTCCCAGAAAGTGACCAATCGCCTTAGAAAACATTGCACAGACATAGCAAATCAAATAGTCGTTACAACGTCAATATGAGTGAAAAACAAAGATCGTTTTACTTGCATTTTCATACATTGATTATTGTCAAGTGACGTCATATAGAAAGCTGATCGATGACATTTTGTCGCTGGATTTATCTCATACAATCAATTGTGTGAACTTTTCATAGTTTTCTTATTCGGTTTATGTTTTTCAGTAACAGTGAATGCAGCTCAAAGACTTAACTTTTTAAACAAATCAGTGATATGAATGCAGACTAGCTTGAAATATCATCCCAACTGCCGAAAATGCTACATTCAGTTTTTTTGGTAATTCCAACAGAAAGATTTAAAAACTCTCAATAAAAGTACATTTTCTATGATGAAAATAACGAGAGATAGAACGATCTCTTTACGTAGACGGCTTTTGTATTTCTGGCATTTGTGAATCGTGTAACATTACTTAGCAAATTTTAGTAAACAAGTGCCTTGAATATTAATACAGCAATGTGCTGTTCGTCCCTATTCATTATGGTTGCATCTAATTTAAGCTGTCTGTGTTGATTACTTTCATACTACACTATCGGGTCTTCGAGTTAGATAGCCCTTCAAAGTAATTTTATAGGTTGTTATTGTCAATTTACTTTGACTGTGCCATGATGTGTGAGAGTAATACAGTCAACTTTATCATAGTAGATTATTTTTTTCGATAGCGCATGCTTTGTTGCAGTATTGTAACATGAGATTTTACGTGTGAGATACGCCAGCTTGCTGCGAATGTCTATTCCAAAAGCATAATCAATTGCATCGATATCTTTTTATTATTGTTTCTCCTGTTGTTTTATGTTGTCACAGTCGTAAACAAAAACACTTCGTGACAGAACATGGCGCTTTGTAAAGGCCGAACTACTCTCATCACTTTTCTCGTACGGGTTGAAGAATACTTGAAATATAAAAACTCTTTCTAAATTTGCGCTCGTCAGCGTCATTATAAGTGCGCTCCATTCATATTTCCATTAATTACGCACATTCCGTTCTATGGAAATTAGACCAGAGGTCAATCCTTCATCATTTCCTGACTAAATATTGCGCGTCGGGAGTGCCTGCATAACCGCATGAAGAACTGGCTATACCTTCAATAAACGTCGTTGAACCTCGAAAGATTACTCTACCAAGTCAACATAAAGAGCTGATCATGTTTGCGCTACGGGTATTGCGCAGGCTCGTCGCAATTTATTCCATTGAAGCGCTTGCGTCGATTACGTGTGCCGAATCCCATTTGAAAAGTGGTAAAAACATTTGAAACATTTCATGCAAGTTGTAAATTAAACAGTAAGTGATTACATTATACGATGTCTTACGTTTCATCTTTTTCCTTTGAATTCTGTTGTTGATTGCGCATTGCTTGATGGTGTAAGTCATCTCTGTTTATATCTGAGCACCTGACATATCTTTCAATGCGGAAATGTAACAACAAAGCGAAGTTTGCTTAATATACTTTTCAAGTTTTTTAAAGGTCAGCAAATTTTTCATGTAAAACAGTGCAGTTTGAGTTTCGTTCATTAAATGTCTCCAGTTGATGTGAGAACACCAGAAAACAGTTTATAAAACAAGGCTTGTTTTATACACATTGTTTCGTTGTGTAAATTAATTTTGACCAAATAGACAAACCGTTTAATCTACTCCTAATTCACTGCTCAATAGACCTTTTCAAGGTTATCGCAACCATATTGCAGGGGGTGCAAAAACATTGGGCCGAGCGCGCGGTCACGCATGGCGTCCATATAAATTACTAATAAATGCGTAAAAATTACCCTGATACATATTGGCCATTTCTTTCAAAAATATTTCTCAAACTTGTCCATTTGAATAGTTAAATTATTATTTGCGATTTTTTATACACGTGAGTCCAATTTTGTGGTAATCAAAAAGCGGAAAGTTAAAGAAAACATTTGTTTTCTTTGAACAACTTGACCGTCGTTTGAGCGATGTTCTTGAGTTCGTAACACACGCACATGTCTACAGCAAAGTCAGCAAGTATCACGAGGAACTATTCTACGGCAAACTCCTATTAGTATTTCCAATTATTTGTAAAGTGACATTGCTATTTTTATTATTATGTATGGCGACTTAACAGCCAGAAGAAGAAACAGCCAAGTATTCAAATGCACACTTAAAACTGTTAGTCGATGGCAGGCCGGTGTGAAACCTTACATCATACTCTCTCGTCAACTGTTCAAATTCCAAATGGACAAGGAGTAAAGATGCCTCAGATTTTGCTGGATTTCCATAAAAACTTGAATCAGAATACTCGGTGTCATAGGATTGATGAGGACGCTTTGATGTCGTCCATGTTTCTCCTCCTTTACGTTTAAGCGGAGTCCTCGATTGCTCGTAATAAAAACCGAAGGATAATCCGTTCCGCGGTTATTTGGGATTCTTCTTACCAAGGGAAAATAATTTGAGCAAACTAAAGTACCTTGTGCACCAGGCTTTGGGTTAAAGTCATCGGATCTGCTGTTGGCAATTTGTTTTCGCCAAATTTCAGCAAGTGCTTGATCTTTGGGCCACTAATGAAAAACTGAATTTTCTACGTGAGACCTCTTAACTTAATAATAGAGATAGCGTTTATCATTATCGCAATATCCAACTGCACAAAGCGCATTTTTTACCATTTCGGCTATGACTGCTCACGGCTACTCGGCTAGTTTAGGTTTTAGTTTGACTTGGCTTATGAGATCCGCACATTTGCGAACTCAAGAACATATCGCTCAAACGACGGTCAAGTTGTTCAAAAAAAACAAATGTTTTCTTTAACTTTCCGCTTTTTGATTACCACAAAATTACCACAAAAGCTAATAAGATAGAAGTTTAATTTCTATAAACAGCTGTCATATTGAACGTGTGCGTTTTTTTCCCACACACACAGTGAAGAATAAAAGTGCATGTTAAGACAAGTTTACAATTATACCTAAGCATTTTCCTCTTGCTGATGATGCTTTACTTGACGATAGAAATGTTCTTGTAAACTACGGTTCTTGTGCTCACGACAATTGCAAACAGCACAACCTTTGTACATCATTCACCAGCAATACTTCGAAAACGAGCATAAAGTGGAAATGGTTTTTAACTAATCGCATGCATGCTTGCAGGCATTCAAAAGTTTTGTTTACAACCAATCAGATGTCTTGAATTTATGTCTGGCAAGAATCATGAACATGCACAATGGGTCACGTCTGCAATTAGATTACCTTTTTCTTTATTTTTGTGATACTTATACGTCTACTTTGTCTAGTTTTAAGTCCACTTTCATGTCTACTTTCATATCTATTTTTTTCTATACGCATATGTTTAGCTACGTTTTTGCTTTCCTTCATGTCTATCTCTGCATGCAATTTTCGCTTACTTTTTCGTCTACCCTTTAGTCTACTATTTTGTCTACATTTGTGTCTACGATCTTGTCTATTTGTCCACCTATATGTCTTCTTTTTTTTACCTTTTTGTCTTTATTTTTCTTTTATGTTCACCTTTATGTCTACATTAATGTCTGCTTTTTATGCCCATCTTTATGTGTGTAGACAAAATTTTAATTTTGTGATACCTTTATTTCTAACTTTATGTCTACCTTAGTGTCTACCTTTATGTCTACCTTCATATCTACCTTCATATCTACCTTTCTCTTTATCTTTATATCTACCTTTTTTGTATCTTTGTGTTTACTTTTATATCTACTGTATCTGTCTTTGTGCGTACTTTTTGTTTATCTTTATGTCTACATTCTTGTCTCTTAATGTCTTTATTCTTGTCTACATGATATCTTTATGTCTACATTTATGTCTAACATAGCCGCCTTCTTGTCTAATTTTTTGATACTTTTCTTTCTTTCTTTGGGCGTATACTTTTGTCTACGTTTGTGTAGACCTTTGTGTTTACTTTTATTGTCTACTTTTATGCCTACCTTTTTGTCCACCTTAGTGATACCTATATGCGTACTGTCTCTACCTTAAGTCTGTCTTTGTGTCGGCTTTTGTGTTTTCTATTTGTTTACTTTTTTGTTTACCTTTTTGTCTATCTTATATCTATATACATTGAATTTAAATTTTAGTACGGTAAGGCAAACGGTAAAGTCTGAATGGCGTATTGAGAGGTCATTGTGAAAGAACACGTTATTCAGTGCGCATGCGTTACCTTCATACTTGAATAAAACCGAACTTTGGGATCAAAATTACGTGGAATAGCCAGTCAAATGACATCATTCACCATAAGAACGTTCTTTCCAATTGGTATAGCAAACATTCAAAACTCCAAAGGCTACTCATGCTTGAAATGTATATTAAAACATCTCAAGCTTTATAAGTGCATCAACGGTAATTCTACTTCATCATTGGTCAGTTCACTAAGAAGTCACGTGATAAAGAGCGAGGGAAATCAGAGCGCTCAGTCCGTGTGTTTGGTTTGCAAAAAAAAAATTCTGTCAAAAAATGGCTGGAACTGAAAAAATACTAATATCGCTCTCTCAGAAGAGGAAGACGAATCTTCAATGAATGTGAACAATGAAATACTCTCTGGTATTTCTCTGCTGAATGCAAATAAGATTGATGTATGCGAATCGCTTTCTACGGCAGAACCTGTCAGAAAAAGACAACTAGCAGTAGACGATGATGAATTGACTAGTCAAAAATGTGGTCAAGAAGCAGATGCCGATGAACTGCTGTACCAGCTGACGAATAAACGATGAAAAGTTGTTAATAACGACAACAACGAAGGGAACGTCTCTGAACATATCGATCAACCCGAAGACTCTCTGCAAGAGGAAATTGCACAGGCTATCATGAACGACGATGAAAAAGCTGCTGCAGAATTCTCAGAACAATTGGTCAAATTTATAAATTCTCGTTGATTGACTAAGCTGGAATTTTGCGAGAAACTTGATTCTTCACTTACGTCCGGTTAACTGCGAACGATTCATCACCACCAAAGTGAACCCAGAAATCCGGGTATTTATTTATTACTGAACACTTAAACCGTTTTTTAGTACTGTTCGATTTACACTACAAGCTGCAGTTAATGAAAGATGTACAACGTTGAAACTTAAGTACATTAACGTAACTCTATATTGCGAAATGCGTAACTTCCGAAATGTTTAACAGTCCGACAGAAAATCTCGTGTCGAATATCTGTAATATTCAAACACATGACATTAAAATCCGTAGTTTTGAGGTGCTTGCATCAACTATGGCCATTTAAATTTCCGACCACCATCCAAAATTTTCCGACAGACACATATCCAAGCGTGGCCTCCCAACCCCACCTTTAGTTACGATACTCTTGACTGGTCAGAAAAGTGAGGGAGGACAAAGCCACTGGTCTGATTGTTGTTCCATTTTGACCCACAAAAATTTTGTGGCCCTCCTTATTGAACATGCTTATGCAATATCCAGTGCTTTTACCAAAGGCAACAGAACACATTGATTCTGCACAGCGATCCACAAGCAAGACACCCATTGATTAACAAACTGGATTTATTATGTTGCCACTTGTCAGGAGTCACCTCCTCAACCGATTAATTTCTGAAGGGGCTACAGGGATTATCTTAGCGTCATGGCGCCACGGCACACAAAAACAATATCGCACATACTTACAACGATTGGAAAAGTTCTGCTGTTGGAGGAAAATAATCCAGTTTGTGCAACTTTGGAATGGCATTAAATTCCTTTTAACTGAATGTCAACGAGGTTTATCACACAGTGCTTTAAATACCATTAGAATTCCAATTCCTACAGTCAGTTTTCCTCATGATCAATCATTTGGCAGCCATCCATTAGATTCAAGATATCTAAGAGGTGTTTTTTAACTCCGACCTTCTCTTCTAAAACATCGAATGACATGGAATGTTTTTGCTGTATTAAACTATTTAGGAACAATGGGCCCAACAATGCACTCACATTAAGTGGAATGCAACAATTGAATGACGAAATTTTACGCTTGAGGTTAATAAGATATTAAAGATCTCTAAATCTGGAAAGCATATTCAACCATTAGTTTTTAAAACATACTCAGCTGATGAAGAATACTTACTTATGACAAACCTGGTGAGAGACAGTAATGAGAAACTTCGGCTTAGTTTCAACAAACCATACAAACCTGTAAAGAAAAACACTGTCGCACGATGGCTTGAACTTGTTAGCTGTAATGAGGAATGCTGGAATTGATAAAACCTGTTTCAGTACACATAGCACTCGTTTTACATTTACATCTGCAGCAGCAGGTACAAATCGATGGATGGGCCAATGAAACTACTTTCAGTAGATTTTATAAGAAACGTATAGAACAAGATGAACAACCTGATTTTGAAAACGTTTGTTATCTTCTCGGATTATGAAAAAGTATATATCCCACATTATTATTGTATGAGCTGATTCATTCCTTTCAAAAATCCGAAAAGTGAATGCTCTATATCTCGCGCTTTATCGCACGTGACTTCTTTGTTCCTGACTACTGACTCGTGGAATTCAAATCAAACTTCACCTTAAAGGCATACACGTGAGCCTTGTTTAAATTATAAATTATCCGTCACGGAGTCACAGGCTATGTGAAGATATGGAATGAATATATTCTGAGAAGTTTCTGGGCCATTTGTGTCACAGGTGTGCTAAGAGTTTTTTGCAACTTTTGGGTGAGCAAGATTATTGCAATAATATTATAGCTCACAATATCATTGCTAGTTAAAGCCATTGACTCGGAACGCTCAAAAATCAACAACAAAACATTGAACTTAAAATTCTTTTCATGCTTGCTCCTTTAGCAATTGTTACAACAATTTTGATAACAATTGCAGCCAGGTATGATAAGAATCGTTTACGAAGGTGTGATAAGATGGATTCGTTTACTGATTGCTTGAATGCGCAACATTACACATATAGTAAAATATGTGTATACAGTAAGCGAGTTGCGAATGACGTTCATGTGCTCTTCTCTTCTCTGACTTTTTGAGACGACACAGCTTTTCACTGCTGCTGTATGATTGCCGCATTGTTGCAACAAGATTTCAGCACACTGTAAAAATGATTGGTTAAAATAAACATATGATTGGTTAAAGTAAACATAAAAATATTGGTTGAAGTGGTTAAATGCATCTGAGGTAGCCAATTTTAATGGTTATTTTAACCAGTCAGTTTTTACAGTACATGATTGCTGGGCAGTGTGGCCACTGTGGAGCAGTAATCAGCACAGATCAACGTATTTTTATAATTAATTATTCATATAGGGTCACACTGTTGCTCGGGTGCGATATTGAAATGATTTAGATATTTGCTTGCGGTATCGTTGCCACATGAGTCTTGTATGTAAACATAATATAACTTATTATGTTATTCCTGATGGCGTTTGAATGCTCATACAGCCGGATGATTCAACCTTCAAAAGGTGAACTGGAACCAGAAACACTATAACATATGAGCTGTTTTTGTCATTCGGTTGTTTGAACATAGTAATTAAACTTGGTTGGTTTTAAGGTCATACTTCCTCTACTGCATATTGCCATGAAAGATTGTTTATCTACCTAGAGAATGTTTATCATTTTGGATACTACTATTGATTTTTCTCTAAAGAAAGCACACTCGCACTCGCTGCGACAGTAGTGTAGAATTTTAGTGAGAATGTTCGTTATTCCCAGATTTTGAAACAATTTGCAATTATCAGATTAAATATGGGTTTACTTGAACGCTTCCATAGAGGTGGAACAAAGTTCAGTCTACTATGTATGGTTTTTATTTTGATTGCGTATGCACCATGTTTCTGATGTAAGCACTATCTTAAGAGCACCTTATTTTTGTCTATTTAAACAAAAAATTCAGTGCAGTTGACACTTTGATAAAGTCTTGTCTGACCGTTTTGGTATTCGCTTTCACTCTTATGAATTACTTTAACAATTTGTTACAGGGATCTCTATACATTATGTTCAAAGCTGGATGGATGCACCTCTTCCCGATTGTGTTTGTTTTTGCTCGATCTTTCATAGACGGATGTGAAATATACTTCATATTACCGACAGCTTGGTATTACATGAAGTCATTAGGTCAAACAGAGAGATATTTGGCAGTCGTTTTAATCTCGTTCAATGTCGCTGCTGTTGTCATGACTCCGCTGTTTGGGCTCGTCGGTGATCGCCTTGGTCACGTGAAACTTTTGATCATTACTAGTTTTATGATGAAGGTTTTGGGTAATCTGTTCTATTGCATTAGAGAATTTCCCGTGTTTCCACTTCTAGGGCGAGTTTTGGCCGGAATGGGCGATGGTTCAAACGGTCTTCTATTCCGCTACATTGCGTTAAACACATCTAAAGATAAACGAGTTAAAATGTTTGTTCTTCTTGATGGTGCGTATTGCCTAGGGAGCTCATTTGGCCCTGCTATCGGGAGCGTCATAACCTTTAAGGCAACTTTCATGGGATTGAAAATCGATGCAGGAAATTCACCAGGCATTATTTTGTTCTGCATCTGGTCTGTTTTCCTGGTGTGGTCCTTCTTTTTGCCTGGCAATTTAGACGAGAAAGTGGTATCTGACCACGTTGATTCTTTCGCTTCGAGTGACAGTGCACAACACGACGATACAATCACGGAAAGTTACGTGGCACAAAATCGAGAAGTTACCAATAATGAATGGCAGCACTGCAACTCCAAGGTGATTTGCTTGTTTTACTTGATATTTTGCAGCGAGTTCTTTTCCAGTACGGCTTCTTTTTCAACACCACTTCTTGCCGAAGAAGTGTTAAAACTCAAACTTATTCATGTAAAATTATACTTCCTCAATAGCTCATTTCTGAACTTTGTTTTCTTTACTGCAACATACATCGCTTCGAATCGTTTCGATGAAAGGAGAATCGTCACGTTTTTTATAACGATTCAAATAATCGCCTTGTCGTTGCTGACATCACTTGCATTAACGTGGACCCATTTCTCGTACATTCAATATTATATTCTTTTGTTTTACGTAACGCTCGGCTCTCCACACATAATATTTGTTCTTGGTTGCTCGTTACTGTCTAAAATCACCGATCCGAAGAACGCTGGGTTATTTCAAGGTATATCGCTTGCGACCGTTCATTCTTCAATCGTCATTAGTCGAATATTAGCAAGCTTTGTCTTTACACAAACTGGAATGGTGTATTTCAGTGTTTGTCTTGTTGTTTTGTGGCTCTTTGGTGCTGTATGGTATGTTTTTGCGTTTGAAAACTCAAGCAAAAAAATGCGCATGCCACGTTGATCCTTTAAGATTCTTAATTACCAAATCGATGGAGGACCTGGTTTTCTATGCACATTCGTAACTGTTTTGCAAGGAAATGTGAACTAAATGAAATTTGAAAACCTCTCTTGGTTTTCCCGGAAACAATTCGTCACTCCTTCAAAAGACATTTTTATTTGGAAAATGTTTGACATTTTTAACATTAGAGCACTTTTTTAGTTAGTCGATGCAACCCATGTCAAATTACAGACCCATGAATGATAGACAACTCATGGTTTGGACACAAGAGTTTTAAGCGCACAACGACTGAATTTAAGACATGGACTTTTGTAGCTGATGATGCAAAGTCGTTTATGATGAATATATGGACGACGTGAGGAACTCAAAGTTTCAACATTAGATCATTTTTCATGAATGAAAAGCACAAAACGGAATTATGTTTGACAATTATTTTTCGTCACTGCAATCTGTTGATAAAGAATAAAATAGCATTAATTATGTTCTGACAAATCATTAAAAGAATGAGTAATCACAAAAATCAAAGTATAGCTGCATAAAAAACTCGTCACTGAAGCTTAGGAGTCGCCGGTTTTCTGCCAAGTTGTCTAAGAGCAAGCTCCCCCTGTTTCTCCAGAAAGTGACCAATCACCCTAGAAAACATCGCACAGACATAGCAAATCAAATAGTCGTTACAACGTCAATATGAGTGAAAAAAACAAACATCGTTTTTACTTGCATTTTCATACATTGATTATTGTCAAGTGACGTCATATAGAAAGCTGATCGATGACATTTTGTAGCTGGATTTATTTCATACAATCAATTGTGTGAACTTTTCATAGTTTTCTTATTTGGTTTATGTTTTTCAGTAACAGTGAATGCAGCTCAAAGACTTAACTTTTTAAACAAATCAATGATATGAATACAGACTAGCTTGAAATATCATCCCAACTTCCGAAAATGCTCCATTCAGTTTTTTTGGTAATCCCAACAGAAAGATTTAAGAACTCTCAATAAAAGTACATTTCCTATAATGAAAATAACGAGAGATAGAACGATCTCTTTAACGTAGACGGCTTTTGTATTTCTGGCATTTGTGAATCGTGTAACCTTACCTAGCAAATTTTAGTAAACACGTGCCTTCAATATTAATACAACAATGTGCTGTTCGTCCCTATTCATTATGGTTGCATCTAATTTATGCTGTCTGTGTTGATTACTTTCATACTACACTATCGGGTCTTGGAGTTAGACAGCCCTTCAGAGTAATTTTCTAGGTTGTTATTGTCAATTTACTTTGACTGTGCCATGATGTGTGAGAGTAATACAGTCAACTTTATCATAGTAGATTATTTTTCTCGATAGCGCATGCTTTGTTGCAGTATTGTAACATGAGATTTTACGTGTGAGATACGCCAGCTTGCTGCGAATGTCTATTCCAAAAGCATACTCAATTGCATCGATATCTTTTTATTATTGTTTCTCCTGTTGTTTTATGTTGTCACAGTCGTAAACAAAAACACTTCGTGACAGAACATGGCGCTTTGTAAAGGCCAACTACTCTCATCACTTTTCTCGTACGGGTTGAAGAATACTTGAAATATAAAAATTCTTCCTAAATTTGCGCTCGTCAGCGTCATTATAAGTGCGCTCCATTCATATTTCCATTAATTACGCACATTCCGTTCTATGGAAATTAGACCAGAGGTCAATCCTTCATCATTTCCTGACTAAATATTGCGCGTCGGGAGTGCCTGCATAACCGCATGAAGAACTGGCTATACCTTCAATAAACGTCGTTGAACCTCGAAAGATTTACTCTACCAAGTCAACATAAAGAGCTGATCATGTTTGCGCTATGGGTTTTGCGCAGCCTCGTCGCAATTTATTCCATTGAAGCGCTTGCGTCAATTACGTGTGCCGAATCCCATTTGAAAAGTGGTAAAAACGCATTTTTAACGCCGCTAATATCAAAGTTAACCTGTGAAACATTTCATGCAAGTTGTAAATTAAACAGTAAGTGATTACATTATGCAATGTTTTACGTTTCATCTTTTCCCCCTTTGAATTCTGTTGTTGATTGCGCATTGCTTGATGGTGTATAGTCATCTGTGTTTATATCTGAGCACCTGACATATCTTTCAATGCGGAAATGTAACAACAAAGTGAAGTTTGCTTAATATACTTTTCAAGTTTTTTTAAAGGTCAGCAAATTTTTCATATAAAACAGTGTAGTTTGAGTTTCGTTCATTAAATGTCTCCAAATGATATGAGAACACCAGAAAACAGTTTATAAAACAAGGCTTGTTTTATACACATTGTTTCGTTGTGTAAATTAATTTTGACCAAATAAACAAACCGTTTAATCTACTCCTAATTCATTACTCAATTCTTATTTGTTCAGCGTTAACAACCATTTATCATTAGCAAGTTTTCACCCTGTCTGGCTGAGTTTCGGAATATTAAGAATATTCGGGAGTTGTTATGCTGTAAAATAAAATAGTCCATTTCGATATCAATCTGGTGTAGTGTACCCATTATGATTTTAAAAACGCATCTTGAGATTATAATCTAAATCATCTTGAGTGATCGTTGTTGAAAATGGACTCCAGTCATGTTGGAGCGCCTCTTCAGTCTTCACACATGCAACCTCAATTTTTTCAAACGTTTCTTAGAATGATATTACCATAGGCTTGTGCGAAACATTTGTAAGTTCTCGAATTTCGAGGAGACCGAGACGACTAGCTAGGGACGACTGAAAACTGCAGTGACTCAGGCGATCATATCATATACAGCCCTCCCTAAGGCCAGATTATGAGCTTATATTGCGAAGCACTTAAAAATGTTTTTAACTGGAGCAAATAAAAATGATGTAAAAAATGCCATAAATAATACCATGAAAAAAAAATTGGCTTTATGTCTGATGCATGGCCAACAATACGCGGATATGAAATTAGTTTTACTCATTTCAGACGGCACACAGCATGACTGCGGGGTATGTGCCAATGATTCGAGTCGTCCCTCTTGGAAGTCATTAGTATACCCAAAAGGATCAGCCGAACAACATGTGGATATTGTCATCAATCTGGAACAGGTGCTTTGTGTACACTGAAACTTAAAGTGCCCCTTTCACCAAAAATTTTTTCACCAATATAAAATCTGTCTATGATTTTAAGTCTCTCTGAGGAAATATTTTCGAATTTGGTCAAATCAACAAGCTTCTATGGCGTCTTGAATTTTTGCATTTTTGGCCCATCGCCGTCTTTTCTACAATACAAAAGAAACTGGCACTAAAAGGTATTTTGACGTCATCCAAGGTAGTCGGCATTCTGGCATATTTAGCTTATATTAAACATACACGTTCTTTCACGCTGTTTTATTACAATATTCGAGAAAATTATGTCTTGCAAAGAAAGCTATAAATCGGTTCATTCAGATAAGACACAAATTCAATTTCCTCTTTTTTAAGCCTTGGAAAATTAGCGTTCTTTTGATTCGGCAAACTACTAAATTGACGCTTCAATCCTCTGGTCTGAAGTGAGCCGAACAAGGTGTTGAGCACTGGAAGGCTCAAATTCGCGCTTCGCTTAGCTTCGGACCTTTTATCATCATAAGGCATAGTCACAGTGTGAAGACTCATACGAGAGCTAAGGCTTGATTTATTCGTACAATTGGCTGCAAACCAACTATTTACCATTTTTCTGCTTTTACTAGTGCAAAGGTAATGCTTTTAGACGCTTGTAGACTATAGCTGTGCTTCTTCGTTACTGACTTGATAGCTATTGAATACACGACTCGTGTGACACGAGTACCTTGGATGACGTCAGAAAATTGGCTAGTTTCAGCCTCCTCATTATCACTGACATGGTCCACAAGAATATACGATTTTAGAGAATTTAACGCTTTACAAAAATCAAACGATTTTACCAAATTCAAAAACTTTCTCTCAAAGAGGTTTAAAATCATAGACAGATTTGATATTGCTAAAAAATTTTTTTGGTGCAAGGGGCACTTTAAACCCTAGATACCTAGTAACTTTTATTTCGTATGTTTAACACGGAGATTTCAAATCATTTCCTGCGGATATGACAGAATTCGATTTGCTCTTTTAGCTTCTGAGAAATGCTGTTTTAAACAGTTAAGGAACGGAAGTTAGTTTGGCAAGTCCAATTACTGTTTTATAATGTTTTCAAAACCACGAGGGACGAGTGCTATACGACGAGACCAGCAAATATTATTTCTAGAATGGAAATTCTCACCTGCGTTGGTGCCTCATTTCTTTATGATATAAATATTGGAAACTAAACAAGTAAACTTAACTCTGAAAGTGATTTGAAATCTCCGTGTCAAAGATATAGTACGCCATAAAAGTTATTTACATATGTATTGTACGGTATTCATTGTTAACCTTATGTCAAGCGAAGTGAACCGTGTAGTGCTCGTTCGATCCAAGTGATAATCTAGGCATTTTTACTCATTTTAGGCGACGTATCTCAACAAAATTACTCTGAACACTGCATTCACTCCTTTACCTTCATTTTGGGCAATTGAGAAATATTCAAGCGATGAAACTCGCTACAGAACCTTGGCAGTGTTTGTGTCCGATGTCTTTGAATCAGTTTGCGACGAAGGTTTTAATGAAACGTCTGAATACCAATGCATTGTACAGCAACCTATCAAGACTGGATCAAGTCATAAAGTAATGACTAAAGAACACATTTACTTTGCATCACCAATTGAATTTCGAATAAAAATTGTGTCAATTTATTCAAAATAATATTTCATAAAGTGACAATTGGTGCTTTATTTTAAGGTCGTGGTACCTTTCCTCTCTGGCAGAGTGAACATCAAGAAACTGCGTTTGAGATTTTTCAGGCTACCAAAGTCAAATACTCCTCATGAATTTGAGGTGAGTACGAACTACTTCTTTAATTTTGTAAAGTGAAAATTGACGCGAAATTTATTTTTGCTGTCGATGATCACTATGAAGACATATTGATCATCAATGACTACAATAATGGCTCCAATAATGGCTCCATAATAATGGAACAATAATGGCTTCTTGACAGTTCTTGTTACATCCTGGTGTAAGTACAAATAGTAGCTGGTCACCATGTGATAAGTTTCTGTGGTAGAGAAGGGCAAAAGGGGTGGGTGTCCATAACTTGAAATGAACATCCGCAGTAAACATCAGTGGTTTGGGTAAAGAAGGGCAAAAGGTGGGTGGCCATAACTTGAAATGAACATCCGCAGTAAACATCAGTGGTTTGGGTAGAGAAGGGCAAAAAGGGGGGTGGCCATAACTTGAAATGAACATCCGCAGTAAACATCAGTGGTTTGGGTAGAGAAGGGCAAAAAGGTGGGTGGCCATAACTTGAAATGAACATCCGAGTAAACATCAGTGGTTTGGGTAGAGAAGGGCAAAAAGGTGGGTGGCCATAACTTGAAATGAACATCCGCAGTAAACATCAGTGGTTTGGGTAGAGAGGGCAAAAGGTGGGTGGCCATAACTTGAAATGAACATCCGTAAACATCAGTGGTTTGGGTAGAGAAGGGCAAAAAGGGGGGTGGCCATAACTTGAAATGAACATCTGCAGTAAACATCAGTGGTTTGGGTAGAGAAGGGCAAAAAGGGGGGTGGCCATAACTTGAAATGAACATCTGCAGTAAACATCAGTGATGTGATGCTAGTATCTACACTAGCCAAGTTGCTATTATAGACAAAATCATAAAGAAGACTAGACCTTATTTGGGAATAAAATTAAAATAAACATAAATCGCCCAAGAGAAATCAAACCCTCTGATGTCCAGTTCGTTTTTACACCAAAAAATTTACATATAAAGCTAGTTTTCCGATTAGTTATTAGCGGATTAGGTCATGGGACCCAGGAAATTATTACTAAATGGTGAAGGCAGCATGATTTCTTGCGAGAAAATTCATATAACTAATGCAATGATTGATTTAGTATTAATATTGTGTTTTAGAGATTTTACTCAATTAAGGAGATCACTATTGAAGGTAAATGCACGTTGTTGAGCTTTAGTGTACGTAATTTCACATTTGTAGTCTGTTTTCCACTAGCAATAAGTTACGTTCTCCACGAGCTATTAGAATCCGTTCTCTGCAGCCTCAAAGCTTGTTTTGAACCAACGTTCTACTAAAGTATCTTCAAGAGCTTTACGTCACGTCACGTTTTTCACGATCGTTGCTTTGCGGTCTCCACAAGCCCTAAGTCAACCAGCTAATGAGAACTCTTCACGAGCTTTAAGTTAGGTTCTGTAAGAGCTATAATTTACGTTTTCCTCGAGGTATAAGTTACGTTCTCCACAAGTGATAAGTTACGTTCTCCACAAGTGATAAGTTACGTTCGCCAAGAGCTGTAAGTGGTCTTCGCGAGCCAACAAGTCGCTAAGTCACGGTCTCTATGACCAATGGCCTATAACCACAAGCTATAAATTACTTTCTCCACAAGCTATAAGTCTCGTTCTCTAAAAGCTACATATCCGGTCTCCTCAAGCTATAACTCACGTTCTCCTCGCTGCCCTGTTTTCTAGCTTTCCCACTTTCTTGAATAAATAGTGTTTTTGGTGTGAACATTGGAACGCTGCAATAAAGTACTGTGTTGTTTTCGCGTTCGTTGCATTGTTCAGATTAATACCTTGGAATTTTTCTTAGGATTTCAAGTCCATGGTGATCACAAGATTTCGTTACGATCGAAAAGACAAGGTAGGATAGTTATGGATATTAAGACTTGGTAGGATTTCTTTATGAGACAAGGTAGGATTATTTAATTATTATTCAGACAGGATAGGATTTCTTTATGGTGAAAGAGTCAAAGCAGAATTATATAGTGATCTTTGAGACAGGGTAGGAGTTCTTTATTATCCAAGAGACAAGGCCCAAGAATTTTTATTTTAGTATCCGCTCTTTAAATGAAAATTTCGACTAATGTGTTTTGTCACAAATTAAGTACAAATATTACAAAAGAGCCGAATCGATTTTTCATAGCAGGTATCTGGCGCTGTTGTACTTGACCTATATTTTTTACAACGTGACGTGTAGATTACAAACAAATGTTGCCAAACTTGCTCTCTTGCACAACAAACTGGGTACATCATTTTGCAAACTGCATTGACATTAGGTACAGGAAACTAGAAGGGCAAAACATAGGGGTCTGAATTTATTATCGCTATTAGTCGTGCGTGGTCAACAATCAGTTACTTTGCTTGGGCAATCTCAACCGCAATTGCCAATGTTGAATTTGGTGGGTTTTCAGCCATTTTAGCCGAACCTTGAGATCACTACATTATTTTTACTATTGCATTAGTTAACCACATGTTTGGCGAGCTATCTAAATGTTTTTCACGCTGCAAAAGCTCTACAAATTTCTTTTTAGCTTGTATTTGCTCGAGATACGGTACATCTGGCTTCGTTTGTAACCCTCTCAACGGTAACTGTCCATGCAAGAGAGGCTATAGTAGTAAACGGTGTACCAAGTGCTCCAAAGGGTACTACAATTATCCCAGATGTACCAGTAAGTCATAATAACTTTTCCTAAAGTTCAGAAATTCTGTGTGAATGCTTTGTTCTTCAGTCCTTTTTATACCACAGCATATTTCATGAAATGTGTCTTGTGGGACTAATGATGGTTTCAATTCTCTATTTTGAGGATGTGAATGCTCGACGCTTGGGGCTATCTCGCCAACGAGTTGCAGGCGCAGGGGAGGTCAGTGTCGTTGTAGACCATTAATCACTGGAAGAAAATGCGACAAGTGTCAAAAGGGTTATTACGGCTTTCCGAAGTGCAAATGTAAGTATTTACAGTAATCTCTAACTTTGTTCATAGTACTGTACTGTACTATCTCTAATCTTATACACAATACTGGACTGTACTATCTCTAATCTTGTACACAATACTGTACTTTACTGTCTCTAATCTTGTACACAATACTGTACTGTTCTATCCCTAATCTCGTACACAATACTGTACTGTACTATCCCTAATCTCGTACACAATACTGTCCTGTACTATCTCTAATCTTGTACACAATACTGTACTTTACTGTCTCTAATCTTGTACACAATACTGTACTTTACTGTCTCTAATCTCGTAGCTACATACGACTGAACTGCGCTATCTTTAATCTCGTTCATAAGACTGAACTGTTTTTCTCTAATCTGAGATTTCGTTCACAAGACTGAGCTGTTCTATCTCCCATATCGTACATGAGACTGAACGTTGCTATTTCTAATCTCCTAAAGTAGGCAACAATGTGTGATTTAAAGTAAATGGTTTGAATCCGGGAGTATCGTTACATGTTTGTAAATGTAGATCGTCCAGTTTAGTAGAGTCCTGAGAAGGACTGTTTTTGTTGTTGTTGACTGACGTTTCGACAACCTTAGCGGTAGTCATCTTCAGAGTCAAGTTTTGTCATTTGACTCTGAAGATGACTACCGCTAAGGTTGTCGAAACGTCAGTCAACATCAACAACAACAGTCCTTTTAAGGACTCTACTAACCTGGACGATCTACATCCACAAACATGTAATGTGTTATTTCTTATCTCCCAATGTGGACTGGGCTGTAACATCTCAAACTTTGTAGATACGTAAGACTGGATTGTGTTATCTCTTCATCTTGTTCTTATGTCTCATTCTAGCCAGTAGACTTTATATTAAAACCAAATCCATGTACAATTTATGTTCTTTGTAAAGTTTGTGCTCATTGCAACATGATAAAAATCATGCGTATTTTGTAATTCTCCAACTTCAGGGTGTAACTGCCATGTGAGACATACGACTTCTGAGGGATGTGATTCGACCGGAAAGTGCTTATGTAAAGAAAATTATGATGGCGTGGGGTGCGGCGAATGCAAGCTGGGATACGTCAATTATCCTACATGTACAAAACTAAGTAAGTGATTCCTTCTGATGTACGAATATGAATACTCAATTTCCTTTCAATACTACTTGAGATATCTCGTGTCATTTTGTGTTATTGCTTATTTTGTACATCGACCGTCCTCTTTGGTTTATTTTGAAAAGTTTAAAAAACCAAACTTAGACTATCAATTCTGTAGCTTTATATAAACGCAGACGAAGCAGATTCTAGTGGTAAATATCGTCAGTTGTGCCATTTTATTAAGAGGGCGGCTTGCCCAACTCGTATCTAGTAAATTGGGCTCTAGATCATTCAACTGTATGCATTGCTCCCATTGTATTTCAGCATGCACATGTCCCTTGGCTGGCTCTACGAAAATTGCATGTAACGCCGCTGGCCGCTGTGACTGTAAGGAGGGTTATATTGGCTGGAAGTGTGACCGCTGCAAGTCTGGTTTTTATGGTTATCCCAACTGCAAAGGTAAAGCTTGCTTTCATAAGAGATGACAAATATGTTCATATAAAAAGATGGATTCAGATGTGTCTGTGGGGAGGGTTGTTCTAGTATGGCGTTCTAGGTGTTAGCCTTGTCCCCATGTTGTTCCTCTGGGAATTGCTCACTGGCGCCGGCTGGGTTTTATTTTGGGGATAGAACAGCCCCAAAATGTCAATAACGTATTTGCGCACTTTTTTATATATTGACATTTTAAGTTACAAATATAAATACCTTAATATGAAAGATATTGCAGGGACAGTCGTCCCCTTCCCTCCTCTTGCTGACGCCTTTGTAATTGCTGTACATGTGACTTTCAGTCATGCGCATTACGTAGATAATATATAATACTTGTTCTAAAAGAATCTCTCTGTTGAGAATCGTAACGTTAAAATTAAATCCGATTTGTTGCTTTCTTCTAGATCGTAATTTTCTCGCTTTTTGATGACATTATGCGTTTGTTATCTTTATCCGATAAAAATTGTTTCGAAATTTGTTCCTACACGTATAGCCAACATATACTTTCGTTGTTCCTCGTTAACTTAAAGGTTTTCTTCGACCTGCATGAGAAAGGGTTTATCATTTGATGTCGATATATTTTTTTCTACTGTAGCCTGCGAATGTCACAACAAAGGTTCGTCGTCGTCTTCAAGATGTAACTACATCACCGGTCAATGCAGTTGTGTGCAAAATGTTGGAGGTCGAAAGTGCGATCGTTGCGTGTCAGGATACTTCGGATTTCCCCGCTGTCGGCCGTGTGTTTGTAATCCGATTGGTACTTTGACAAATATAACGAGGAATGTTTGCGCCTCTGGCAACGATGAGGTAAAATGTGTAGTACTCTCTCTTCGAGTACGCTACCAACAAGATAATAAATTAGCTATATCCACCCTGACGAAGACAAGCTCTTTGTTTGCTTTTGACAATATTAGCTATTGTGAAATCATCATTTGTAACGAGCAATATCTGAACTAATTATAAGAATTTTCATGGGCGTTACGTCGTCATTTGATTTGCAAGTTTGATAGTATCTTATACGTCATTTGATTTGCACCATAAACCGTTGCTTGTTGATTTCTCAAATCATGTTCGACATCAGTAAACAAAAATCTTTTCTGCTTTTGCTCGAACTGTTTGATTCGAACGTATCTGTTTTATTTTCTAAGTTAAAAAAGCGCAGTTCAGCACTATCTAGTCATGCGCCATGCTATAAACTTAAGCCATAAACCAATCTTACAGTTGAACGCTCTGGTTTTATTCATACTCAACATTTTCGATTGTACATGGTACTTTTATTTAGTTTTACACTTCAGGTTAAATTATACACTTTGGTGTATATAAAACACTTAAATTTTATTTGTACTCTGATCCAGTTTCAAACATGCAACTCCAGTTTCTGGTATACACCTCAGTTTCAATTACACACTCTAGTCTCTGATCCAGTTTCAAACATGCAACTCCAATTTCTGTTATACACCTCAGTTTCAATTACACACTCTAGTCTCTGATCCAGTTTCAAACATGCAACTCCAATTTCTGTTATACACCTCAGTTTCAATTACACACTCTAGTCTCTGATCCAGTTTCAAACATGCAACTCCAATTTCTGTTATACATCTCAGTTTCAATTACACACTCTAGTCTCTGATCCAGTTTCAAACATGCAATTCCAATTTCTGTTATACACCTCAGTTTCAATGACATAACTCTAGTTTGAACTATATGCTCCCGTGTTAATATTCTCCAATTTTATGTACTCCAGTTTCAATGTGTTTGCAAGAAAAACGTTGGAGGTGAAACATGCAACCGATGCAAGGATCTCTACTACGATTTCTCTCCACGTAACAGGCTTGGCTGTAGGTCATGCGGGTGCTTTAAGAGCGCCACGATTGGTGGCCTTGAATCATGTGATGACAGACTTGGAAAATGCTCGTGCAAGCCATTCATGCAGGGAACAAAATGCTACGAATGCAAGCGAGGTTATCACTCGTTTCAGTCGTTAAATATCTTTGGATGTCAAGGTAGCTAACAACTTGAACAATACGTACGTGATGTTGAATTCTCGTATTCTTATTCAATTGTTTCTTGACTTCTTCAGGAGTAATCTGATGTTAAAACTTATGTAATCCAGTCTAGTGTCTTCATCAAGAGTAATCTAATATTGAAACTTGAGTTCTTATATACTCCAGTCTATTGTCTTTATATATAAGGAGTGATCTGATGTTGAAACTTGAGTTTTTATATACTCCAGTCTATTGTCTTTATCTGGAGTGATCTGATGTTGAAACTTGAGTCTTTATTTACCTCAGTTTACTCCCGATAAAGACACATAGCCAGGATTGTATAAGTTCTTTAATACTTCAGTCGGTATTTAAATAATAAGTTATCAGTTGTAAAATATCTGTCACTTTGAAGTACCCTTGTTCTAAGTCTAATTTACTCACAAAGTTAAATGAAGATATGATCTTCGCACACCGCACTGCATAAAACTCTTTCATATACATTACTCAAGAAGTTTTAGTTTGGATTTTTTATTTCAACTCACTACATCGCACTTTTCTTGCTTCACGCCCAAGATGAATCTCATTATAATATAGATTCACGTGACCTCTTTACAACAAAATTAATCTAACATAACGTTTCTTAACAATTTCTTTAACACTTCAGTCGGTATTTAAATAGTAAGTTATCAGTTGTAAAATATCTGTCACTTTGAAATGATTTTTTAGTGAAACTTTACCTGTTATAACCTGGAATTACTAGTAGCATAAGTGATATGTTGCAACATTTAAGTATACAAAAATATGTTTCAGCATGTCAATGCAATCCTGGTGGATCATTGTATGGAAACTGTGACAAACGGAATGGCAAGTGTCGATGTCGTCAGCACATCACTGGTGAACAATGCGACAGGTATTATGAACCAATTTTTTTTACGCGCGATGTGCCTCAGCCACGGTTGTTAATGGGATTCGGCTCTTATTATTTGTTAGTTACGTTATAATCAATTAATTTCACTGATATGATTAAGCTTAATTATTCTTGATCAGTTGTGAATAAGTTAGTTATTATTAATTGGTCATTGATTAGCTTGCTAAATTATTTATTTAGTAAGAAAAATGTTTAGGATATTTGAAGAAGATCGTCCAAGGGTGCAGTTAAATTACCTTTTGATTATTACATGACGTATTCCTATTCCTAGGTTGGAGAGTCGAACTGTATACTTCCCTTCCTTGCATCACATAAAGTTTGAAGTGGAGAATGGCATTGCTTCAAATGGTAAACCTGTGAAGTATGAATTTGATTCTAATATTTTCCCTTCGTATTCGTGGAAAGGATACGTGAAATTTTCACCGGAACAGGTAAGCGTGATATGGTGTCAAGGTATTGGTGGTTCTCCAATGTTGATTTCACAAGAGAAAATTTCGACAAAGTTTACAAAATATTGATCTGATGAGTCTAATGTAATTCGATCTTATACCTTCCCCATAAGTAGTTTCTTTTACTAAGAAATCGATTTTGTCAAAATTATTACGCAAATTTCGAGTTTATATCGAATGAACGATTTGAATTCTAAAGATCACACAGAATTATTTACTTTACTACAGCGACAACAGGTAACCAGCGCTAGGTACAACAGCGTCCAAAGTATCAACATCAAAACAGTATTAGTTATGGTTTGCCTCCAATTAGGAGCACTTATCGTTTCGTGTGTAGTGTTTTAGTAAAAGATCTTTTCATCTCAAGCTAGTGTTGCTTTACGATTGTTCATAGTGCTGTCAGTATTTGACCCCATAAAATCTCCTAAGTTACAAAGTGGTTTATAGACATTTGCTTTTAAGATACATGCACGCTTAGCGTTTCTATTTTATTATTTTTCAGTCTGGTGTCGTGCTCACGGTTCAAATTCCTCGGCGTAGTCTTTATCGCATCCTATTTCGTTGTATATTCGAACCCGTTGGCTATCCATGGACGACTGACGTCAGATTTACTGTCAGTCCGACTGAAGGTTAGAGTTCAGACGTTCGTTTGCATCAAATTAATTTGTCGTCAACAAATCTGTGTACGACAAAATTTGCGATCTTTAAGTAAAAAGCAAATGTCAATTATGATCTCTATTTGCCAACTTAATCCTAAACTACTGTTCTGTTTATTTTGTCAACCCCAGGCGTTGCAGGCTTCGCTCGAAGCTTCTCCATGACGATGTCCTCGACAAGAAACGAGAACAGAGAACGCAGTGCTTTACTTTCTGTGTCAAAGAGCAATGTACCGTACGAGGTACTCATGTTTAAAGGAGCCTGGAAGCTGACCATTTTCTGCGAAAGCAAGTACTTTTACATGGTAAGTGCTGCTATCGGTGACCACGGTTTTTTTGCGGTTCTTGGTGGTGTATTTGAGCATTTAAAAAAAACATGTTCGTATGAATTGTTTTGCAGCCAAAACTTTGCACAAATAAAATATCGATGCAAAAAGTTTGGATTCGTAACAATCTAAATGCAAATATGGAACCGAGTCAAATTTTGTAGGATTGAGTCCAATTTTGACGTCATGTATACAACACAAGCCATTATCAAAGCATACAACTCTTTATAGGTTTTGGTGCGAAATACTTTGAACATTGATTTTTTCATTAATTGAGCTTTATTTGTGAAAGTTTTTGTCTGTATCTGGAGCGTGCAATTTAATGTATATGAATGATTTTTAAAAAAAATCTCACACAGTACAGATGAGAACTGATCTGAGTGGTGTCAACCTGTTCATTATTTTTTTTCGGTGATTGTTATTTAATGATTTAACTATAGTTAAAGATTATTATGATGCACATATAATCACATATACTCACAATACACCGCTCAGGCTTCGTTCAGTCAAAATAGATGATAATAGTCATCATCGACGCCAAAGATCAGTTTAATCTATAAGCAAGCTTGTCTATCCGATGCAAACCGGTAAATAAAGCAAGAGGAGGAACCATTAAACATTGAATATACTATAATGCCCGTGAGCAGTTCTTTTTTTATCGAGTGTAAAATCACGCCGAGCTTCTCTACCAGTCTTGTCATCTTTTAATTTTTATATTGCGTATCACTCAGCTGCTTCACGCAAAAACGACCGATGACTCGCTGTTAAAGAACTTCTTCTTTTGACAAGAGACTTGATAGCTTAGGCTCAGTAGAAGTCAATGTTTACATGCTGTATGAAATTTAATTGCTTTTGTTTAGGATAGCGTTGTTTTTCTACCAGAAGAATACTACACCGGGCGAATATTGAAAACAGAGCGTTTCGAACCGTGTGCTGTCAACAGTTCGAGAGACAGGATTTGTGATATGTATAGTTATCCGGAAGTTTCCGATAAAAATGCAGTGAAACATGAAGCCGAAAATGGTTATTTTGCGAAAGAGGCCTGGGGACAAACCGATAAACTGGGCTTGAAGTATTACAGCAGTACCAAAGTGTTGAACGAAGTGCGTGGCAATCGGCTGGTTTTAATGAATCATGAGCAGGTAAAAAGACGAATAAAGACATAAATGACATAATATAGACCAAGACAAATGAAGACATGAATAACGTAAAAATAAGAACAAGGCAAGTAAAGACATGAATTACGTAAGAAGAACAAGACAAGTGAAGACATGAATGACATAAGAATGAAAACAAGACAACTTAACACATGAATGACATGAGAATTAGAATTAGACAAACGAGGACATGATTGCTGATGTAATATTTACCGATTTTGCTACATTTCAGCATCGTTTCTCCATTGACATTACAATCCCATCATCTGGTTTCTACGCCTTCATCATTCATTACATTAGTAATGGGAACAGTCATCACAAGATTGATATTTACATTCATCGTGACTTTGGCGCCATATATATTGTTCCTTGTAAATACCGCTTTGGTTGTCGTCAAGTTGCAATGAAAGCCGACGCTAAGGTCGTGAAATTCTTTGATCTCGATAAAGGGCGAACTCCAGTTAAGCTGTTTACATCAAGAGAGGCGCATGTTGCTGTCGTATGTACTTTCAAATTAATGTCATCATTAGTTGAAGGGAAACAGGGCCCCCAAAATTCTTTTCTTATTTTGCTATCATACAAATCGTACTTAATTAACTGACGAAATTAACCCATATGTATAATAACAATTTCCCAAGGGCAAAATTTTATAGCCTTACAAGTAATTTTGTTGTTATTTTACCTATCACATGTGGGTGATGTAGACCTGGTTACACAGCACTTTAGTCCTCTCTAGAAGTGCAGGCCTGTTTATTCAAAACGAATCCCTTTCTTTTTGTTTCCCACCACATATTTTTGGTAGAAAATTTTTATTATTTGAAATGAAGATTTGTTTCAAGATGCAAGGAAAGGCTATAATTACGATGAGACGTATAAAAATATTTCTTTGTTGAATATTTTACTTTTCTACTCGGTGAAAATAACAGTTTTTTAAATGAATGAATAGTGATTGGCATTTGAATTATCTATAGCTGAACTGAAACCTCTAGGATGTTGACCGATTTGAATACTTCATACATTTTGTGGAGCATTTTCAGTTTTCAGCTATTGGTGACGTTTCATTATGTTAACTATGATGTTTCATATGTTTTAGGATTACGTATCAGCAATACCGAGAAGCTCGTGGCATCCAGGCTACATCAAACCTGCTTTCTTATGCCGATCTTTGCAACATCAATGTACTCAATCAACGTACGAAAGACCAACGACGTTTGAACAGCATCGAACGATGTCAAAATCTGTTGTACAAAGGGTAGGCAGTGTTTCTGGGAGCAGGGAAAAGGTTTATCAGTTTCAACAAAGTATTATCACATGTTATAGATATTTGATTGGAATATAAAAGTCTAAAAGCTTTAGTTTTGTGATGACCAGAGAATGTAAGGACTAAAGTTTCAACATAACATCATTCCATAGGAGCAAAGCTGCGGGAAAGTTGATTATTTGGGATTGGGGTCATATTGGTATATGCATGCTACTAACCGTAGAAAACAATACAATACAAAGAAACTTAATGCGGCATATCATGCATTTATGAATATGAGTCCCTTATTTGTCGATTGTTCTACCACCCTATGGAGCAGTATTCTAGACTGGTGTACATATGGCTAAATTTTCAATGTAAGATCACTCCTGAAGAATACACTACACTGGAGTATATAAGAACTCAAGTTTTAACATCAAATCATTTCTGATGAAGACTCTCGTCTGGAGTGTATTTATAAGGACTCAGGTTTCGACATCAGATCATTCGTGATGAATACATTAGACTAGAGAAGTGACGCAAGTTTTAACATCAGATCAGTCTTATTAATGAAGACACTAGACTGGAATATATAAGTACTCAAATGTCAACATCAGATCACTTCTGGTAAAGACACTTGACTGGAGTGTATTAGGGTTAAAATTTCCCCATCAAATCACCCTTAATTAAGACAGTAGTGAGTGGGACGAACATGGAATCATGGGGTTAATATAATTTCAAGCGTGACTGTCTCAATTTTTTACAGGATGCATTGGTTCAATTCAGAGAATTCTTCAACAGAAAACTTGACAATTTTGTCATCATCATTCAATATCAGCAAACTAAGAACATCGCAGTCATTGGTCGGATTTCAATAACAACTTTTAGTACAGAGTTGCGCGGTGTTGCTGAATTCAAATATTGTCCAAATACCGAGTTTTGTCGTATTGAAGTTAAATCTAGTGATGGAAGAGGTTATTTTCGTATAAGACAGGGAACGACTCGAATTCAAGTTCGTTATCCATTAGCAAGCCAAGTGAAACTGGTAAGAAATGCGTCATTAGAAACTTGCTAAGAGTAAAATATTTCCATATTGACGTAGAAGCACAATTGAAATAATACAATGAATATAGAGAACAAACTTTTTAATACAGACATGTTTCGACAAACTTATGCCATCATCAGTTTGAATGAATATGTTACAAAATGTGATACTTAAATATATAGATAGAGATAAACGACTTACAGTTGATTAAGATGAGGATAGTATTGCAAATATTTACAATTAATTCACATATGAAAGTTAGAGAATACATTAAACGGAAGAAAAATGAACATAAAAATTATTTACAACTAAAAATGGTATTTACGTGCTGAACTTGCTTATTGAGATCGGGCTTAAGTAAAATATTACAGACCCAGTTATCATTTTATCTCATTACATTAATTTCACTGAGTGTTATTCATGTGTTTTTCATTCATTACTTATATCTGTTGTTTTACTTGTATCTGTTCGTTCATTCATTACTTATATCTGTTGTTTTACTTGTATCTGTTGTCTTAATTGTATCTGTTGTCTTGTTTGTTTTTGTTGTCTTGTATGTGTTGTTTTACTTGAATCTGTTGTCTTACTTGTATCTGTTGTCTTACTTGTAGTTGTTGTTTTATTTTTATCTGTTGTCTTACTTGTATCTGTTGTCTTAGTTTACCTATTTTCTTACTTGTTTGTTTTTTTGCAGTCGTGGGTCTACAGAATACCTTTGGCGAGCTATTCCAATAGAGTTTTATCATTCACTCCTGCTGACGGTTCAAACACCTGGGTAGAGAGATGCAGTCGCAACAATTACCTAATTGATCCCAGTGAAGCGAACTATTGCCGCAATACGAGTTTTGCACTTGTTACCAGTTTCAATAATGGCGCGTTCCGTTGTCGATGCAGCTTCTTTGGAGCTTCGTCTCCCTACTGTAACAAGATTCACGGGCAGTGCACCTGTCGTAGACCTAATATAATCGGGCGGCAGTGCACCGAATGTCGTTCGGGATACTATGGATTTCCATACTGTCGAGGTAAACACGCATGTCTTTCATTTAACCCGGAGTTTTATAGGATCAGAGTTGTCAACAATAGATTATTTTTCGACATTCAATCAAAGGAAACAAGAATTGTTAATTAAAATGTTCGAACATTTCTTGAAATTCTTTTATATAAATAATGTTATGGTTACCACTAAGCTTTGCACCGCTAAAAATAATGGGAAAGCGTCGACTATTGCTCATGCTCTTCATACAAGCTCATGATCCAAATATCTTTAAACAGGGATTTTCCGATTTCGAAAATACATTTTCAACTCAAGAAACTTCAAACTGACCTTTTTATTTTCGAGGTTTTCTTATCCATGACCGATTTGAGCAACAAGAAAAGAAGAAAGATCTTAGCATCTTCATTTTGATTTCACCTTTTAGCTGCACTTTTTTCTCTTGAATGCCCGAACGTTTTATCTTAGATAAATAGAATGTATCCTATTTATCTTTCACAAAAGGAAAACACGAACTCCATGTATTATTTAGACTGCTGAAATTTGAGAGCAAAGCGCAACTCGAGCAAAAGTATCGCAACATATCAGTACATCCTAAGAGCGACGTTTATGACTGTAACTTCATCCCGATTATTAGTTTTTATGTTCAATTTATTTAAAATGTTTTTTAGAAAATGTTTGTCGTAGACGCTATTTTTCACTATGTACCTGCCACTTTTCATACAACGTTTGGCTTGAAGACAAGAATAACTCTCTATTTTATTGCATTGATGTTATGTCAACCACCAGACATTACATTGCCACTAACATTTCTCGCGTTACAACAATGCAATGCGTAGTTGTCATTGTTTTTTATAACTATCAATTTGAAATGCCATCATCAATGATACAAATTGTAACCACTTGCGTTGATATATCAATATTTAACATCTATTATTGTTGTTTTTTCAGCATGTACCTGTGATCCTCGAGGAGTTGAACGTGTTAACTGTGATCGTCGTGGAAGATGTAAATGTAAACCGAACTTCTCCGGTCGAAGCTGCAATCGCTGTAAATCTGGGTACTTCATGTTTCCCACTTGTAAACGTATGTATTTATAGTTACTTTAGTTATAAGATAGTCTGGAAGAAGTCAGATTTCGTACGTTAGATATCATGCGACATAAGCTTTTCATCTCTACCGTAAGTGTCCTTTTAACCTGTTTTCTTATGACCAATTTACGACTAATGCTGCGACCTAAGTGCAGTCATATTGCCTTATCATACCTGTAACAGATAATAAACTGTCAAACATGTTTGCTTTTTTTTTCGCTTAGCGTGTAATTGCGACATACAAGGCTCACTGAGCATGTTCTGTGGCTCAACCTCTGGACAATGTCAATGTCGGAGAGCCTATGGTGGGAAAAAGTGCGACAGATGTCGAGTTGGATTCTTTGGTTTTCCTGAATGCAAAGAATGTAACTGTGATGTTTCTGGTATAAAACCTGTCGAGGGGTCAGTCTCGGGATGCAATTCCACGCAAGCGGTGAGAATTTCATATTTTGAAGTAGTCGAATAAAGTTTCAAAAAACATGTTGCAATAAACAAAAATCTTTCTTGCGAGTAATTTAGTGAAAAATTTCACAATAAGTTTATTTCTAAAGGTCTTGTTTTTTATTCACAACTCGCAGATTTTTTTGGATTTACTTAGTGAATGTTTTAAATTTCTCTGTATTTGCTTGGTGAATGCAATAAATTTGTTTGTGCTGGCTCAATAAATGCTATAGAATCTTTTATGACCTGTGAATGCAATAGATTTCTTTTTGCTAGCTCAGTGAATGCAAAAGATTTCTTTGTGCTATCTCAATAAATACAATACTTTTCTTTGTGCTAGTTCAGTGAATGCAATAAAAATTTTAGTGGATAGCAATAACGTCGCAAACGTTTATTCCCAGGGGGGGAGTAAACACGTGGCGGTTGTGTAACTAATTTTAAAACGTTTATTTTCGGTGACAAATCTTCTGGTATACTTTCAGATCGTATGTAAATGCAAAGAAAACGTCCGCGGTGAATACTGTGACACTTGTAAAGATTTCTATTACAATCTACGCTTCAGCAATCCAAAAGGTTGTCAGAAATGCTCGTGTAGCGATCTCGGTACGAACAGTAAACTTAAGAATTGCGATAAAGTCTCTGGACAGTGCTCGTGTAAGCCACGCGTGGCGCGTCTCTCGTGTTCAGTATGTAAAGATGGTTCAACTTCCTTAAGAGATTACAGTGTATTTGGTTGCAAAGGTACTATGTATAAATATTGATGGCTTAATTTCAGCTCTTTCGAGTGCTACAGGCAGGAGTTATGTAATACATTAAAACTTTAATAGCTTTTGTAAGCAATGACTTGATGTTGAAACTTGTGTCTTTTAATTCTCCTGTGACCAGTCTAATATCTTAATCAGGATTGATTTAACTTGCTTTGCTTTATACTCCAGTCTTCGTCTAGAAGTGACCTTATAAAAATAAATTTATATAGAAATAAATTATATCAATAATTGAAAATTTTTATTCCAACATATTACATTAAGTTATTTCAGTAAACCCTTAAATGTGTATCTACATAGTGACTATAAAGTTAAACTTAAGGGCTTTGTGCAGTGGTGTTGTTTGTGAAATTTTGGAATTTTTTTACAGGCTGTGGTTGTAACTACGGTGGCTCATTGGACAATATATGTGACAAGAACACTGGGAATTGCTCCTGCAAAAGCAATGTTGGTGGGAAAAAATGTGATCAGTAAGTGCTTTACTATTAAGATTTTTATGCATTTTATTAAAAATGACACCACACATGGGGGCCACAGGCAAAATTATTCAGAAAGTCCCCCTGATTTTTTTGTCTAGCATTTAAATTTTACTTTTATGGAGGAGACCACTCTGCAAATGATTCTCATACTGTACAATCAAGATCGAAAATCCCTTGTCCTCTATGTTGCCGCAACTCGCAAGGATAAATGCATAGTACTCTCCAAATTTTTGACAATTAATGACTTTTTGCTCGACAAAACAGCGCACGCAAGCCGAGCTGGTTATTTACTATTGTTTAACTGGCCCTCATCGAGTAATCGTAAATACTATCAAATGCTCCTAACGTAGCCCTGTAAAAGAAACAATGACGTTCTTCATCATATGAATTCTTTTAAATGACTCTTCGTTGAGGCTTTTTCTTTCTTTTCTAAATCAAAATCCTGCCCCCTTATCCCGTCATCAAGCTTCTCTGTAGTTAAGAAAAACGAAAAAATTAAACCAATCATGGGACTCGGACTATTTTTTTACATAAATTTAAATTGATCATTTTTAGATTAAAATCAAGTAGGTACTACGAGCGAGACTTGCACCACATCCGTGCCGAGTTCGAGGATGGGATAACGGACTCATCGCGGCCATTGCGTTTTCGCTACAACCAATCAGAATTCCCAGATTTCTTCGGTCGTGGTTATGTTCCCACGCTGAACAACCAGGTGACGAAATCTTAAGACTTGAAACTTTTCAAGGACAACCCCTCTCTGTGTATTTTAAAAAGTCTCTAAATTTATCCTCAGTTTTATTTTCCTTCAGAACTCGTTCGATATAATCGTAGCCATTCCTAGACCGACCAAATATCGTCTTTTGATTCGATATTCTTTGGATTCCTACTGGTCAACCCGTGGTCAGGTGACAATCTCACCGACGCGAAATGTTGGTAAGCTCATTATAACAATAACGTTGGAAGGGACAGTTAAGCCCTTCTCACAGGATACCGCAACTTTCGACAGCGTTTAATCTCATCAAGTGGGTTTACATATATAATTCACAAAGAAATTATTGTTGTAATTTCTATGTCACCAGACTGTCTGGTCGGTTGAGTTTAAATATAGAACAAATGCTACTTAATGATGAAATTACATGGTTTATCCCAATTCCGAACCCTCTTAAACCTTTCTTACTACGTGCCTGTGTTTCTCGATAGATGCTCTGCCTCAAGGCTACAAGAGCGTTGTAGTCGTCTCGCTGCAATTCAAACCCACGTCAACGCGACGGAAAGTCTACGCCGAATTTCTGACTGTGAAGGAAGGCGCCCGTGAGACAGAGTTTTTCCTTAGTCGAGGAAAATGGCGAATCTCCTTGTTTGTAGCACCGTCAAAATTGCTTCTGGTTAGTTCTATTGACAATAGTAAAAAAAGATGACTTAACAATGTGAGTTAACCAATGATTTAGAACCCAATCCCCTACTGCCGTGTCAAGGTGAGGCAAGAACGAGACTCTTAATGAAACATAACTATATATCTACGCTGAATAAGCTAATTTTAGTCGTACGTATCGCTCGTTTTGCCACCTTTCAAGATGGCGACCTGCGTCACTCGCAACCATAGGATTTTGGTGGAGTCAGGTATCCAGTAGATTGGGTTATAGGTCATTGGTTTTCATCTGCATCCTCCTTGGTCGAAATTATTTTGTTCTCTCAGCTTCTTTGTGTGAACACAATAGTATAGCTTTAGCATCTTTGATGCACTCATAAAAATGAATTGTGACCGCATGAAGAAATTCTGTTTGTTGAAGGATGAGGTGAAATTGAACGCCGCAATATTTTATGACGTCCTTTGTAAATCAAAGGGCATCATTAAGTCTCTAAACCCTACCATAGTTATTTAGCATGAAAGTTTACAGATTTTCTTGGTCTACTCTAGGCCACGTGAATACGCAAAAATAGAGGTGGATTTTATGATTATTTATTCTCAGCCAATTATTAATATTTATTATTACTATTACTATTGTGTTCTACGAATTTGTATTTTATCGTGGATTCCTATTTTCTCAACCATTGTAGCGTTACGTATTATGGTAATTTATTCTGTATGCAGAGTATGATATTTGTATCACTTGCGGTTTTGTTTTGATCTCACTCCTTAAAAACGACACAACATTCTTGTTTGCTTTCAGGATTACCTTGTCATGCTTCCGGAGGACTATTACAAGGCGACGCATGTAAGACGTCGTGTCGAAGAGCCGTGCGTCGTCAATACGCAAACAGAGTTCTGTGTTGACTATAAGTATTTGTCCGTCGTGCGAGCCGATGCGGTTACTGTACGTGCTAAAATGGGAGTATTGTCTGGTGCTCCTAGCATACTTCCCTATACACCATTTACCAGTTATCACGTTCTAAACAACAGGGTGAGCAGTCGTACAGTCAAAGCTTAAATTTCTTAAAATGCTGAACCAGTGCAGTGTTTAGGAAGAAATATTTTAACGTAAGTTCATTGTCGGTGAAGACAGTGAACTAGGGATCTCTAGAAATATAGTTTTAGTATGAGATCAATGCTTTTAAAGACTGAATGAAAAATCTATACTTTCAAGTTTTAACTTTAAATCACTGCCTATGATTTTGTTGTATGCAAGACCTTAGTATTAAAAGACTTCAATAGACAAGACCTTAGCATGCAAGACCTTGGTATACTAAGACACTCATGTGCAACATTTTGCGATGTGTAACTTTAAAATAAAAGATCTTGTTATATAATGAGATTAGTATCAAGACCTTAGTATGCAAGACCTTTCTATACAAGACCTTTGTATGCAAGACCTTACTATGCCAGACCTTAGTTTTCATCCCTTAATTAGTATGCAAGAGCTTAGTATGCTAGACCCGAATATTACAAGACCTTAGTATGCAAGACCTTAGTATTCAAGACTATAGCATGAAAGATCTTAGTATGCTAGACTTGAATATTACAAGACCTTAGTATGAAAGACTTCAGTATGATAGACCTTAGTATTCAAGACCTAAGTATGCTAGGCCTATATGTATCCAAGATCTTATTACAGAGACCTTCATATGCAAGAATCCTTGCTTCAAACATATGGAATTTTCATAAGGTTTTTCTTTTTTTTTAGAACCAGTTGTATCTACCGCTGCCTACGACGAAGTATGGTTCTTATGTTTTGATGGTAACCTACTACCAGGAAACAAAAGCTGTCAGCAGTTTGTTCATTGATGTAAGGGCTGGGTTCGGTCACCAAGTTGGTCAAATACGAACATTTTATTGCAAGTAAGATCACTGTGCTTTGTTGTCAAAATTTAGAGTTGTGTAGTGGTCGTGTAAGAATAATTTTCTTCTGTGTTCAATTGCATAGATACACGTTTGGATGTCGTCAGGTTGCTACAGACTACCAGAACAAAGTGAAAGCCTTCGGTCTTTTATCGAACTCGAAGAACCATTTGACTATTAGTGCAAATACCGTGGTTTCGTTGGTATGTATGTTGTAATCTACCGCACAAATAATTATGTGCTCGCTGAAATTATTATGCATAATAATATAACTAGCATTCACAACAGCTTATTGCACTTGACAGTTCTGTGCCACTGGGATTTCATAGGGTTTGTATGGTATTAGTCAAAGCAAACCAAGTTAAAAGTAGTATCATAAACGGATTTTGGTCTCAAATTAATTACGGAAGAGCTTTGTAAAATGAAAGCGACATTATCTAAGTTAGAGCAGCCACAAAAACGTAATCATATTTTCCATAAGTTGCAACGAACATTGACAAACTAGTGAGTAACTTAAATAAGCAGGTGGAACAAATAGCTATTGCAGAATGAAGTATCTTATGCAGATTTTCTGAAGTATCTTATGCAGATTTTCTTTTAATGCTTATATAATTATATATTATATAAGCATTAAAAGAAAATCTGCATAAGATACTTCATTCTGCAATAGCTACTTGTTCGCCAAACGTGGGTCCCGTTTTTTTCTGAGGACACCCTGTAAAATGCTGAGAATATCCTGTAAGATGCTGAGATAATGGAGAGTTATTAAATGGTCGATTGGACCGAAAATAAGGCACTGACATGTAGTATAAATCACGGGTTTGAATTAAAGATTTCAGCTCTTTTCATTGATTAATCTTTTCGAAGTACGCAAAATGTTAATTTCAGACAAGCAAAAATCACTCAAAAGTAGATTGAGAAAGTATACTACTTCAAAATCTATTTTCAAACTGCTCATGCTCAACGATACGCTACGGTATTATAAGGGCGATGTGGAAATCGGCTTAAAGTTGGAATTATTGTGACCGAATATAGGGCAGTGGTGTAAGTCGTCAGCTATTTCTCTCCCTCCCCCCCCCATCCTCTAAAACAATTATATACGATATTCGAAATTGATATTACCACTCAGCCCATTCAGAAATCATTGTCTGGTACCCTTGGCTTTGGGACGATTGGATTCTTAGCATTAATCACTGAGTGACAGTTATATCTACGCTCAGTTTTCTTAATTTTAACTTCAGCGATACTTTAATAACCCGGGGGATGTCAGTTTGGCCTAAAAAGGCCGAATTTCTTGATTTTTGCTTTATTTCAGTGAAACTCATAAATTATTGGTGAAATAGTTATAGAAAATACAAAATAAAGATGTACGCTAAATCTCGATTTTTGCTTCATTTTGGCCAAATTGCATGGCTACTTTTTATCCGCTCTTTAGCTATTTCATCCCCAGACCACCTGGCAACCCTGTAATAACCTTCTAAAGTGATATAACCTGTAATAACCTTTCCCTTTCTAAAAATCTTTCCGCTTTCGTATCCAGCAAACTTGCCTCCCAAAAAGCAGGCCTTGCACGTACAACCTAATTCTTACCGTCATACTTTTGTTGTTATCTTGTTAGGAATCCGTGATCATTATCCCGATAAAGAAATGGAGCATGGAGTACATTCAGCCTGGGGAATACTGCGTTAAATCAAACGGTACTTGCTTATTGACTACTTATCCCATTCCTAGCAGAGCCATTAAGGTGGAAGCGGAGACTAGTGGCGGTGGGATGCGACCGAGTTTGGCACTCGATTCCTCAGTTCGAGCTGCTTATCTTGCTGGAGACGGAGTACGTAAATTATCTTCGCCGGTAAATAATGTAAACGGCCTGAAAGCTGCGTTCTACTCATTAAACGCATTTTGTATCGTGACGTGTCGTATTGTATCGTGTCATATTGTATCGTATCGTTTCGTAATCGGCTTACGTGTAAGAATGTTTATTCGTTTGGCAAATCAAGTCTTCGATGTTTTTTTTCTCATGAACTTGCGCAGTAATACATGAAAAAAAATCAAAGTAAACATCAATAAATTTGATCTTGTCTACGCTTATAACATACAACATAAGACGTTGATGTAGCTACTTCATCTCCATAATGCTCGGGTTTTATTAGGAGGACGGTACATATGATATTAATTTTCTTGATTTCTTTTACGTATTATATCACATTCCCACTGCCTCATCTCCCAGTGTCCCTAACTATCAATAAATCTTCTCCAGGTATCCCTTCGTATTAGGAGTACGATTGCTCCAGGCCGTTACATAGTCATCGTGCATTATTATCAGCCGTCCTACGGTGATTACAAAGGAAAGATCATTCTCGAGAGTGGTCGCGTCACAGCTTTATACCTCAAGTTCCAACATTGCCCGAACGTGGGCGGTTGCCGAGCGCTTGCCCGAGATAAAACTACCGACATGCCTCGATCGCTGTACATCAGCGCGAATTTAGATATCACTATTTTGAATAAAGATGCTCCCGATAGAGAAGTGTGGATTGTAAGTATACCTTACACTTTTTGTTAACAACCATGGAACTTGATTTTTTGAATAGTATATAAAAAGGTAGAGTACGACTACAAAGCTTAGTAAAAAAATATTTCGATCTTTCAATTTACTTTATCTAAGTCAGTGTGAATAAAAAAAGCAATCCTACATCTGCACAAGTTTCACAGTTTAGCTGCGAGATACCTCTCCTCTGCTTTTATTTTTACCCTTCCACTCATTTGATTTTTTGACCCTCTTTTTTAATTCTATTCTGCCATCGTTTTGATTTGCTGTCTCTCAAAAAAACCGATTTTTTAATATGAATCGCATCCTCACTCTTAATTTTTGAATTAATAAATGAGCGCTTTCGTGCTCTTAACAGCGATAGTGTTGAGAAAGAATTTTTTTTATTAATTTGACCATGTGTGGTAAGACTCATTCGTGACACTTTCTTTCTTTGGCGCATGCCCAGTATATGAACAGTGAGCATTCAGTGTTTAGGGAACAACAGATCTAATACTGCTTATTTGAGATTGTGCAGGGGATTTGGGTAAGGCTTAGCTCAACGTTCCTGCACTTCATGTAATATCAAACCTAGGAACCTACGTGAACTAAACATATGATCGTTTTGTAGAATAGCAGTAGCCGAAGAATCAAGCGAACTAGCTAATAGTGTCTTTATCAGATTCCTCATTGAAAATGAAAGCGGGGTTTGTTTTTCCAGTGATACATCATTTGACATGTGCATGTATTAGTAATTTAGAAGAAGAATGACACTGGAATTTTTTCGAAAATGTCCTTAGAAAGTTGCTTGCTAAAGCTCACTGACGTCAAATCCATAACCCATTTTTTCTAGGACTATGTTCTGTTTGTGCCAAACCGTCATTTTACAAACGACATGGAAAAACAACTGCCGGTAAACTTGGCAACGAGGTTCATCAAACAATGTGGCAGGAACCATCTCGTCATCAACAGCTCCGACGAGTTTTGTAAGCAGTCCGTATTCAAAATGACAACGATGTTCAATGGCGATTTGGCTGCGTGTGATTGCAACGGGCGCGGCTCGATGTCGTCCTCATGTGAGCAATTTGGTGGGCAATGCACGTGCAAAGCCAATATTGTCGGACGAAAATGCGACAAATGTAGAGGTGGTTACACTGGCTTCCCGAACTGCAGGCGTAGATAAGGTTTGAAAGTTTCATATAATCGACCATATTTTTGCTATTAATTTTTAGGTTATGTTACGCAGCATGCACTGAGAGTTTCAGTCGTAGTGCATATTTCTATTCATAGACAAGGCATGATGAGCTTGCAGGGATGTATATGTAATGAGATAAATATGTTGTCAACAATAAGATCGGCGTCTAAGAGTTTATCACAAACCTTTATTATCTCTTAATAAATGTTTTCTCATTTTGTAAAAAGCAGAAAATACTCGTTTGTAAACCATTAAAAAAAAATTTAAGTCAATTTCGCGGAATAGAACAACAGCAAAACTCGTCACTTGTATTCACGTGTTTTTTCTTTATCAAATTTCTTTTGATATGACAACCTTTTTTCTTGTGCATTTTGTCCACGTTTACTTTGACTTCAGTTCAAAACTCCTTTACAGGATCTTGACAAACCTTGCAGCAAAGAAAGTCACTTTACAGAAATTTTCATAGCAAAGTTTTCTGCTACATGGCCAAAATGCTAGCTGTATGCATTCCGACAATACCACAGACTTCCAATTTCATGTATATACAGTCCAATACATATATATATATATAATTTATAGTTTGATTATTTTAACAAGTATTTTTGCTGATTTCGATCCTTTATATAATACTTTTTACTTACTAGTTTTTACACACTTTCATTTCATGCAGCATTACCCAAAGTATTCCACTTGGAATGTGTTTCTGGGTGCACTCTGTTAAGTACAATAGTTGTTTTTAATAAGAGTTTTTCCTAGTGAAACTTGAACTTATTGATGCATAGCGCAACACTTTCAAAACACTTGGAGTAAAAGAGTGTAATACTGCCATTGTTTTGCATATATCTCCTTGATGTGTTCTTTCAGCGACTGTTTGCTTGATAAAAACAGACAAACAGCAACTGAAAGAAGACATCGTAGAAATTAAACTTTATATTTGTTCATTTCTTTGGTTTGAATCTGAAGTTGTTACCTCGTCTTTATGATCGCTCATCTAGGCTATTGTTTGATTCGCTATGTTGCCATGCTGTTGCTTGCTGATTGTTTGTAACTGTAAATTAAGGAAAGTTATGTTTCATTGCACGGACCGATCCTGGAGTATGTAAAGACTCAGGTATTGTTATCAGATCACTTCTGACAAAGGCACTTGACTGGACTATATAAGGACTCAAGTTCCAACATCAGATCACTCCTAATGAAGACACTACACTGGAGTTTATAAGAACTCAAGTTTTAACATCAGATCACTCTTATAAAGGCACAAGACTGGAGTATATTACGATACCAGTTTCAACAACAGATCACTTCTGATGAAGGCACCAAGTTCCCAAATCAAATCACTCCTAATAAAGAAACTTTTCATGTGAAAATGTTCACGTGATCTTACCTATTTTCAGTTTGATGCAAACCGCAGCACGTTCAAAATATTTGATACTTTCCCGGATGTTTCCTGAGACGTGCAAAACATTGCCAATGCTTGCGTAGCATTTAGTTTCTGCGATTTTATTGCGTACAGACACCGCCAACTTCAATCGCATCTCGTAGTATTTAATGGCTTTCTCGAAATCCGCCATACACTCGTAGGCACGCGCTAAGTTGTTCAGGAATTTGCCTTCGGCCTTTTTGTCGTTTTCTATCTTCGCCAACTCCAGTCCTTCTTCAAAGCAGTCAAGCGCGCGGCCATAGTCTTGAGCTTGTCTTGAAGCGCATCCCAGGTTGCAAAGCGCTCGTCGTTTAATTCGTCTGTCATTCTGAATAGTTGACAAAGCCAGTTGACGTTCGAAGCAAGCGATGGCTTGTTTGTTGCGACCGACTTTGTGATAGACTATTCCTAACATATTAAAATATTGACTACATTCCCTCTGATTTGTTTGTAAAAACTCAAGTTTAATCTTTAAATTTAAGTCGTCGTATTTCTTACGTTAATGCTCTTATATCAGTGGAGAACTCTCATACCTTTGTGATGTTCGAATTTTAGCTGTTTTGCTACGTCTTATGATGCTTTTAATTGAATTAATCTAAGGTTGAAGCACTAGTCTTATGCACGTACTTGTGTTTAGTGTTTTGTCCAGAGTGTTATTATATTGAAATTCGAGTCCTTTTATGTTTCAGTCTAGTGTTTTCATCAGGGGTGATTTGTTATTAAAACTCGAGTTCTTATAAAGTCCAGTCTAGTATCCTCTTCGGGAGTGATTTAAAGGTAAACTGGAATTCTAAAATACTTAATCTATTTTGTTTAATATGCGTAATTTTATATTGAGACTCGAGTCCTTATATTCTTCAGTCTAGTGTTTCACAAGGAGTGATCTAATGTTGAAATTTGAGTTGTATTTCAGCCTAGTGTCTTCTTCAGAAAACGTTGAAACAGGATTTTTTATATACTCCAGTCAATTATGTTCACCAGGAGTGACTTAATTTAAAACGTTGGGGCTTTATCATTCTGTTATAGTGTCTTCATCTGGTATTGAAACTTTGATGTTTTTATGCTCTAATCTTAAATCGAATTTATTCTTACACGAAACCTTATTCCCTCAATTCTTAAACGAGACACTGGCTTTTAATTATGCATATCATACCTAAATCATTTTGAGCATTGGCTTCATCAATCCATTTCTTTGCTTTCTTGGCTTTCTCAATAATCATTTTATAATTAGATATCTGACTCTGAAGGTTATCCCTTTCAATATCTACCGTATCCCTTTCATTCTCTACCGTTTCTTTATCTATTTCAGTTGAGTCGGACAATTCAACATTACTGCCGTTATGTCTTTCTTTTGTCGCCATTATTCCCATTTTCTGCGCATTCCCGATCTCATTATTAATTTAACAAAGAGCAGGTAAAGCGATATTGTGATCCTGTAATTGGTCGTTCAAACTTGTGTAGCTTGTGGCGACTTTTACTTGGAAACTGCATATTAAGTACTGCCTTTCCCCCTTAGGTAAGTCAATCTCCAATCATCATTGGCTATATTCAACAAAAACATGATCAACTTCGCAGTTCGTATTCTGAGAAATCGTAGAATTTTATAGATATAAGAGTGGCGTGGTTTTTACCAGCATAAATTAGTTTTTGCTGAAGTTCTTACTTTTTTATTTCGCACTAAACTTCGAATGCTGCAATTGGCGTTGTGAGCCTGAAACGTATTTGTGTCCTCAAACGTCTAATTATTTCTAAGTGCGGATCCCACTTTATAGCCTATAGGAGAGCAATACCAATACTATATCTACATTATTATTGCGACGTTCTCTGCACATACAATTTTTAAAAGCCCAACTTACCTAGATTCGGCGAGAAGCTCTTAAATGATTTTGGGAAATTGAAGCAATCCAGTATTTATCACAAGACAAATTTACTTAAAGGTTTTCGCAGTATTCATAGTATGTTGATACATAGCTTACTAAATATCAATAATCGTCTTGCATCAACTTGAAAATTACTTCAGAGAAAACTATCACAATAGAGAAAGTTCAATTAAAAATGCTCTAAAAGCTTTATAATTTAAGTGGGGACTCCTTTCCGTGCAGTGACGTATATAGAAGCCACTGTGGTCGCTCACCCTCGTCATATTTAAACACCCATATTTAGTTATGCCAACACAAAACGAACCAAGTGCAAAGAAATTTCGTTGCGTCGTCTAGGTTTTACAGCCATTTCTTGGAAAATCCGACTGACACAAATAACGGAAAATTTTGTCGTTTGCCCAAGAAATGTAATATAATAATTAGAATTGTCGTCGTTCGAAATGAATTCACCCCCCAAATGCGTAAGTTTCCGTCGTATAGATTCTTTATGAAATCAGACTAATAGTTTGAAACTATACTATTGGTATTCAAATCATTGCATCCGAATAAAAACTAGTTTTTTGCTACTGATCTATAATACACTTACACAGTCTTTAAAATATTTGTAACAAGATGGCTGGGGCTAACGCACTGAAACATATCGAGTTGCACATCAAACTGTAAGATGAGTGCAAAGATCTTGTCGTTTTTATCGGACTTAAAGAATATTAGAAAACGTTTATCTGAACTCAATTTTCCGTGTATACAGAAGTGTTGAAACGGCCAATTGTTTTGTCATATAGTTGACGAAATCGAAACTGACATTCATGAGACTTGATTTATCTTTCTTGGTAAAACCTACCTTCAAAAATGTGTTTTTGTCTAATGTTTAGCGAGATTTTAACTTCTTCCTTTGATTAAAACTTTATGCTTTCGCTGCAAATATAGTTTTAGATCTTCGTTCCATGAACACACCTCCATTCCAGTAGCGTAGCTGTTATATCGTCAATATCTTCCATCGTGAGAGAGCCTTTGTTGTGTATGTTACGCACTGTAAACACGACTAACATACGCTACGTAACGTCGAAACATTTAACTTGACTTTATTCTCGATGTTTTGACTTGTTACCAAGGATTCAGAAATTTTTTCAATTATTGAACATCAAGACACCTGTTTTATCACAATCGTTATTCATTATTTCGAGTAAGTCGTTGCTTTAAAACACTTTATAAAATGCTGCGTAGTTGATTGTTTCGTTGAAATGCTCAATTAAGTTTATAATTTCGTGTATAATACAAGTTCAATATCTTTATAGAATTGTAAAACTTCTTTAGTTTTCGTTGAGTCATTGCCATTTTCAAAACTTGTTCGGCTGAACAACTTCTCAAGTCTCTCAGCTCACTAAAGCAATGGAAAACAGAGCGTACTTTTTAAATTTCAATTGCTACGTTATTTTCATGCCCACACATGTTATTTAAAGTATTTTAGAAAATTTGAAAAGAATGGAGTGCGTTATAATTGCTATAATTTGCATAACCCCCACTTGGAATCATTTAAACGTACTTGAAACGACCTATTTGTTCGTAGAATTTTAAAACATGAGTTATACATACGTATATTTTACACGTCTTTATGATTAAAAGATGACTTTAATTTTCAGGTGTCGCCTCCTATCGAATGGCAACTTTAGAAAATGTTGTTAATGTCGTCTCTTATCAAAGGACGACTTTTTGAAATGTTGTATAATGTCTACTCTTATGAAACAGTGAGTCACTATGTAATGACAATGTAGCGAAAATGTAGTAGTTATCATCTAGTCACAATGTAATTGGATGAAATAATTTTCAAATAAATTTACTCTCTTTTAAACAGGGGCATAATTTGAACCCTGGTTGGGGTCAGAATGCCCTGAAGATATGCGACACCGCTTATCGATAAAAAATATTTATCAAGATGAGCCACGACGAGACTCTATCACATCTCAATATTTTTCTCTTTTGTTTTCCCACCCGATTCAAACGTTATAACTTGTAACCAATAAGTTTTTTTGTTATCAATAAATTATTGGAATTGTCGAGGGTTAGCGGGGAGGGCCTAGGGTTTGGATCGAGTTCATTGTGTATTCAAAAACAATGATCTTAATATCTGTTCGAAATTATCAAGCATTATATACAATAGCTTTACTGGGTTAGAACCATTTAAAACATTCGGATCTGCTGCGTTTTCATTTGAATTAGCATTGTTGTGTATAATTTGTACATGAAACTTCATTAAAATCAAAAGCCAATATTGTTTGATAACTAAGCTGACGGGAATTTAAGGCCAAACAAAGTTGTTCAAGCAAATCTTTCCAGAAAAATCACGTTGTATTTTCTTGTATAGTATCTATAACTGTTGAAATGTATCAGAGTATTTTGTTTTGCACTTTTTCCTGCGAACTCAATCTTATCTAAATGGGGGAGGTTAGTTGCCCTTGCATACCCTTCTAAAAGTTTTCGTCAATTTCACTTTTGGGACGCCATATTAAAGTCATGACTGATGTAAAACGTGGTCAAACGATCATACATTCATCAATTCATCAAGTTCTGATTTTTATTTGGGTAATGTAAAAGGTATTATGTCTTTGGCACGGTTGACCGAAGATATTTAAGCATAGATGAAATGCATGTTACGTCACCATCGCCATGTTGGTAATCTTATACAAAAGAACATTTTATTTATGCTGTTGTGGCCACCAGCCGTCGTGGGTGAACCACATTTTTTTATAAGTTCGTGAATATTGGTTGCAATTAAAGAATGTGATCTTTTTTGCAATCATTTTCCACCTTATAAGCATTTGTTTTTCTCGCTGTTAATCCCCAGTGTTTCTTGTATTGTTTTCTAATCCTTTTGAACAAAAGCGTTCAATTTTTTAGTGTGTTGTGCCTTCATGTTGAAAATAATGAGCATAAGTTAAGAAACTCCATTCTAATACCAGGCAAACGAAGTTTCTTGGACTACTCGAATTTTTAATCGAACGCAAAATCTGCGAAATTGGTTAAACGAACTTTCAACATTTATGGGAAGACTGCGTGTGGAGGAAAGGTTCTATTGCTTATTTTGAAAGTATGAGGAGATGGGAAAATTCTCAAGAAAATGGCTATGCACACAAGCCTATGGACGTTGAAGTGAGTAGCTAACTCAATACTACAATATTTACGAATATTAGCATGCTAGTGAATTTTGATGACTTGTTTAACGTATCTTTTGAGGGCGTAAGGGTATATGCATGACTTAGAATGCCAAAATAACCAAGTTTATATACTTTAATTAGCACTGTGTACGATATAAAGTGAGCATGTCAACTATTATAGATGTTGAAGACATATGTATATATCACCAGCCAAAAGTACTTTACGTTTAATCGAGTAGGGCTTTATCGAATAATGTTACCGATATACCGATGCAAGGATTTACCTTCAGTCTGTAGATTTTAGCGCTTTGTGTATGCATAAATCATTATCATTTCCTTTTTATCGATTGCTTTTATTTGGGAAGTTGGCAGTTGGCTTGAATTCAGACTTGTTAAGCCAAGAAGTTTTAGATACAAGAAAGGTCTTTTCATATTCGCTATTATATCGCAGTTTTACTTATACCGTATCTGCAATGTAAATAGGAGACTTAGTGAAAATGGTAGACCCATGTGATGGGAGTTACCTCTTTATTACCTGTACAAGCAAATCCAAAAAATAAACAAGTATACGCAACAAATTTTACGTCAGAAGTCGCGCCAATTTCGGTGCAAATTTTTGCAAACTCAAATGACAAAAGCATTACTGTCATTTGAATGATAAGAAATATAGAATAGAATATATTTTGGTTCTTTTTCCAAAGGACACATATTTTCATTTACAAGGACACATTTCTGAATGACACAGTGTGCAAATAATGCACTTATTTTATTGCCTGTCTCAATCAATAAAGTTTTATTGTTTAATTTAATCCGAAGGTCTTCATTGCATTTCAATGAATTACTTTTACTGTACTCATCAGAAAATATTGTTCCAACAGCGAAGACACCTTCGCAAATGTTGTCTCATTTATGACAGGCGATACAGCTGACGTTTACAAATATTAACTTTGGAAGTAAGATGTCATGGAGATGATCGGAACGTCAAAACAGGATTATGTAAATAATTCTGCAGTATTTTGAACACCTGCCTAAAGAACTTCGAAATTAAAGAACATTCAGACTTCAAAAATGCTTTTATTTGGCTATTTGGAAGTATAGGATTTAGTTTTCATATTAAATTTAAAAAGACTAATCCCATTTCTTCCCCCGTTTTTAATTTGCCCGTGCAGGTCACACAAGCAATAACCCATAAGTGAACAATCAAGGTCTCCTGTACAGTACAGTGAATATAGAGTAGAGCCACTCCACTGAATTTTTTCGTGCTACGCATGTATTATTACGCATGTGATTACCATAGTGGCAGGCAGTCAATTGCTTTTTTTGACCAATGGGAATGATGAAATGGCTAACTACAGCCAGTAATCTAATTAAAAATACAGCAGCCAGTTGCACAGCGAAGTGGACCTACTGTATATATACTCCCTTTACTGTGCCTATGTCTTCTTCACTCAACAAACAGTAAATATAAAACACGTATTCTTAGACCTGTTTCAAAAGCTCTGTTTTCCTGAATGCAATCAAGAAACTTTTGGAAAACTAGATTGTTGCCATGAATCAATTGTTTCTTCCTTCATGACAAAACTAATTCGAGTTTTTCTTTTTAACATACCTTGGTGTTGTTGACATGTATGCAATGAGGCCATTGCTTTCTATATAATGTGAAGTTCCGCAAGAACAAGGCAACAAAACATGAATGACCGCTAGCTAATATACCATCAACGATTATATAAATTGTTAATCAAACCACACTTTCAGCAAATTTCAATCTTTCTTTAGCCTCATTTACATGGCAACATTAGTTACACAAATAAACTTTTACTAAACAAATTACTGAATTATTCAATAAATTGCAACCTTTTGCAGAAGTTGTCTTTGAAAACCATGGTTATATAATGGTTTCATATTGAGGAGAAATCCGTCAAGGAGGAAAGGAAATTTTAAAAGCATACTTCAATTCAACTCCCTAAAAATCCTTCATATCCACATTTAAAACGTGTTGCATGATTTCGACTAACTTTAATTAGATTTCAATGAAATATTAATCACTGTACTTCGAGAAATATACATGCAAGTAATTGCGGCATTTAAGAACAAGCAGCGACAAGGCTAGACAGGATATGCATAAAAAATCTTCAATGAACATTTTGGAAAGATTGCGATTGGCTATCAAATCCTTTCGTGTTTCTTGCAATAGCTATACATTCGCTTTTTAATATTAAAAATGCTTGGCTGTAGAGATTGATCAATAAACTTGAAAGGTAAAACTAATCTTGAAAGAGGGCATAAAAGAAAGTTTCTGTTAATGCCACAAAGAGAGACTAAGACTAGTTAGAGACGTAGTGCTACTTCTTTGTTCAAGATTGTAGACTTTTTAAGGACCTTCCAAGAGCAAAAACATAAATTTTGAGTGATTGAAATTTAAATTTTTGTAATGTGTTCCTGTGGTACTCAGCATGAGTATTGAGTAAGGTGTGTTTTCAGATACAATTACTGTAAAAGCGACGCGTTTTTGTACAAAAAATAAAGAATTACAAACTCATTACCGTAATGAACTAGACATTTTGTATTTTTCCAGAGGCAAAAAATTTCACTTGAAAAGAAAATATTGCAGTCAAAATTTAAGAAGTTCGTAAGGAGTTGTCATGTTGCCTATTTTCAAGCGCTTTTCAGGTGCACTTAAAATTGAGTTTGTGATTTAAGGGCTTTTCAAGGAGCTCAAACAGTAGCAAAAACTCTGTATAATACAGTGCTACAAACACAAAACACAGAAACTTGACAATTTTGAAAAGAATTGTACGAAACTCGTCCACCAAAAAAGGTTTGCAGAAGTTTGTTATTTTGTTGACTATATAGACAAAAACAAGTAGAAAGCCTCTTTATCGTCACTCGTCGACAGATGCCGATGCTCGTCGATGTTTAATTGGAGATTTTGGTGAAATACATAGGATAGAAGCGGAAGCGGTCCGTCTATCTTTTGACCACTGTTGCAAAATCTTAGATGTATCACTCGACAAGAGTTTAATGGCTAAAAAGTATGGCTTCTCATGCATGGATATGAGAAATTATGCAAATCTTTCTGATGCCTTGAAAGCTTTATTTTGGCTGAAACGAACTGATTGAAAGAAAGCTTAATAATTGTAAAAATATTGAATGCAAATACCGTCCAAGCCTCTCATAAATCTTTTTATCTCTGCAAAGAGCAAACGACGAACTAAACGCATGAAAACACTTCAAGCAGTCTTTGCACACTACCAGCAGTCAAACATCTCGGAGTTAGTGAGAAGTCTTGGGCAGCTGCAATCCTCGACCTTCGGTCTCGGGCTTGCACTGGTCAAGTCTTGAGTTCTCCCAATGGTCTCCTTGGGTTGCAAAGCCTGCGCTAACACAGTAAACATCTTTTAATTCTTAATTGAGAACAAGGCAATATTTTTTGTGATTCAAATCATATTTGTTCATCCCAAATACTTCGTGCAAATCAGCTACGTTTGACGGGGACAGAGTGTACATGAAAATAAATTCTCCATTTCTCGGGAGAGGTCTTGACTTTGTAGCAAATCTATATTTACGAATGTGTATCGACCAAGATGCATTGCGCACTTTCGTTTATGTTTACATAATTGTGTTTTGTGCTTGCATCCTGCTAATTTATCCGAGAACTATATACAGTGGCAAAAAAGCTTTAGTTAGAGTGGCGTTTTATTTTTTAAAAAAATATTCAAATATCAAAAATATGTTTTTATGATTATTTACATTTGTTGCTGATATTATAAATTTACTAACGTCCGCTCAGTCAAACATCAAAAATCGTTCTCGAGGGGGAGTGGGTGGGTCAAATATTGCAAACAAATGCCAGCCATGTATGAATAATTGAATGGTCGGTAATTCTTGTCAAGTAAATATCGGCAGTGGCGTGGCTATCCCGCAAGTTTTAGTCCAGCTATGTAAATTCATTATCTTTATCGAATTCTTTAGCAATTTATCGATTTTACCCCATGCGATTCGAGAAAAACGTGCATAGCTGAACTAAATAAGTGGGTTGGCCACTGCACTGAATACCGGGGAGCCATTTGCTGAGAGGAATAAAAACAACGATTTAGAACACAATCCCCTAGATGTCTAACTAATGTGTCAAGGTGAGGCAAAAATTAAGACGCCATCTTGAAAGGTGGCTAAAACAAAACTCAAAATGAATATCCATGATAGTTTTCAATTAGTTGCCAATGTGGGTTTGGCTTAAATCGTTCGACGCCATTTTAAAACAATTATTTATAAAACAGCCTTTTTAAAACACGCGCGCTGATTGCCTGAATGCTCAAAAAAACCTGTATTTCTATAATCGAGAGCGAGTAATCTAATTGTTTCAATAGAATCATACTAGTATTCATAAAGAAAAGGGTTTTGCTATAGTTTTCTTAGTTCGTTGTTTTATGCATTTGTTGTTGTTTGCATCGTATTGTATTAAAAAGCAAACGATTCTTGCTCAATGCCTGTTTCGTTATTTTAATTGAATACTTGTTTATTTTACCTATCAAAGTTAACACATCGTATTTAGTGGCAAATTTAGTCGTCTCTATAATTGCCTCTTGAAGTATACAATCAAGTTGGTCGTCAGAAACCTGAATAAAACGCGATACGGCCGGGTCGGCAGCCCTGTTTTTCTGCTACTCGCTATCTATTGCTTTTTACTCGCTATCTGAACTGTTCTGAACTGTTCAATAGATATTGAACATTGAGATATCCAGTAAAGTGGCCAATCAAATTAAAGCATTTGCAGTGGAATACTAGTATGATTTTACTAAAACCTATAGATACACGGAAATTTTAAAAGCAAGAATATAAACAATTAACAAAAAGTAATTAAAACAAATGAATCAATTTTTTTATATGTGAGTTGTGAAAAGGTTATTTTATAGAAACACTTGTGAAAGTAATTTTTCGTTTCACCCAAACTTTCCCGCGTGTTTCTATACAACTCAATGAAGAAACGGAAAATGTATTCTATTTCTGTAAGGGAACGATCAACGCCTACAGTATAATGCATTTCTTATGCCAACGTTCTTGGGGCGTGCCTTGGAAGTTTTCCATAGACTGTAAGAAGAAAAAGACAGATTTTCAACAAGCTGTAAATATTATCGAATTTGTGGCATATGCTAACAGGGTTCCCACTGCAAAACTTTTAATGTCCTTGAATTTAAATCAATAATCTCAGATGTTTTTGCACTTGATGCGCATATTGTTTCGAGCTTGCTTAGCAGTTGTATTTTTGGGTGGTGATGGGCTTTAGGAAAAAAGTTCTTCATTCGAAATAGCATGAGCTTGTAAACGTGCAGGATGGACTATTAATAATTGAGGGGGCATATTGACATGCATGCATGTTTTATTTTATTGGTGTCTATATTGAAACCAATTGTGATGACGGAATATAGCATATGAATATATGAATATGAGCCCCAATTCTCAATGTTCCACAACCCTTGACTGAAGCAAAACCGTAAATTCAGAGCTACTACATACATTACTTCCAGAAACAATCAATCCTGAGTTCTTTCCAACTACATCTTCTACTATGTTTTGAAAGATCTAAAGAACGGTGAAAAATTGTCGCATTCGTGCTTAGTATAATGATAATTTTACCAAGACTTCGAAAATGATAACAAACCTGACTAAAATGATCCACGCTATCTTCTCTAGCACTGGTTTCATAGTACAGAGAATGTTTCTGCAAAGCTTTCTGAAAAGTAATCATATGGAAAACATGAATGAATTTAGGACTTTCAAAGAGGACAGCAATATCAATTCATGTAAGGTAAGGAACCAGATTTTGGCATTACGACCATATTAGCTACTTCAAATTGTACTTTTTTTACATTAAAGGACAACTAAAATAACAAAATTTTCGGTTCGTAAATACCGAGTTTACGGATTAGGAATCTATAAGTGGATTCTCGATTTTAGAGTCTCATTTAGGCTTTCACTTCGGAATCTTTCCTCAATTTTTTTATGCGATTTCAACTCTAAATTCAGGACAATATATGCAAACGATTGAATTCCCATGCAACAACTAATGACGTTCACTTCTTTTGGAATGCGATGCGGATACATTCGCGCTTACATGTTTAGCTTCCTCTGTGCTTATACAACGCTGTTGCACTTTGTCTCTTTTGTTTCCAATAATATAGCTTGGTATCTCTTGACTGGCACTCTAACATAAAAAAAGATGTAATTACTACCTTATGAACATATATATACACATACAGTACGCTGAAATGCACTTTACTGTCACAGGAGGAAAGGCCTTCTTTTCTGTAGTAGTAAAAAAGTTGTGCTACAGTCGTGTAAACATCAGAACATCGTTAATAATTGTTTCTCCAGAATTCTACCGTCTTTGCAGAGCGTGAACGCAGAAATTTTAGCAGAATGCAGCAGTAATAGTCCAGCTGTTAATGACAAAATTCTTCACTTTGATGATACAAGTATGAAACTTTCTCACATTCTTACTATGCCTAGTAACACAAAATTTTGATATAGGGCCAGCCCATATTTTACATTTATAACGAGTTCTGCGAATGTCGTGTTTGATGACGTCATCGGTAGTAAAAAAATAAAGTTCAGAGAAATCTGCAATTTCCCTGTATATTCTTATACAACAGCTAAAGACGATAAAAAAACTATATTACAACTTTTGCTTTTGAGCAATAAATTCTGAAATATTCTGCATTAAAAGTGTTTTAAAAGTGCTGACTCAGCACTCTTGTTTTGTGCTATTGCTCTTTCTTAAATACATTGGAAAAGCGCCTAACGAAGAACAGTAATATTAAAATAATTTTAATGCCCTCATGTTATTGAAAATCACCCCCACAATTACTCAAACGAGTACCAACTAAGTGTGCTTTGACGCATTTACAACGAATAAGTTCATAACAGGCATCTTTAACTTGAGGGAGATTTGTCTACTTTGGTAACCAAGAATTTTCATCACGGTACCAGCCCCAACCTGACGGAGTTGGTATAACCTGCTCTTTCAAGCAGCACTGCCCCCAGAAAAATCCACCTTGCAACAATGCACGCTTAGTGTGCTGGAGCAACGCTTCTTGGGTTGGTGGAATGTTATCCAGTGTTCTGGACTTTTTCGCAAACAACTCTTGTCTAGCTTCATTGACTCTGGTGAGATTACTTGTACGATCGTATAAGAGGACAACATATCGCTCAATCACCTGCAAAACATTATATGAATCATAATAGAGACCTTCTTTCATAGATAATACATGCCTTTGGCGGTTTCTGAATTACCTGCAAGGACGAACAATCAATCCTTTCTGGCAACAAATTTAGCTCTTGTAACGCTAATGTTAGCTCTGGAAATACATTCCATACATCCCATGCAGTTTTCTTTCCTCGATCTCCAAAAAAGGAAACAGTATCACACCCCGTAAAAGCGTGAAACAACGGTAGAACAGATGCCTTGTCAGGTCCGATAGTCGATGCAATTGTATGCGCGGGAATATAACGCGAGTGCTTTCCTGTGCCATAAAGAATCCATAATTCTTCTCTTTGATGTTTTTCACAATTGAAATGGCCAGTATCAATACGTCAGTATCATTTGTTCTTACAACAATCCTCTGGTGGCCGCAGTCACTTGCATCTAACACGTGCACCATCAATCGTGTGTCAGCCTCTTCATGATTACATGGTTCCAACATTGATACTTCGGTTCTTTTAGGGAAGCACAAGACCTTTTCTTCAAATGTACTGTAAATTTCTCTTCCTTCTGGAATCTGCTGGGAAATAACTTTCTGCGCTAAGAAATTGAATAGATCCATTTTATTGGCATCTACACGCAGGAAGCCCTTCCAGTCAGTAGGGATACGTGCTGTCGATGAAACCTTGCGGCGTTGACCAAAGCCTCTCTTCTCCCGTGCGTTTTTTTTCAGCGAATCCTCTTTGTATACATCCCACACTAAATCAATTCTTTTAGCTGATTGAAATTGCTTTAACACATAAGGAATGAAAGCAAACTGAGCGTACTCTTCGAACGTTTCCCAAGTTCCAGGTGAAATCATTTGAACAACAACAGCCCCGTCTAAAATAATAACATCGGGAGTTGGTGACTGAACTTTGGTAATGGGCTCGATACACTTTGTCAAGTCTGCTTTATTAACAGTACGCAAACTTCCTGCTTGTGAGAGAGATGGTGGCCATGGTTGGTTCTCATATTTAAAGAAATCATCGAGATCACCACTTCGATTTTGACTGGCTATATACAATCTTGAAAATAAGCACAGTCTAGTTTCAGAGTTTGTATATTTACTTTATCTTTTGACGAAAGTCTTTTTCTTCCTGTTTTAAACGTTGGCAGATTATTTTTTCTAAACGTTTCAGTAATACTCTTGCTTCTCTGAACAAATCTTTCTTTAACAAATGCTTGATATTGTTCTTCTCCAAGGGTTACAACATTCTTCACCGTGTCAACAACGGAACTGTTCATCACGTCATTTGTGTGGATAGCAAATAGGTCTTCGCTCTCTTCTACAAAAGGATTCCCCATCGCTTGAAAATTGGAGACGACATTTGAGACATCTTTATAAAATTCTCTTTGAATGGATGGAGTTTGCTCATCGTGTAGCTGACTGTCTAGATGTGTACTCATCTCGAATTCCCTAATTATTCATGCAATTTCTGGACCTGCAATCATCCATCTCCTTAAAGCTGAAAGGTTTTCGGTTAGTCCCACAGCACCACCTTCTCCCTTTACCACTGCATTAACTTGCTCGTGAGCATGATTTAATGCTATAGCTGAAAACTGTTTCTTATGCACCACAAACGAGCCCTTGGAGAACTGGTTAAAGACGTCAGGGTGTTTGAATGGAAGCTCCGACATATCACGGATATGGACAGAAAGCCATCTTGCATAATTAACATTGTCCAAAGCAAACATCCAAGGGACAAGTTGCTTTATTGACTGGAAGTATAAGGAGAAATTAGCTTCTCTAAATGATCGCACCAGTTGTAAACAGAGCAATTCTAGTTCCAAAACTCTGGTCCAATACAGAAACTGAGGATGATCCTTTGACATGTCTTCTTTCCAAATGTGGAATTCTTTAGCTTTACGTCATTGTAATTACCTATGTAATTACCTGAAGATATGATCGTCGCACTTTGCTGGACAATTTAAGCAATCGTCTCAGGACCTGAAAAAATCAGGTGACTCAAAATATGTGAAAATGCGAATGTCGTATGTTCGAAGGAATGTCGTATGTTCATGGGTTCGAATCCCGTTGAGTCACCTGATTTTTTCAGGTCCTGAGACGATTGCTTAAATTGTCCAGCAAAGTGCGACGATCATATCTTCATTTAATTTCAAACACCGCACTGCATAAAACATTCATACTATATCAAAATTTTGTGTTACTAGGCATAGTAAGAATGTGAGAAAGTTTCATACTTGTATCATCAAAGTGAAGGGTTAGGTGTTTTTTTGTCGTTAACAGCTGGACTATAACATTACTGGGAGGTTCAAAGTGTCAAGTGCGTGGAGGCCCTCGAGTTTTAACCTGCTCCTCCCGCACAAAAATACCAAAAAAAGTTATATAAATAAAAGCATTTACGTGAGATCAAATTACGAGCTGCAGGCAGCGTTATGTGGGCACCCAATGCTATAGTGGAACAACTTGGCAAATGTAGTATAAAAAATATTATTTGCGCTAAGGAATGTTTGGAAGCGTACTCTCAACAAATCAATATAGCTTATTCTCCAATCAAATATGTAAGCAAAAGTTGTTCTATGTAAACTTACCTCGCAAGTTGCAAAAATACAAATGAATATAAATGCGGTCATTCAGCTTATTTTTAGTGGAGCAAGCAGGGGCAGGCCTGCAATAAACGGTTGACTGGCAGAGGGCCTCTAGCTGTTGCGTTTGGTCGTGCAGAGATTGAATACAAGTGAATAAATTGTCGCTAGCAATTTCACTGATCACCAAGAACCAATTTCAATGTTTTGCTATTAGCTTTAAGACACGTTAACACAATCCGATTTTTTTATTCTAAAAACAGATCATGAGAACACATATAAAGTGTTCCTCCGACAGTCGGATCCGTCAGTCTGAAACCTTGAATTTGGAAAACAAGACCAAAAATACGCAAAATATATCGATAAATGTTCTGGAAATCACAAATGGCTGCTCTCACAACTAAATATATCTCCTAAAATACACCTCTGGATAGATTTTCAGTACAATCTCCTGTCAATCATTTTGCATATAGCGTTTACAGTCACTGACGTAGTGAGATGGCAGCATTACCATCGAGGCAGTGGCGGATTACCCTGTAGGCTGAACCCTACTGGCCCGCTCTTTCGAGACGCCGTTGTATCTGGACATAATTAGTTTTTCCTTTTGGCATGTATTCCGGACAAACTGAATGTTCTTAATTTAGTCTTAATGTTAATTATATGCTTTTGCATATAAACCGTGCACAGTGCTCAGAAGCTATGAAGCAGTGGGTTTTCTCAGTTTGAGCTTTAAATTCATTTCCTGCATTCTAAGGCTTACAACACTGTCTTAGTTCTCTCTTCACCACAGTATACTCCCACTTCCTGTAGGTAGCATCCATTCTTTTACCATTTAAGAAAAGCCACATGGTTAACTCTTTTTGGAATGGCGCTTATTGGCGCATGCTGGAAATCATCGCCTTAAAATTCAAGATCAGTCCGGAGGTACAAACTCTTGATACTGCCCAAAGACAGGGACCACTTCGGTCTTACACCCATTTTCACCCGTTTCTTTCACCGGAGAGGGCCGAAAGAATGAACAAGTACAGGCCCGTAATTAGTAACCCGCCACTGCATCGAGGTACAATTAGCTAATTCTATGTGAGTGCATGGCTGGAAGTTCTGGTATTTTGTCCTGTACTGACAGTAATCACCTGTTGCTTTGGAATAAAGTTCAACCAATTGCTTATATTTTCGTAACTGCGACGATTTGTAAGATCAAAGAAAGCAATCACTGCCTATAAAAATTAAAGTGATGAAAAATGACATCAGATCAGAGTCAGACACAACCCTTCCCCATGTGCTAAACAATATCCAGCTTAATTTACAGACATAACGAATGATTGCGTTACGAGGGTAAAAAGGGGTGGAATTGAACTCAAGATCATTTCAACTCCCCAAATAAAATGCTCTGCAGTTCCTAAGGAAGGCTGAGAATACAAACAACAGTTATTGAAACAGCTTGTGCATTATATTAATTCCAAATTATATAAATGTCTGTTTAATATTTAATATAATGATCAAAAATTTGGACACCTGGTGGACCTATAGGTGTAGTAGTCTAATGGGGAAATTTGAAACAGGGTTCAATGCTGCAAGTTTTGATTAAAAGTTGTCTCAAGCTGAGATTTGATTGTTCTTCCACACCAATCAAGAGTCTTAGATCTGATTCAAAACATGGGTTTGTATATCTTCCAATCTAGTATCTTTATCTTAATTTGAAATTTAAGAACTAAAATACTCCATTCTAGTGTTTTCATAATGTGTGATCTGAAGTTCAAATTTGAGTCCTCATATACACAAGTTTAATGTCTTCATCATGAGGGATCTTATGTTGAAACTTCAGTCCTTATATACTCCAGTGAAACTTGATTATCTATCTACTTAAATGTAGTATCTTTGTCAGTGACCTAATATTGAAACTTTGGTTATTTTATCATTTCTACATACTCCGACCAGTATAGAGTCTTGGTCGGATGTTATCAGATGTCAGCACCTACTATACACTGTACATTATTAGCAAGAGCTCACATTCAACACATAAATCCATTCAAATGATTGCATCAAAAACTGACAAATAGATGTTTCTATGCATTTTTTTTATATAATCACAATGTGTAATTGGGATAACCTTAGTGTTCTTCATGTAGTAAGCAACTTCTGTTCGAAAATTTTCAAACCCAGGCGCATCCCTAAAAGGTAGACATATGTTGAAAAAGCAATCAGCAGAACAAAGACACAAAATAAGACTATCAGTTGTCCTGCTGACCATATTTCCAATACCACTTGATTCTTTTTTACTGTGAAATGTTTGTACTTCAATGTTTCTACAAGATCAAAAAAATTATGAATAGCAAAGACTTAACAAAATCAATAGTGGCCTTTGTATGAAAGAAGCAGCAATAAAATAAAACATCAGGTTAGGCGAGAATTTGTTGTTGACCTATAGAAACAACAGCAAATACACTTAAAACTATGGCAAGGAAAAAGATTCTGCTAGATATTTTGGGAATTCAGTTTGATGATTAGCACTAAGCAGCAGTTTTTGTCAAGCAACACTAAGCAGCAGTTGTTACATAAATGTCAAGATTTGTTAGGACTTGAGTGTCAAAAAGTGGTGAGCAACATTGCACTCTGTAACACTTCAATCATGGTAAAAACTAACAATCATGGTTAAAATAACTGACTTTGATAGCAATGTCATATGGGTACACAAATGGATTGAAAAACTCCCATAACCATTAAACGTGTTCGACCACGGATCGGAATAACAATAGAACGATTAAAGTAGACCCGCGTCTGGTATACCGCGCTTTTGTACAGTAATCTGCAAGCTTTACCTACCTCTTGCGGTAGTCATTATAAATGTCGGGTCGAAAGCTTCCCCTAGAAGGCGACGAAGTACCGAGGTCTTTCCAACCTTTGTGTCACCGATAAATACGACCTTAAGTGTCAAAGGCATAATCGGTTTGACTTGATTTACAGAAAACAAACTTTGCTGTGAGTCAGGTTGGCAATATTCAGCAGACTCGCGATTTTGTATAAACACATTCTGAGAAGACCATATTCATGTAAATTGTCCGAGAAGTGCAAGCTGCACATCCGGAATGGCTTACGTCTGCATTCCTCACTTCAAAAAACAAACTTTTTAAAAATTAACCACTTGTTGATATTTAACAGGGAACTGCTAAATAAAATTTGCACACGAGTCACAATCAATACTCTAGGCCTACAAATATCCTTTTATTTCAATTCACTTTTTCCGTAGGGGCAAATTTTTAGCAACATTAACAACACAAAAAACTGTTGGGTTTGATTTTCTAGTAACTACAAAGATAAGTATACATATGCATGTTTTTAATACCAATTAAATACATTCATTGTTAACCATTACATGAAAGTCATTAAGGTATCTTCTTTTTAATGTATGATAAATCAATAAAATAATTGCCAAAATTATCACTGTAAAATAGTATTGTAAATAAATTCAAAAAAAAACACACATGAATTAATAGGGAAAATATGCGAACACCACACAATGGAAGGAAGTTCAATTTCACTGACAAGACTCCAATCTGTTCTGTATTTAAGCTATTCCTAAACAGCATATATGATATTTCATAATTGTCTTAATATCACAAAAGCTAGTTAACATACAATCACACTACTATAATAGCGTGCATCTCCAACCACTATTCGACTTTTTATTGGGTTGATTTGTAATCTTAACACTGCCAGTTGCTCTGTTTTGATCCTCCTGTAAGATTGAAACAAGTATTGTAGATATTCTGACACGGCAACCACTCATACAACAACTCCCATGGACAAGAGGCAACATGTGTTTTTACCAAATAATATCAATATTTATACAACAACAAAAGGAAAGTGATCGCTCTAAAATGATGCAACAAACTCACCAACTTCTTATCCATTTTTGCTTTGATGTCACGAGCCAAAGCAAAGAAAGCTTCTTCCACGTTGATGCTTGCTTTTGCACTTGTTTCCATAAATTTAATACCATATTCCAGGGCAAGCTAAACACACAATAAATTTGAACATGAGCAAAGTAGATTTTGAAAAAAACCATCTTTTAATTATGTCATTCATACGTACTTGTTCGCCTCTTGTCTTGGAAACTTGACGTCTATCATCCATATCACATTTATTGCCCAGGACCATTTTTTCAACATCCGAAGATGCATGCTTTATGTAAAAACAGAAATGATTAAATATTCCATTAACTGTTCCATGGGTGGCAGCTCTTTTTGAAAGGGGAAAAACTATTTAGGACATACCTCTTCAATATTTCTGATCCAATTTTTAATATTATCAAAGGATTTCTCATTGGTAATATCATACACCAACATGATGCCCTTAGGAAAGAAGGAACGATTTTTGAATGATGAACTGGCAAATCATAGAAATACCACGAGTTCATCAAGTAGATCTCAACTACATATCTCTACTGTTTTCATCCGGAATGACTTTATGTTAAAATTTTAGTCTTTGCACATTCAAATTTGGCACTTTCATCTGGGGGAAATATGATTTTAAACAAAGCTCATACAAAGTTCAGTGTAGTATCTTCATCAAAAGTGATCAGATGTTGAAACTCATGTTCTTACAAAATCTAGTCTAGTGTCTTCATTACAAGTGATCTGATGTTCAAAATGAGTTTTTGCTTATTATCTTAACTATGAACAACATACTATAGTCAAACATTTTCATTAAAATTGACTAAGATATAGAGCACTAAAGTGACCACTTGACAAGCAACTCTAACCATTGCACCACGATAATATGCTGTTGTGATTGTTCTGAATCGCTCTTGACCTGCTGTATCCCTGAAAAAATAGATGAACATTTAGAAAGTCTCTTGCAAGCATAGTAAGGGCAATATGAAGAAAGGAAATGGCTCTTCTGTAAGTTCATGTCAATTTCTTCACATAACTCAACTCATTATCACAAAATAAGAAATAATTACGTTGATCTCATATAATGTTAGCATTCTCAAAATGAACAAGATAACAAGTCAACACTTAGAGGTGACAGGGGCAACTGTTATTAAAAGGACGCATTAAAATGCAATTTTATTGAAAGAAAAATTGAGCTTTGTACTTAGAAAATTCGTTTACGCCTGGTTTATCATACACCGTTAACGCTTCAGGTAAGAAATCCGTACAAAATACAATGTCTACCATTAATGATAATTACATAATGAGAAGATGAGCGGCTAATTCCGATTTAAAGGTATTAAATATAAAATATTCAAACGTCACCTTACCATATCTGAAGCTTGATTTTCTTTCCGTCTAATTCAATTGTTCGTATCTTGAAGTCGATACCTTAATATTGGGAAACAAACATATCAGTTGCTACGCTTTTCTTACGCCCACCAAAACACAAGATAAACGAGGCTACTCGATAGACATTTTCGGTTTGAATTTTTGAAGTAGAGGACAATTCATACGAGAAAATCATTACCAATTGTCGAGATGAATGTCGAATTGAAGGCATCCTCGGAAAATCTAAACAGCACACAGGTTTTTCCAACACCGGAATCGCCGATCAGAAGCAACTTAAATAAGAAATCGTAGGTTTTTGCCATCCAAACGCCGGATGAATATTTACAGTGTTCTTCTTGACTTAGCCATCAGGTGTGGTAGAGACATCGCAGTGCGCATGCGCCAGTTAAGACAAAGTGAAATTATTATACATGAAGTATTTGTGTCTAACACATCGTCGACACGTGTCAAATATCAACAACATGTCAACAATTACACTAGGAGTATGCCATGCATTTTCACGTAATGTTCTGCAGGTTGACTGGAGTGATTGCAAAACAATTTGAAAGAAAGAGCGTAGATAAACCAATAATTGCCCGGATGTTTGATAAATTCTAACCAGTCTAGGGTGGTGGTGGTGGGAGGACGACGATGCGTGTACTTTTTATATTTGCAAATTTTAAAAGTAAACCTCCGATGTTAGATTTTCTAAAAAGAATATTAGTCAAACTTATAGAAAAACAAAAAAATGGCCAAAAGTTACAGTAATGCAAAGACAAAAATTAAGAAAAGTCTGCTCGGTTTTCGTCATGCTTTTTCTTGGTGTAAATGCACAAAAATCCAGAACAGAATCTGTATCTTTGTGCTATCTGTGTACAGCATATAAAAAGAAAAGGAAATAAACACATTGCATATCACCGACGGCCTGATAAGTTTCATGTATATCTATTGTTAAAAACAAAGGAAAAGTAAAGAAGGGAAAATTGTTTGTCATCAAGCAAAATATATCAATAAAACATTTTTAAGGTAGACATAAACACAAAGTTAGACATAAAGGTAGCACAATTTACACAAAGGCAGACATAAAGGTATACATAAAGGTATAAACACAAAGGTAGTCGTACGTAAAGGTAGACATGAAGGTATAGACACAAAGGTAGTCGTACGTAAAGGGTAGACATAAAGGTAGACGTGTTCATAAAGATAGACATGAAGGGACACAAAACTTTTAAGATTAGATTCAATAGATATCGGGTTGTTTCTTCAAGTACGAATATATTAATGTTAAATAATCATGTGGAACAAATACATAATTACATGCATAGCATCATACATAAAGATATTATTCACTTTAAAGTGCACATTCAGCTTTCCAAATTCGATGAACTTTTAAAGTTTAGACTGTGGAAAATATGATTTCGAAGAGAATTTCGTAAAAAAATAAAAACAAAGTTTTTTTTGCGGTTTGAATTAGCTTGCTTTTGAGAAATTTCCGCGCCTCTGAGGGGACTTAAAACGAGAGGTTTGTGACGTCTTTAAGGAACCTATGAATGCGCTGCATACAAAACAACACAGTGTGAAATAACAATTCTTTATATATGGCTTTAAAATTAATATAAAAATTGTACGAAACATGTCGACATCCGATTCTGAGTCAAGTACAGCAACAACAGCGGAAAATATTGAATTGAACAGTCGGGAATTCGATTTAGAAGACGAAGATCAATCGTCATCAAATGCGCTCCGAAACACCGATGGCGATTTTGAGTACGGCCAAGCTGCAGCGTATGAAAACGAGCCACTTGCTGATGATGAGTGGTTAGAAAACTATAATAGAGAGACAGAAGAAGAAAGACGCCAAACAGAAGAGCTCGAACGCAGAATGCAAAATGAAGTTCCTCTTGATTCTTGGTAAGAAAAGTTGGAAAATTTGTTTATTTGTTGCCGAAGCTTTTGACAGATAACGTTCTGATGGAGTTTCTTCGGCCATATTTAATTATGGAGTTTAATATTGACCGCGCGAACATAGAAGTAGCCTGGGCCGAGAGTCAATAATACAGAGTGATAAAGAGATGTCAGCAAATGGTAGAAAACGATAACACAAAAATCTAGCTTGTACTATTAATTCTTACGAATAACTATGACATCTACAGATACTATAATACTGGTATGTTTCATCTTATAGATAATTCTAACATTAGTTGCAGAAATATGAAATATATTTTGACTCAAGCAAGTGCAATATTTTACTTGGCAACAGGGCAGTATCAACTATTATTGTCGAGCAAGATTTTACAGGCACCTACAAAACGTGTATTTGCAAGGTTTGCAGAAGCACGGAGGTGATCCGGTTTTGACTATGTAAAACCATCAAGCTCATTTCCGTTTACCACATTTCAGCCTACGACAAATGATAATTTTGGCGGTCGTAACAACATCATCTCAGTAAAGAAATCAGATTTCGAAAAGATGGAAGCGTTAGACAACGATGACTGACAATCTGGCTCAGGTATCACTGTCTCATCCCCCCCAGGGTCATATGCTCAGTTAATACCCTCGCACCATAACTTCTAGTGGAAATTGTTTTCAGCTTTCAGCAATTAATTAGCTAAACTTTTGAATAATATAAACGTGCATTAACATAAAAACAGCTTGATCATTATGATTGGATTATGCAATCTTAGTGTTTCCAATATCAACAGTAAAACTACTGCACTGTCCTCAATATATTAGGTTAAACAATGCCAAAATACATCCGATTGACTGCAATGGTCAGAAACTGGAAGTAGTTATATTTTATTCCTGTGCATGGCATGCATTGATACAATATGGCACTTTTTGGCAACTATCACACTTTTTATATGTAGCTAATTTATCCACAAGTTATGTTTTTATTTTTTAACCTTATTTCTCGTTTTTAGTATTTATAGAAGTACTTTTACATGGTTTTATTCATGCTATTGGTCATTATGCCATAAATTGCTTTCGTGAAGAAATTATGCATATTTACAAAATCCAACAATATAGACTACCTAAAAACATCGTATAATATTTACTACGTAATTGCTTTAATTTTCGAAAGACACATCGACTGTACAATGAAAGCAGTGGCAGATTTAGATCCTACTGTGGACACATCTATTGATGCTGCCACCAAAATGAAGAAACCTAATATATCTTCTGATGATGTTGTAGAGGATGACGACGAATTCTTTGAGAAGAATTTTCTTGACGAAGACTACGGTATTCGAGATGATGTTCGTAAATTATTAAAAAGGTTTGTGTCAAAGATATTTACCCCACTTCCTCTATAAATGTTGTCTTAAAGAGCATGTTTAAAACGGTCAACGCCACTATAACCTATGTAATTTCAAAAATGAAAAAAACTGTAAAATAGTTTATACATGACACAATAGTTACGCTTTTTGCGAACAAACTGAACAGTGTCAAATATTTGTGCGAACCAGTTACTTGCGTTAAACTTTTACTAACCATTCATCATGGCGAACACTCTCATCAATACAATATTTAGATATTTTGCCATACAAAGCTCTCTTCTCTTTTACATAGTTAAAGTTGGACTTTTTAGCACTCTAGCAAAAAAAACAGGTTGCATTGAAAGGATGCTCAATAAATACGCTAAATAAAATCACGCGTAATTTAAATCTTTCTGTGTTCACTGTTTTTGACTTTTTTCCTGTGAACTAAAAATCAAGTTGCAAATTTCAGTCGGTAATAACATTAAAAACAACATGATTTGGTGCTACGTTCACCTCTGAACAACTTTCTTTTATTGTATCATTAATTTGATTTTAGCATTTTCTATGAATGAGAGAAAAATTGTTAAACATAATTCTAATTAACACATGTTGTTTTTGTTGTACTTAATTTATTGAATATCATTATATATTGTGTAGATTACCTTGGATTTGTGGTGGATATGGTGTAAGATGGGAACCCCGTCTATCTTTGTATGTGACTGTGGCAACTGAAAGACAAGATGATGAAGATGCATTAAGAAAGGAAATTGATGAAAAATTTGGATGGAAAGCTTCTCCTTACTTTAAATTTGAAACCAGAACCAAAAGAAAAATCACAGTTTCGATTTTTGTCAGACCTTAAAGTAGTAAAAAGAGAAAACGGTCCTAATCCAATGCGTAAAAAGAAGGACAAAAAAAAGATTCATGAAACAATGGCAAAAGGTTCTGTCACAATGTTTTGTGACACAGACAAGAAACACTACGCTTTGACCCCTTTTCACAATTCATGCATCACTGACCGACAAGCCGCTGGTAACGAATTCAATTTTTCCCACATCTGGGAAGATATAAAACAATTATGCGAGAGAATTTCTAGAAGAGAAATCCAAGATGAAAATAGATGTTATTACGTTCCTCTTATGGGTAAAGAAATAAAACTTGGAGCTCCTTGTTTTCGATCATTTAATGAAAACACTGACATCATGGCCATTGAAGTGATTGATCGTAAAAAGATTACTCGCAACCCTTTCGTAATCACGGAGACTGATTGGAAAACAGTTAAAAATCAACTAAAGAAAGGAAATGCTAAGGTTCAGAAACGTGTTGGAGGCGCTGTAGGAAAAATTTTAGACATTAGCTAAAATTTTTCACACATATGCAAAGAAACCGGACGTGACATCTTCAGCAAAGTTATCACCATTGAATGCGAACGTCCTTTTCTTAAAGATGGAGATTCTGGAGTGTTAATAGATTTCTACAATGAGGACACAGAAGAACACATACCTCTGGGTTACGGAGTCTGCGAACATAAAAAAAATGATGGAAAAATTGTCTATGTAGCCTTTAGATTAGACGTCGCATTGAAAAATCTAAACTTAAAAAACTGTCGTTGGTACTTGCAGGCATAAAGAGTGATCTTGGTCTTATTTAATGAAGTTTGGGGTGAGAAAAGTTTATACTGATGTTTTATTCAAATGCGAAAGTACTTTTTCGTATTCATATACATCGATTTAGGTTTATTGTGTTTATCAATTACTTATTTTACTTTATTTTTATCATCATTTTGGTGTCATTGGTGATATGTTCATTTTCACTGTCACTTGTATTCACTATTTACACATTTGCTGCACAATTCTTGTCATTATAATTTTTATTTTTCTTCCAAAATCCATACTTTTCTCTGTAAGTTTATGATTGGAGTTGAAATTACGAAATTTACCAGACTTTGACAAATATATTTACCACCTCAACACTATATCTTCAATATGTAAGTATTTTCTGCATGGCTATTGTTGTAGTTAAGCAAATCATTTTTAAACAAATAATCATTATGTACTCGCCAGTAAAATAACCCAGTCAAACTAAAGACAACATAAGTTTACTGAAACAAATTAAAAATTAAAACTATTGTCGTTTGTCTGAATTCTGGAATGTCTTAAGTTATACTAACAAATGAATAAAATATAAACTAAAATTAACAACCACAGGACTTTCTGCACGTAACGCCGTTTAGTTTAGCACAAAATACAACAAAAATGCTCGTATAACATCAATCATTTCTTTAACGCTCAACTGGTGGCGGTGTTCAAATTCATTTTTAACCACAATGTTTCCATGGGAGAATACGTTCCAAAAAAATAACGGATTTTGCCAGTATTGAGCGACATATCTTATGAATCATCGTTAGAGTACCAGATACAAAATCTTTACACATGTAGATATTATTTATTCCATGTCATTAACTCAAAAACGCTGGTTTACAAAGAAAAGGTCTGATTTCAATTCTTGGTGTGCAAGTTAAGCCTCTTTCAAACGTCGAACTTGACATGCACCGAACGCATTAAAAACAAAAGAAAATGAGATGAGCTTCCTCATTGTCTTTTGTTTTAAATGCGTTCGGTTCATATATGCTATCTTAAGTTCTACCGGAAATTGGTATTTTTGTGTGGACTTAAATCATCCTCTATTCTATGCACTATACGAGTAAAAAACTACCTTTGCTTCAATATTGTTCAAAAACAGTTAAATTGAGTGCAACATTGAACGTGCTTATGTAAAAAAAGTTCTAAGTTTCTTTTTATAGTAGCTCCACAGTTTAGTTGATGTTTATCATATATTCATTTCATTACTCTTTTTAAAATATAATTGCTCATTTTTACATGATATTAATAAATTGACATATATGTGGCTACTAACTTTATGTAAAATAAGAAAATTTAAGCAATTATCTTAGTTTGCCACCTGCAAACACCGTTTTCAATTGTTTAGTTCGTTACATTGCTAATTCATTTTTTTAAAAGAAGTTTTTGTACATTAAACACGTAGCAACATGATTTTAAGTGTATGGAAACTTTCCTTTTCAAGGATGACAGCAAACATCAGAAAATCTTATGTTTACATCTTGATATAAATTATCTGAATGATTTTTTATGTGAAATAAATTATGGCTAAGTCTGTTGACATGCAGTTTTTAAAAAAGAATTGTAAGGAACGGCAGTGGTCAAAAAATTTAAACTGCCAATAATATTGTCTACACATTATTTGAATTTAAACTTCCAGCTTTTAGCTAACTTCAAGCTAATAAAGACACCTGCAAAATAAACGGAGTTAAATACATGGACGGCAACATAAATTTGAGAGAAATATTTTTACATTTTCAAAATGATCACACTTTGTTTGACATCAAATTTACAAATCAATGAAAACTTATTTGTGTTGCTGACGACTCTGCATACCCATAAATTAATTCTTATTCGAATTTCAAAATTAACTCTACTTTCACCGTTTTTCTTTAAAGGCAATATTTATTATTCGTATTTTTGTTACGTTGGATGTAAACTTCTTGATCAGGAAAAATCTTTGTTCATTGTTATCTTACACCAATATTTATGATTATTTGAGCTTTCACTTTTACAGAAAAATATTCTGAAAAGATAAGCAGAATATGCAACATTCATCTATGTGACAAATTAAATCAAACTTTAATTCATAATATATAGTATTATTTAACTTGGCATATGAAAATTCAAACAAGTAAATTATTTGCTTAGTAACTTCTACTCAATATCCTTGTCTTGACAATGAATGTCAAATTCGGGGCTTGTAACTGAATGAAAATTATTTAAATAACGAGACCATATGAGTAACTAGCTTTTAATCATGAAACTTTCAGCAATATCAAATATGAATATAATATTAGCCTTGCAGTTTTCTTTCTGGAAATATTCAACCTATTTTACTGTTTATATACCATAACATTTTTTTCACTAAAAATGTGTTGTCGAAAATCTTTAAAAGAAGTTTTTGCTTCATCACAACAATAGTCAACATCAAGATCCAGCTAGGGTTGTAATGAAATATATACACAACAACCGGAGAGCTCGAAGCTTCCAATGTATTTATTGCCAATACTATATGCTAATTATATACAGGTGACTAATTAATATTCGACTATTACATCTACCTTTCCTGGGAGATTTTTTTTTTCATGAAGTTTAACTAAATTATTATAGCCATATCATTAATATAATAACATTTCTTTAACTATTTTAAAGTATTTGACTGTTCAAAAAAAATATACAACCTAAATCTACTTGAATGTTTTCGTTAACTTCAAAGGTTTAAACGATCTGAGGATTTACTTATCGTTCCAGATTTTGTTCTGATTTATTCTGAGCTGTTTGAACTTGCTGCAGAAGTCGTCACTTCTTCTCGAATTTGCGTTTCACTATAGTTCTGGGTTGGTTGTGCGTCGCTAGCAGAGTGACTTAATTTCTGGGTTATTTTTTTATTTTCTTCGTTATTACTTTTTCTCTCTCTCGTTTTCTGTAACGTGGAATAAGTGTCTTCTATTTCTTTTGAAAACGCCCAGTATTAGTTTGCATAGTGTATGATCTAGGAGTGTTAGCTGCACCAACAACAACCACGTACTGTGCCCACAATGTTCAAGTGGGAGAATGGGGGAAACATTGTTTATCTTTCTGGGAGCTTTAATGCCCATAGACAGGTGCAATTGTGGTAACTGCCGTGTTCCTCTGTTCGTTAATCTAAAAGAATGTAGATGTTGCCACAAAATTATCAATTGCATGATTGAAATGCAAGATCATATGGTGGTATACGAATTAGGAAAACAGCCAAAATGCATCACAGAGCATCCAGGATTTGATGCCATTTGCCTCAATCGATGGGCATTAAATTTAGCTGCCAATCTTTACCAAAGGTGAGATGGAGTTAGATATCGCAAAGGTTCTTGGAGCAAAGGTTTGTAACAATTAATAGTTAAATGCTTCTGTCTGGGTTATCTATGAATGCACACTTGCAAAATTTGTATTTTATGGACTCCTACCTCTTTTAATGGACCTTGTGTATTATGCCTTTTCAGGTTTTTCGAGTTGTTGCATATAGACAATTTACAAGAATGGTACATGGCATTCTTCGAGACAAAAGAATTCCACTTCCACCTTGTGCATACCATGTTATTTGAACAACTTTTAATTTAAAAAAAAATGAACACTTTGCAGGGTATGAAAAGGACAATTTGTAAAATAACATAACATTCTATATTATTTTAGGTGTTGTGTGCATGAGCCCAGCTAGTAGGGATTCAGTGAAGTGTTGAATGATTTTAGCCACTCTTGATGTATTGCATCTTCGATTCACACTTATTCTTGTTATACAAAACGTACAAAATTACAATTCCTTTTCTTTTTATTCTTTCTATGCAGTCATTTCATACTTCACTGAATCCCAACTAACTGGGCTCATACCACCAGCTCCTAAAAAAGTGGTTACTTCTGGTTTTTTGGACAGTTAATTATATTTCTATGGCCTTTCATCCAATTCTTGCACACAGTGCATCAAGGTGCTGCCCTCTCATTTCTATGATCAGTGATTTTTTCTTGGGCAGGTGATACTTCAGCTATATCAAACAATAAAGTGAGTCAGTTCCAAAAATATGATTCAAATTAACTCAAAGCAAAAAAATGCCTTTTTGTAAAACTGGCTTAGTTGGGGGGGAAATGTACAGCTGGCATGCTTTGTCTTCTTGCTTTTTTTGAGATAGCTTCACTTTTTGATTGCTTGTCCAATATGAAATTCATTGGCAATGGAGTCATTCGTAAAAGATCACCTTTGGGTTTTCTCAATGTTTCCTCATCAATGAGTGCAGAGCACAACACTTGATATATATCTTCAGCATACCCTGGAGGAGCAATGTGCAAATTATTCAAAATTTTATTTTATAGTAATCATTTCTTATTAAGGCTTTGATTGTTATGGCATTTAACACAAGAAATCAGGCAGTAGGAGAAAGATATTAAATAACCTTACCAAAATCCAGAGCAACTTTTACATTTCTTACAACAGCTTCACCATTTATAAATTTTGGATAATGCACTTTAACCTGGGGAACTCCATTATCCTCTTGATTATCCCGGTCCAAATTGCTTTCGAAGTGAGTTACAACAAGGATATGCCTTCATGAAATATAAAATTGCATTCAATTTCTTGAAAGAGTTTAAATTGGCACAAGGGAATAAAAACTGTAATGATACATAGGTGTTTCATCACACATGTTTCATAGAATACCTGCAGAACATTCCAGGAAAAGAGTAGCTGATCATTCTGATAATACAGGCTCATCACAAGTTGTTTTTTCTATTTGCTCTTGAGGTTCGCTACTTGTACTGGGAATATTTTCTGATTCAACCTCTCTTTTATAATCAGACATCCACTTTCTTTTCATCTAAAATGGCATATATTTATGAAATATACTCTCACACAGATTCCAGGTAAAATGTAGATATGCATATGCATAATTTTTAACGTACTCACCATTCTGCGATCTCTTGTTGTAAGTTCATTGTCATCTTTTCGAGGATAAATGCCTGGGTAAGCAACGATTCCGAATTCGTCTCGAATGAGTCGAGGTGCAAAATTACTTTCTGATTCAGAAAGCGAGTCGAATTGCCGAGAAAACGAATCTTTCGTGAAGTGTTCCGAGCAAACTGCGGAATTCATTTAGGGGAACTACCGTGAAATTGGCACCACATTGGGCACAACATTCAACACAACATTCATCACAACATTCAACACCACATTCAACTAAAATTTGTCATTCAAAATGATAAATCGAAAATCGTCTTTAAAACACGTTTTCCATCAAATAAAATAGTAAAACAATTTTAACTGTTTATTATTATTTTACTGTCCTTAACCATCACAAAATGTATAAAAGTCAAGAAATTGAAGAAAACACTAAGATTTAGGTTTTATTCCTTTCTCTCAATTAGCAAACTTAAAAACTACACGGTAGAATTTTTTAAACTTGGCCAGAATATAGATAATTATATTGCCTAAAATATATCCAAAATCTGGAGAGTGCACAAAAATAAATGATAGAAAACATCTACAAGTCGGATGACACGAATACGCGTAATATAATATTATATAATTAACTTCCTATATCCAGGTATCTTTGCAAACAAAGGCCTCAAATAAAAAACTACACGGTAGAATTTTTAAACTTGGCCATATTGTAGATATTTTTATTGTCTATAACATATCCAAAATCTGAGAGTGCACAAAATATAAAAAGAATAGTATTGCTTGAGAATAAACCGTGAAGTTGGCACCACATTCGACAAACAGCTCTATAGCTAAAAACTACACGGTAGAATTTTAAACTCAAGTATATTATAGAATTTTATATTGTCTAAAATATATCCAAAATTTGGAAAGTGCACAAAAATATAAATGACAGAAAACATCGGCAAAGTTGGATGACTCAAATGCGCGTAATATAATCTTGCATAAATAAGTTAAGAATTCCGGTTCTTTAACAAACAAAGACCTATAAATAAAAACTACACGGTAGAATTTTTTAAACTCAAGTATATTATAGAATTTTATATTGTCTAAAATATATCCAAAATTTGGAAAGTGCACAAAAATATAAATGATAGAAAAACATCGGCAAAGTTGGATGACTCAAATGCGCGTAATATAATCTTGCATAAATAAGTTAAGAATTCCGGTTCTTTAACAAACAAAGACCTATAAATAAAAACTACACAGAATTAAACTTGGCTATACTGTTGATATGTTTATTCTCTATAATATATCCAAAATCTGGAGAGTGCACAAAAATAAGTTGTAGAAAATTTACTAACAAGTCATTTACTTCATTCACTAAATTTTGAAAAATTAAATGAGCAACTAGAACAAATTTTCAAAAAATAACCAGCACTGTTACGTCACTGCATAATTAATTTGGTACTAACAACCAAACAGAGTTTACTATTTTAAACAATTTAGTAAAAAGTGAATTGTACTAATAAATTTTTTGTGCACTCTCCAGATTTTGGATATATTTTATACAATAAGAATATCTACAATATGGCAAAGTTTAAAAAAATTCTACCGTGTAGTTTTTTATTTATAGGTCTTTGTTTGTTAAAGAACCGGAATTGTTAACTTAAATATGCAATGTCATGCACGTTGCATACAAAATCGTTATTTTTACAACGAAGTCGTCAAAGAAAACACTACGTTATTCAACAACAACAACATCTCGAATTCTTTTTATTTTCAACAACAACTCCCCTTCTGTGATAATCCCAAATTTCAATCACGTGAAATGCACGCACGTCACAACAAAGCAAAATAAAACAACTGTTCATCACATGCAAGATTATATTACGCGTATTCGTGTCATCCAATTTGCCGATGATTTTCTAGCATTTATATTTTTGTGCACTTTCCAAATTTTGATATATTTTAGACAATATAAAATTCTATAATATACTTGAGTTTAAAAATTCTACCGTGTAGTTTTTATTTATAGGTCTTTGTTTGTTAAAGAACCGGAATTCTTAACTTATTTATGCAAGATTATATTACATTTGAGTCATCCAACTTTGCCGATGTTTTTCTGTCATTTATATTTTTGTGCACTTTCCAAATTTTATATATTTAGAAAATATAAAATTCTATAATATACTTGAGTTTAAAAATTCTACCGTGTAGTTTTTATTTACAGGCCTTTGTTTGCAAAGATACCTTGATATAGGAAGTTAATTATTAAATATTATATTACGCGTATTCGTGTCATCCGACTTTGCCGATGATTTTCTACAACTTATTTTTGTGCACTCTCCAGATTTTGGATATTATAGAGAATAAACACATCAACAGTATGGCCAAGTTTAAAAATTCTACCGTGTAGTTTTATTTATAGGTCTTTAATTGTTAAAGAATCGGAATTTAACTTATTTATGCAAGATTATATAATATTATATTACGCGTATTCGTGTCATCCGACTTTACCGATGATTTTCTACAACTTATTTTTGTGCACTCTCCAGATTTTGGATATGTTATAGACAATAAAATATCTACAATATGGCCAAGTTTAAAAAATTCTACCGTGTAGTTTTTATTTATAGGCCTTTGTTTGCAAAGTTACCTGGATATGGAAGTTAATTATATAATATTATATTACGTATTCGTGTCATCCGACTTTGCCGATGATTTTCTACAACTTATTTTTGTGCACTCTCCAGATTTTGGTTATATTTTAGAGAATAAACATATCAACAATATGGCCAAGTTTAAAAAATTCTACCGTGTAGTTTTTATTTATAGGCCTTTGTTTGCAAAGATACCTGGATATAGGAAGTTAATTATATAATATTATATTACGCGTATTCGTGTCATCCGACTTTGTAGATGTTTTTCTATCATTTATTTTTGTGCACTCTCCAGATTTTGGATATATTTTAGGCAATATAATTATCTATATTCTGGCCAAGTTTAAAAATTCTACCGTGTAGTTTTAAGTCATACGCTAATTAAGAGAAATGGAAGTACACTGTAATATAAATCTTAGTGTTTTCTTCAATTTCTTGACTTTTATACATTTTTGTGATGGTTAAGACAGTAAAATAATAATAAACAGTTAAGAATTGTTTTTTACTATTTTATTTGATGGAAAACGTGTTTTAAAGACGATTTTTCGATTTATCATTTTGAATGATAAATTTTAGTTGAATGTGGTGTTGAATGTTGTGATGAATGTTGTGTTGAATGTTGTGCCCATTGAGTTCAATAATAACTGGAGCGGCTATCTCAAGCGCGGCCTTAGATATCTGATGACGCCAAAAAAATGGCGGATTTCGTCCTTTGCCGCTGAGATTTACCGAAATTGACCGCTTTTCCGAAAATTTCACAATTTCCCACTCCTGAGGAAAAGTGAGGAAAATGTACGTGTGTATTTGGGATTTGGCAAGCAATTTTTTGATGAAAATCACGTTAAAAACCTACAATTCGTAACAGCGAGTCAACCTAGCTTTCCAGTTATCGGCTCCTACGAGGATGTATTTATAACTATCGACGAAAGAGCTATATGTCGGCTACACATCTATGAATGCAGATATGCGTCGTTTTCTTACCAGCGTCAAACTTGTTTGATCGATTAAACTCTTTAGTCTATACAAAAAAGTATATCATAGTTCATCTCCACGGTTCACGAGAGAAGTTAGCTTATTTGTTATCATTGCTATTTTCTTCTTTTCATGCAATGGGCAATGGCTTTTCGCCACAATTGTAGGATTTTTACTTGTTTCTTTAAAAAAGTACATATAAAATCTCTGGATATTTACGGATTTTCTGTAATTGAGTTTCACATGAAATTTCAAAAAGACTCAAGTCTGCATAGGTTTGGTAAATGAAAACAAACAATATTGTATAGAAATTACTTTAAGTAACCTTTTGTGATGTTCTGAAGTGCAACTGCATCAAATACTTGTAAAGTTGTAGCACATTTTGATATACAGTACAGTAATTTTAAAGGTTTCATCACTGAATCTTTAATGCTTTAGTATAGTGCATTAGATATTAGTAACATTTAAACAACACTCAACTAAAATATTTTGATAAAGATATGACATGATTTAAACATTATGTTATATAAAACCCAATGGCTTATTCAGTTTAATGCTTCACATCTGCATCAAGTCATCATCAATCTCAGTACAAATGTTTACATAGACACAAACTTTATGGCCTTTCCATTTTATATGTTGTGAATTGACATTTAATTAAGCATCAAAAACAAACAACCTTCTTGCCATCTTTTTTTGGTTCATGAACTTTTACTTCAAAGCATTCAAGGCATCATTAGTGAATCCATTGTCTCCATCCATAGAATTTGACCATGATCAAATTAAATAACTATGGATAAGGCAGACAATAAATCAATTATCTTTACAGCATTATCACTTTTTTAAGACTCTGCCTGGTCAATAACATCTTCCAGTCATCTTTACTTCTTGGTCTTCCCTGCATGTTGTCAGCAAATAGAACATAACAAGCTCTGCTCCAAATCATGGGTACTGTTGGGGCTGATCATTTCTTCTTGATACTTTTCACAGAGCAAAATGTGCAGGGTCTTTTTTGCTTTAGGGAAACTATTTTGCAAATAGATAGGTAAATTTTACGATTTCATGCATTAACAAATGACAGAAAAGTATGCAGAATTTTATAGACAAAAACAGGAAAACATCAGTATATTTGGCGTTCAAGTCAGTCTTAAAAATTACGATCTATGGAATGATGATAAATTATGATCAAAAATGTATTTTATGGCTTTTCAAGTGCATGTATAATTGCTTTTCAATCGTTGACGGACTAACAAAACAAACAACTACCTCACCTGTGAGAAGCGATATGTTCCTTTTGTGGAAACTACGACATCCAACAATTGAACGATTGAAGTGTTGGCATTATAAAGAAATGCCAAAAAGATATCGTCACAGAATATGGAACTAACGATATCGTGTTGGTTTTGAAAATTCTTTATAATTTACTATATACACCAGGGGAGGTCGAGAATATTATTTTTCTGCAAAGCGATCATTTCAGCGGAAATACGTCCGTTGGCCGCCATTTTTGGCGACCTCGCCCCAGTAAAGATAGCCGCTCAGTTATTATAGAACTCAATGGTTGTGCCCAATATGGTGCCAATTTCACGTAGTTTTAGGGAGCCACTTATCGCGAGTAGCTTTCACAAAGTTGACCCATCGCTTTCTCCTACGCTTAGCTTCGCTTCTTTCGTCGTTAAAAAATGGTATGCGATGAAGTGAAATGACTTTCTCCGAACTGGCTACGTTAGAACAACCAAAAACTACACATCGATCTGGCATTTTTGTGTTTGTTTACATGCATAAACTGTGTAGTTGTTTTGGCAGTCAGTCTGTGTTCCTTAAATGACGTCACAAGTAAGTCCTGCCACGGCATGGGACTACTTTATATTCGACATTTTTTACAAAACGTTGAAATTCAGGTTTTATTCGCATCTTTGCCGAGAGATAACTCAAAAACGAGAAAAGTTATTCAAATTCTGTAAACGGCATTTGTATTGTTTATCCAAAATCTATTTGAGAATAGAAAACTAAAAATAGTTGTATGTGCATTTTAAGTTTTTGGGCTTAAAACTACGAGGCGTCATGGTAAACAGTTCTCATTTATACGAAGTTGTCAAGTTGAACAAGACTACACGAAGCCAACAAGAATGACGAAATTAAAAATTGTGTTTGTGAAAATCAAAGTAAATTTGGTGCCAGCATCAACTGGTGAAGACGAAAAGTATTGTTAAGTTTTTGTCGTTACCTAAAGACTTCTCATTGATTGCAGATGTACTTGGACGTGTTGATAAACAGTCAAAGTCGTTATCTATGACTACTATACAACAAGAAATGGAACTATGACCGTGGAGAAATTTTTGAAAATGTTCTCACTCGCGTTCAAGACAGCTAAAATGAATAGTTGTTCCAGGGGTTTTTATTGCTAACAAATCATCAAGGGGAAGTCAACCAAAATGTAAAAATTCATATGATCGAAAGCGATGGTGATTTTCTAAGGTGTTGTAGATGATAGAACCAGAAACTGATAATTTTATGGTTATTTTCATTTTAAACATCATTTAAAAATCGTATAACAATGAAAATCGTTTTATAAATATCAGTGTAATTGATTACACAATTACACATGTAATCTAAGATCCGGGCTCTTGTAATCAGACCCTAAGTCTCAACACTACTAAAACTTTCTTAATCTTGATTGGCGTTTTTAGTGTTTGTTTAACTCAATCGTAATAGTTTTAACAGTGATAGCACGTCTTGGCCCTACTTCATCCTCACCCTTCTTACAATTCTCTGACCCAGACCAGGAATTGAATCAAGCATCACCTTGGTGACAGACATTAATTACACCACTTGACCACTCAAGAGTAGATGCATACTAAGAATTTGCTCATTGTATATAATACTGTTAACCTAACTCTTACTCCCACCAACAAAATTCAAGTGCATTTACCTAGTCTATTTGCACATCAACTTAATCAACTCGAACAACCTCCATTGTGTATTGTTCCTAAAGATCAAGTAAGGATCATTTCTCTCTTACATTTTTAGAAATTTCTTGTTTTCCCATCTTGTCCTAATCATGGCGACTAACACCACGATTAGGACAAGATCTAGCCATAAAGCAGACCGTATTTCTAACTAATTAAATCAGAATACATTGAAAAGGGCAGATCACAATTTGTAATTATATTTAGTGTTTTGCTATTCAATCAGGTAGTATTTTTAAACATTCTTAAAAATTAGTAGCATTTTAAAATTTTCTGTAATACTTTTGAAAATTTTAAACCAAAACTGTGAATAGGAAAGACCTTTTGACTTATGAGACAAAACTATCAGCCCTATACTGATTTGCTGAAATAAATAAAGAAGTTTTAACTGACAGGAAATGAGTTTTGTATCATATTTGATATGTAACATATTTTACAGTGCCTATGTTGATACATGACAATCTACAATGCACATTGAAATACATTCTTAATATGAACCCTCAATAAACTTTATACTGCATATTGGCAGTAACAACAGCCTGATTTGTACAAGAAAACATGCTGTATTCCTACTGCATGACTGTATATTTTAAAATTATGTCAAGCACATGCTTTCTTAGTTCATCTTCCTTGAAAGAGAACTTCACAACCATCTTCCTTGCCATATAGAAAACTTCTTTTGACTGATTAGCTTCACAATCCTATTCTTTACCTTAGAAGCCATTTCTTCACAACTGGTAAATCTAGTTTAAACTTCATATCTCTAGCTTAAGCTTCATAACTCAATTTTCAATTCCTACAAAACTGTTTATAATTTATATTCCCTAAACTGTATTATATGCAAAACTTCATTTCCAACACATACATAAACCCTACTCCAAACCACTTTTAACCTAACTACTAATCCTCATGACTGACACAATTCCTAACCTTGATCTTGACTTGTCTTCAGTCTTTCAGCATTTTTATTGAACCTAATGAAATCATGAAATATTTCTTAGCAGGAAAAAATGGAAATCTCTTACACATAGTCAACTATTTGCATGGTTCATTGGAGACAGAATAGATTTGAAGGGTGGTTAAAAATCATTTGGTGATTTGACCTTGCATCACAATGTATGGTAAATTGTCATGGAATAGTTTTAGAATACCCCACCATAAACCTATTAACCTGCATGCCAGACCCGAACCTTTTTCTAATCATAGCTAGCCTGATTATTGTTGGATATCTTTGTGGCAGAGTAATCTAAAAGAGTGCGTAAATACCTACATCGGGTCATTGTATTGACCCAAGACTTTTCCAATGTTAACTCATACGTTTATTGATTTGTGTCTGAATAAATGAATGTTGGCAAACATGTAAATCAACACAAATATTGAGAAGTATTTTCATGAAATGGTCAAGCTTTAAGTTTATCATAAATAACCTGTTAATGTTTATTCCTTATCTTTATCAAACCATACTATTTTAAAGCCTTGTTTGGACAATGGAAGATTCTGCAGTGGCTATTAAAACTCTTCGATAGTCGCCTACATCTTTGCTGAGCTTCAAAATAAATCACTTATTAGGCAAGTAAAACTCGCTGCAAGGCCATAAATCTTATTAAATCGACATAATATACAATATTTTTAATAATAATTTCAGCAACAGCAAGAAACTTTTTTTAAACATGGCGCGGAAGGGTAAAAGCCACTGACCTTACAAAAGACAGTGAGAGAACTGCTGTACCATTGAGTTCTATAAGACCTGGAGGAAACGTCAACCAAATTACTATAAATTATTAGCGTCCAGGCCCCTTTTCCCTCCAGGTCTTATAGAGCTCAATGTGTACACACAGATCATTGAACTAAATATAACTGGAAGGCTACCTTCGCCCGGAAATTTGAAGCCTAAGTCGACAGTATCGTTCCCAGTCTTTCCACGCTTGTGATAAACACGACCAAAACAAAATATGTCAGTGTTTTAGTCATTTTGACAGCGGATTTTGCAAAAACTATGAAAAAAAACTGGAAGTAAATTGCAAAAAATGTAAATTTTCCAGGTCATTTATAGTAAGTTTGATTACGGTAATAGATCAATCAAGCAATCGTGCCTTTTTTGAAAAAAAAAACAAACTTAACAAGCCTCGACAAATGCGATTTTGACATCTTGCAAATTTGCATGGTATTGTTTTAAAAATTTCTTAAAAAACGTTAAACCAATAATGACATTAACATAACAGAACGTTAGCAAAATTATGTTTTAAAGTAATATTTACGAAGAAAAACAAGTATAGCTTCTTCTCACCCCAGTCCTTTTTTTAACGTTAGAGCGTATATTTCCTTGATTTTGCAAACAAAAGTTATTTTTCACTGCATAATTGTCGTCTTTAGGACAAAGATAAGTATTCAGGATTGTTCAGTAAACATGCCACTTACATGTGTGATAATTGGGTGCAGGAACAGGGTTATTTCTCACCACATAGGTGCAGAAACTGTTGCTTTTCACAGGTAAAATTCCAATACATAAGTTGAAAAATGACATCAAACAAAACTGCAATTTGGAAAGATTAAACATGCTTCAACTACAAAATGAAATTTTAATAAAATTCAGTTAAATACTAACATATATAAATTCTATATTTTGACAGTTTAGTCATATACAGTATTTATTTGTTTCAGCTGGTCACAATTGCAATAAAATAATACTTTTCACAGTAAAAGTGTAAAGTAGATATAACTGGTATCATATTGTTAGTACAGGGCTTACAACTTTATTTAACTGGACAAGGATTTGTAGTGAAATTACTGGAAGTATAATATTTAAAATACTAGATCATGAATATTTATATGTATTACAGATTTCCCATGAAAACAAGGCAGCCATAAAATTATGGGAGCATTTTGTTCAACAAGTAAACCATCTTGAAGTACCATGGACAGCAAAAGTGCACATCGATATGCAGTGACCATTTTCAACTAACTGACTACATTGTCCCCCCCTCACAAAATGGCAAATGCCGACTAAAAAAGTATGCCATACCATCCATGTCCAATAGCTTGCATGTTCAAAATGTTTCAACTTCTACAACCCACTCAAACGCACTGCTGAATAGACTCGAGCTTTCAAATAAAAGACCTTTTGCAGCTACCTCTGATTCCGTTGATGAAACTTCTCCACCCAAAAAAATCTCCAAAACATCTACAGAAGAAAAAAGAGATTTGTTTAAAAATAAGCTTCAACAAAAATTGAAACTTGCAACAACAACTGAGACGCACAAAACAAAAGGTTGAAACCATGGGTGAAGTTGTCAAGATTTTAAAAGATAAGTTGGTGATCAATTCAAAAGAGGCAGAAAGTCTTTTGTCCACTTTCAATGATACTCAGTTGGGATTTTATACAATATTAGAGATAATTTAAAATGTCCTCGTTCAGGCAGAAGATACTCTGATGAAATCAAAGAATTTGCACTTACTTTATATTTTATTCTCCAAAAGCTTATAAATATGTTCGATCCATTGTTCCACTACCCAATCCATCTTTGATGAAAAATGGTCTGTCCATGAAATGTGACCCTGGTTTCATTAAAGATGCATTCCAATCACTATCAAATGAAGTTGCTGCTTCCCAAATTCCAGAGACTGCTGTTTGGTTATTGATGCAATGTCAATACGAAAACAAACAATATGGAATCCAGAAGATGACCAGTATTCAGGGTTTGTTAATCTTGGAGATACACTCCTAATCATAAAACAGAGAAATTGGCTTCTGAGGCACTAGTATTTTTATTAGTTGGCACCAGAAGTCATTGGAAATGCCCGTTGGGTACTTTTTGTTGACAAAATCAATGGTAAAGACCAAGCATCATTGGTAATACAATGTCTTGAAAAGGCATCAAAGGCAGGTTTAAAGGTATGGTCTGTAACAGCTGATGGTACTGCTGTAAATCTTCATACATTTGAAAGTCTTGGTTGCAACTTTAACGGTACATATGATGAAATGCGGTCTTCATTTACCCATCCAACTACTGGCGAAGATGTGTTTGTAATTCTTGACCCTTGCCATATGTTAAAGCTTGCACGCAATGCACTGGCCCAACTTGGTTCTTGAAAACATTCACCCACATTACATAATCAGTCACAAGAAACTGCTGCCCAAGACACTGACAATAAAATTAATGCAATGGTGCAACATCTCCAAGAAGGCAACAGCGAATTTATTTCGAACGTTATATTTTATATTGCAGGATACATAGTTTCGAAGTTAGTCAACAATTTATCTTGCCCAGAATGCAAACGATGCCTTTGTCCTTTACCAAAATCGTTATCCGTAGATGACCATGATTATACTGCCACAAAATATCATGAAGCTGGAAAAGCGTCAGCTTTCGTCAACTTCGTGAACAACGGTGGTTTACAGATTCCATCCACAGCGGTGTATCGTTGTATAGAGTTCTACGAACACGTTTTCAAAGCAACGGTGACAGGCAACGACAATCAGCATATTAGTAACAGGGCAAAGTTGAAGAACAGTATGATTATTGCAGTTTGCCAACATTTTAATCTGGAATCGACCTTTCCTCTATTCAGAGATCACGAAGATGGTGTTAACGAGGCTGTTATTGAAGACGATCACAGCACTCAACTGACAAAGCATATCGCAGACAAATATTTCACACTGCGTCTTTTCAACTACGGTAAAAAATATACGAGGGAGATCGTAAATAAAGGCAAAACAAGCGACAGGCACCGACTCAATAAGCTAATCTTGTTTAACAATGAATATATTTAATGTGTAAACACTTTATGAATACAATGAATAAACACTTACCCATTGGGATTTTTACATTTGAAAGTTTTCGCCAATATCCGAGCACAATCCTTTGCCATCGGTAAGCCTTCTGGGTAAAAAATTATTTGGTCGGCAAGAAACTTAAATTTCCTGTATTAATATCAAAAGAAAACGCAGCAAAACTAAATAAATTCAGTAATTTTCCTTTCTAAAGCTTGGCCAAAACATGTAGTTTATTCGTTCAGACTCTTTACTCACTCCTTCCAATCACGCATCGCGAGGCCGAACTCGCGTGATTTGACTACCAGAAACGCGTGTCTGGAGGTCAGATCACGCAAAATTTTGGCTTCATTTCGTGTGTTACCGATATATCAGAAGGTAGCCTTCCAGTTATATTTAATTCGACACAGATCGCCATCAAGGATCTGCGTGTGACTGGAGTGATAGCCAAAACAAATAAGTTACAGAGCAATGATTCTGCCTTAGTGCCACACACTAAAAAACAAAGTTTAGATTGAAATTTAAACAGAAAAATAATTTATTTTGCATTCGTAACTTTTAGCTGTAATATGGAGGATGAAACGACAGATACGGCACCAAGAGAGCGTAAAATTCGTCGCGGCATCGTCCTACTGAGCTCCTTTCAAGTCGGTCTTGGCGCTGTCATAATCGGGATGTCATTTACCGCGTTTGCATCGACTTCTTCTTCAAAAATACGTAGTTCCTCGCCTTATTGGGCAGGATTTATGGTAAGCTTTCATATTACGGGTCCATTGTACTTTTATTATGTTTTCAAACATTGTTATTAATACGTGTATAAACTAACACTGACTCATTGATTAGCATTGACGATATTGGATGTTGCAATTCAAGAATCGGTAAAATTTCCCGTCTTGCTGATCATTTCGATTCCTCCACGTCGAAAGTCATTTAAAATAATTGCGACCTTTCTTTACATATCGTGATTTCTGTTTGGCTTCATCTCTCAATTTCTCAAATGCAATTAATTTGCTCATATGTATACAAAAGCAAATACTGAAAACGTCACGAGTTTTCATTGTAAAGTTTTTATTGATATTTCAAATATGCATCATATACGTGCTGGCCAAAATGGCTTAAAATTACCATTGTGTGCTTAATCTATTACATTTTGTATGACTCATGTTTTAATTTGAAGCAGTCCTAAGTTCAGATTGGCACATTGCCATAATTTTGGTGTAGGCCACATTGTCTTCTTTTGTCATCTGCCTATCATTACATTACTGTCTGCTTGTAATCATTTTATTTATAAGATTCCAGCAGTTTATTAATCAAAAACTTCCTTAGAAGGGACTTGGGATGAGTTAGGCATACTTTAAGATTATTTTGCCATAAAGACTTTCAACAATAATCAGGCTAACTTGGTTATTAATTAGTAATAAGGTTATGATTCGGGTCAGGCATGCTGGTAAGTAAGGATTTGGAGGGGCAGTCTTAAACTATTTCGTAAAATAGATTTAAATAAAACCAACATTAGTTGTTTACATTCACAAGCCAAGGAGGTTGTTTCAAATAGACAAATTACAGGTTATATAATTATATGCCAATAAACAGAACACAGCTCTATTGCACCTGTTGTGTAATGGCACTCCTTGCTGTGAATATTTTAATACATTTTTTTGCCTGCTGCTTGTGTCATGAAACCTTTTTGTTGTCCTCCAGTTTTCATTTAAAATTACTGCAGACATAGGAACATAAATTTCTAAAACATGCATCATTAATTTAGCTTTTCTTCAATCTTTCTAAACTACAGGCTCTTTTTACTGGATCAGTTGGCTTTTTGACTTGGAAGCAGTTATCTATTGTGTCGGTAAGCATGTTTATCTATGTAAGATGGGGAAAAGGACATCTTTCTCCTAAAATTGAGAAAGTTATCATTTTGACTTCTAAGATTAGCCATATGTAAAGTAACAGGTAGCTTCATATAAAATGATATCATAGGCCCATAATGAGAAAATTGCATGGCAATCTTTCTAAGCTATGCATTGGCAAGTCAATATTAAAAACAACTCATGATCAATATATTTTCTGTTGCATTGTAGTAAATTCTATAACCGATGACTTTATCTGTTTTGTGAAACAATAATACGACGTAGTTTCCTGAATGAATGATTGTTTTTGTCTACTTCTATAGATCGGTATATACACATTTTTGTCCACTGCATGCGTGGTCATTTGCCTGGTGGCAACTGTCTTAACTGGGGATGCAGCGACTTTCCTAAAGGCCATCACATATTGCCAGGAAGTTAAATTTGAACATGCATGTCAGTGCTGCATTGGGAACGATACCTGCGACGACCCTAGGTATAAGTTCCCAAGTGTACGGAATTGTGATGCCCTAAACGGTTTTCTCATAGACATAATGTACTGTCTCTGCATTTCGAATGTCTTGTGTTGCCTGATGTGTTTAGTGGTCACGTTGGTCGGTTGTACATTGGGTGCACAATATAGTCGTTATAGCCAGGTAAGACTTATTAACTACGTACTGTACATCGCTATGAAAAAACCTGAACAGTTTAGAAAACGTCGATAAAGTCATCAGCGCGCAAGATTTTCATAAGCTTTTGGTGGAAATAGGTAGTTAGACTTCCATTGGTTTAAATGACGGTAGAATTGTCGCAAAAAAATTTTTGCAATGTGAATTGTGTTACCGAGAAGCACTTTTGAATAGCTTACGCAAGAAAACGATGCAGCTAAAAAGAAATTAGAACACATTGGATAAAAATATGACACATGTTGTTTAAGCTAACAAAGTTCTAGGAAATTTCGCGGGTGCGAATTATTTCAAATTGCGAATTATTAGGAATTTTTCGTCTTTAAATTCCGTCTTGTTATAATCTTCATAAATTATGCGTAAATTTTCAATCGGAATATGAATAATTGATGAAGGTTTTAATGAAAAATGGCGTTTAAAAGAGAAAAACACGAAACAATCCGCAATTTGGATGCCTAGCGTTTATGCACGGTTTGGCCAAATTTCTGGAAGTTCGTAGGCTTGAAAATTGTGTGCCATATTTTAACCCTATGTGTTCCAATTTCTTGTTAGCTTTGTCATTTTATGCACAAGCTATTTTAATAGTGCTTCATGATAACACAATTCTTACTCTAAAAATTGCTCCTTTTGCGACATTTTTTCTGTCATGTGATTCATTGAAGTCCAACTAGCTATTGCATCGAAGGTTCTTGCAGATCTTGCGCGCTGCAAACTTTAGCGATGTTTTCCTATCTGTTCAGTTTTTTTTTATACACCCTGTAGTATAGATAAGTTAAATGTTAGACTTTGGAAATGTTTGAAGACATAATGCGTAATTTTAAATAATTGTATATGCACCATATTGTAATTTAGCTCAGTACGTACGGTAGCTACTTGATGTGTAAAACCCATTTTTACGTTGCTACAACAATATAAGTAAAATGATTTTAATATTGTAAATACTTACGTCCCATTCAGAAAACATATACAGAAGAATAAATCTAATAGTTTCGTCATGGCACTCGATCTGGTTGTCAGTTTTCAAAAGTGTTTCGTCTGCTTTTTTAACTTGACACGCTTTCTTCGTTTAGAATTGTGCTTTTCGATTGGCGCAGTCCCCTCATTCCAATTACGACCATCGTTATGACTGGTCGCCTTTTCTATCGACGCTTCAGACAACTTCCCGCCTTGTGCACCTCCTGTATTGTCCTGCATCCCGAGGTGCGAGTAGCAACAACCGAAATGGACTTCCGAAGCTTTTTGATTCCGTGGATTTTCCACCTCCATATACTTCACGTGAGCCGTCGATTGCAGATCGTCGTGATCTGCTAAACGCCGACTTCAGTATTGGCAATCGCGGCATATCGTGGGAAAGGTTAGGACCTACTGCGTTTCGCTTTTCTTATCAGACTCAGACGGCTACTGTTTCCGATGAAAGCGTTGATTATATTGAACGAACAATTTTTCGAGGACGTGCATCAACATCAGGCTCCAGTGAGGCTGAAGAGAGTTCTCAATTCGGGAGGAACACTGACATGCAAGGTGCGAATGTAGTCAGTCAATCAGTTCGCAACACTTGTGTCAGTGAGACAATCTCTTCTATTTCGACTGAATCGGAGTTGGAGACTACAGGCCTCGAGTCTGCACGCGTTTCCTCGCTTCCTATGACAGGTGTCACTACTGATGCTGTTGTGTCTCATTGCTACGAGCAAATGAGACGCCATTCGTGGGTACAGCTTGTCGAATCTATGCATTCGGAGAGTGCCTTTTGTCTGCATGACGAGAGTTCTCGAGCACACAACACCCCTCTTATTTATCCTTGGATCCGAAACGTGAGTGGAGTCATTGGAACTGTTACCATTGATTCCTACAATGCTGCCTTGTGGACAAAACCACGTGCAAATAGCAGCCCAGTTTGCCCCAAGTCACACGACAAAGCTTGCGATTGACGCACCACTCTGTGATGAAGAGCGTCCGCCAATACAAGGGGAGATCTCGTTATTTTCCCGTATCGATCAAGCTACTTTGACGACTGTTGGGTGTGAAGCGCACGATGATGTCGAGTTGCCAAGAGGTTTTGGTCATGCTAGCACTAATAACGTTCATGTGAAGCCAAGAACGTTCACAAATAGTCCAAATTGTAATTCATTGCAAATCAACTCATCCACAGTCTCTGAGGATGTTTCTCAAGTCGCCCCTGTTGGGAATAACGAATCAAATTCGGCTTTCTCAAGGGAAACTGCGTTGTAGGGTGGCCGTGATGTGCGAAAAGAAAACGTAGTACTCTCGTATGTGTTGTGTGTAACCTCTACGTGATTGCGTGTATTTTAAATTTATAGGGAAGGTGTGCAGAAAGTACTGAGAGAATTTTGAATAACGTTTTTTAATTTAAATCTTATATATATATAGGTTAGGTTAGGTTAGGTTATGTGTTGCGAAATTAAATATAATAAGATTATCTTTTTTTAATGTTTTTGAATCCTTGCTAAGACGTAGATTTCGGAAACTAATGGCTGTATTTGAAAAGCTCACTCAACACTTAAAAATCATGCACGCTCTCTGTGTACTTATTGGCAAAGTAATTTCTTCAGCGATGGCAAGAATTTTGCTAAAATATATGAAATCATGATTTTAGCAAAATACCCTGTTAATACCCTGCATGAAAATAGAAAATTTTCCAACCTTAATCAAGGCTGATTTGGAGATATTTCAGAAATAAGTAATTAAAGCAAACTCGAAGTAATCAGCAAACGGCAATATCCATAAGACCGTTAATAAGGAGATAAGAAGCTTCCTCCATTATATGAGAGAGCTCCATGCCGCAACAAATGGGCAATGAAAAAGGATAAATGGATGACAAAATGGTTTTTCAAATTCCCGATGAACACACAGACTTGACTAATCTTTTCCAAATAGTTTTACAGTCATGACATTGTCAGGATTCCACCATCATTTCTCTTTGACTACGCCACACTCTGCTATTGTCTCATTAGGGCAACAACCTCTCTGAAATTTTTGACCTTTTTGTGACTGTATCATAGAGCATTCTCTGATTGAATTTTAGTCGATAAAAATGGGCTTCACAATGCCGTGCACAAGTCTGCAAAGACCCCGACAAATTCCCTAGCTGGCCAACTACTTTTATCAAGAATTCAGAACTGAGTTGAAGGCTCCTTGAAGTCCATATATCTCCTAGTATTTTTAAATTAAAATATTTGAATATGGACTTCAACATACTTTTCCAAATGTCTACTGATTAATAGCAACAAAGGTCATTAGTCGGCCCTGACTCTTTACGAGGATTGATATCAAAGAGCTTTTTATAGTCGTGATGTCGATAGAAAAGCGCTTCGGATCGGATCATATCGAAGTTAGCATTGACAGAATCAGTCATCAGCATACTTGCTGTGTAGTTGAAGAACGCCATTCGTACCATATATTTACCTTTTTACATGCAAGTACATTGTTTACATCCGAAAGTTCACGGACAATGTAGCTTAATCCGACAGAATGCTGACATTTGTAGTAATTATTCTAAAACAAGTACATCCACATCGGGGATCGGGTTTCATATTATTGGACATTCCAAAATTTCAAACTTTCGATATTGTGTGACGAAAGAATTGTTTCCATTCTCATTTCATGAAATTTTTTGGAACGTTTGAATTTCTTGATAGCCCCTTACTGTCCATATGGTGCGATTTCTCAGATCGATTTGCTGTTTTTAAGTACGTCCATTTCAAAGTTGCGCGAAGGAACTGCTGAAATAGGTTTGCTTGTATCTGAAGTATTTGTTTTAAAGTAAAGGTAAAATTCACACTTAGTTAGCAAGCGTTTTTCATTCAATAAATCCTCATCTCGCTTACTGCGTACAAATTGTACTTCCTAGTTGTCAATTCTTCCTTGGTCTTGTACATTATACCCCATTCATTCTTTGTGAGAGATCGCTAAATCTATGTTGCAATGGAGATTTTAGCAAATATAATTTCTCGGGACTTCGATTAATTCCAACCAGACCACCATTTTAAAGTCAAGGTCGTTTTTTCCAAAGCAATAAACCCCTTTCAGTTGTTCAAAACCAGTTTCAGCCCGACACTGACTTTGTTTTTAATGAGGATTGACACATTTTAAGACCTCAGACGTAAGCGCTTTTGAAAACATTGAGCATGCATGCATCAAAACTGGTTTCTGATCACCAAAGTAAACGTGTCTATGCTCAAATCTATGTGCTCTATGCTTGTGTTGAAGAAAATTACTCATCGTAGGTCAAGCCCCAACACCGATTAACGTATAATCAACAGCAACGAAAAATATACTGCGACATGGGTTTTCGTCAAATTTTCACCGATGAATGTTTTCGCATTTCGGCTCACGGTGTGTTTGCGTTGTAAAATTGCTCTAGGTGAGGACTTGCAGTTATCAAAACGTCATTTTGATTTCCCTTATCAACGAAAATGTCGTATGAAAACCCTACTTACGATAATGAAGAAGGTCTTAAGACATTTGTGAGCATTGAGATGGAACAACCCGGATTGTTTCAGTCAGAGAAGACGAAGAAGCGAGAAGTGCTGTTGCTTTTAGCTGTCTTGGTGTTACTCATTTTAGTGATCACGTTCATAGCTTTATACGCCACGGCAAGAAACCATGCAGATGAGACAGACGGCTATGCAGCTAAACAAGGTAAGTGGCAGAAAGATCTTACATGTGTAAAAGGTTGTTTTCTTTGAAATGTAAACCTAATCATGCGCTGATATTGTATTTCTATCAATGGGGAATGTTGGGGATGACAGTTATTTTATCGCTGGTCAAACTAAACCATTCCAGTGATAATGTGATTTAATTAGCTTGATCGACAGGACAAGTAGGAAACGCGATATAAATGTAGGTTCACGAGAGTGAACTAAGATTCCGATCATACCAGTGAGTGTTGCACATATGAAAAATATGCAACTACATGCACTACAGGCGGAGACATTCCGTTGTGAGTTACAATGATAACTTGCTCTTCGATTCTGGTTAAAAATAGTCGCAAATTTTACGCGTTTTAAATAGTTTATAACAGAAAGTATTGTATATAGTGTGCTTATATTCGGGCCACGTGACGAAGAGCGAGCTGCTTCAATTTAAGCTCTTGTCCCCAAATCCTAGTTTCACGTGCTAGTAAAATATAATATTTTATTATCTTGTTTTATTGCGACATTCCCAAAGATTAATTGAAAGAACGAGTCACTGATCAGTTAATTAGTTGTTTACAGTTCACAATTGGTAAAACTGCCAGACTTGTTTCAAACTTGAAAAGTCTTATTAGACCTTCTTTTGTGGTCTTGGCTTTGACATTCATAACCTCGACCATAGTTTGAAATTTTCCCACAGATGCATATCCCGTTATCTTGTTTTGTCATTAACTTTGTTTGCTCACCTGCTAAATTGTTCTTGATGTAATCAATACGTTTGCAAAAATTTGTGCCATGCAGTGCAAAATTCCGTTTTAACATTAACACAAACTTCATACATATATAGAGCTCATGTATGTGTCTGATGTATTTCGTCTACACACGGGGTGAAGTACTTCTTCCATTCAACATCTAAGAACTTCATATCGATTTGTAAAATAACATTAAAGCATAAATGGTGTTATTGATTTGTTAATAATGTTGCATACATTAACCTTAGGCAAAAACAGCACATAGTTACTACTATAGGCATAAACAATTTCAACACGTACGTTTTTTCATTTGTCTTATATTTTGCAAAAAATGTAAACATGTAGTCAACGTTTGCACTCGCATGCAAGTGTATTAGTCACGTTTGCTTAAGTTGAGCATGTATGAAATACAGCTCACGAATTAAGTCTAACTAAAATTTCAGATTTTCGGATAAAAATTCTGACGTTCGAAGGGAACACTTTTGAGTGAAATCCAATCTAGCTATCAAACTTAATTTAAAGTCGATTTTAAGGCAAATTAGGGGCATTCCTTGCAATAATTTCTGTCACCTGTTTTGTTTATGAATGGCTTAAAGTTAAAAATAGCCCCAAGAAGATTCCTGTTTTCCAATTCGAGAGTGCATTTGCCAACAGTGCAGTGACAAAAAATCAACCATACAAAGATTGTTTAATGTTTCATTTTGAGGTTAGAATAGGTAAAAGGAATTAAAGCTAATAGAAATATGGCCATAGCGAATGCAAGTTATGAAAATCAGCTGATATTGTAGACAGCCAATGCTCGATTAGAACAAACGAGTCAACAAATTCACCAGCTTAACTGCAGAGCGATGGCAGATCGCGTGTGATAGCAAAGAATATACGAGTTGTATAAACTTATGTTACAAGTTCGTAATTGGGTACTCCGATTTCCAAACTTGACACGCCTATTTTAGCACATGCCTGGTAGCTGATATTTGTAGTAACTTCGCGTGTGAACCCTGATTGACTCTCAGGAATAAAGAGTCTTTACAGCACTTCTTCAATCTTTTGTGTTAGTTAAGTAAGGCCACTTACAGCTTGAAGCAAAAGAGAGCTATGCCAGGAGTCGAATGAATGAAACTTGAAAACAATTAGGTCTCGGATGTTGAAGGTTTGATGTGTCATAGCAAATTTGGTAGTTAATTTTGTCACTTTGAGAGATAAAGAGCAGAGTACAAGCAACAAGCTGGCCCATCACCACAAGAGATTGATGCAAATGTCAGCGTGAACTATCACAGATGGGAGCCAATAATTACGTATCGTGACATGAAATTATTTTGCAAAACAAAGACGACGGATTCAAATTATCATTTGATAATTTGACTCGAATTATTTAATCATAATTTCTCTCATCTTGTGAACATTTCCGGCTTCTCGGTCGTGTGTCAACTGCTACAACATTTACAACTCATTATAAATTCTTAATGTAATAGAGCATTCGTGCTCAATTTTGTCAAGCTTTTGATATTCTGTTGTAATTGCTGTTAATTATAACAAACGGACGTAAATTATTCTGAGTTCACTTGTCGTATAATCCAAAGAAACTAATCATGCCAGAGCACAGTGTTAAATACACGAAACCTTTCCAAAACGATCAAGACGAAGGAGACGGCGCTGCAGTCGCCGTAATTGGGTCGAATCACGGCTCTGCTACTCGATCAAGACGCGTTAAATTTGTGGCTTTTGTCGTGGTCATTCTTCTTATTCTGAATGTTATATTCCTTGCCCTCTTTTTAAACGATCGACATCGTTACAACGAGTGCAAGAAAAGTTTGCAAGGTTTGTCAAGAGTTTGTAGGATGCGAATGTGTTTCGTGACGAGCAAGCAGTTAGATTTATTTTTTTTGAATACAAATGTGTCGGTTGGTTGCTCGTCGATTGCTTTAGCCGGAAAATGAAGTCCCACGATTTTGTACTTGTTGTAAGTGGCAGCAATCAATTTTGACGTATTTTAAATTCACCGCCACCGGAGACGATGTCCCATAGTTAAAGCAGCCGTGGCAGTATGATGCTTTTAAATACAGCAAAATAAATTCTGTTTATGTCAATAGTTTGCATATTTTACACGGGCTGTGACCGACAGCCGTTATTATAAAATCATAAATAAACGTGAGTCATTGAAAGAGCCAGTGTATTTAAGAGCACTTGTTAAGCGGTATAAGTGATTTCTGTAGCAATTTGATGTGTTAAATGTTTATATAAAATCGAAGTATTGCATTGATGCTTAAGTGAATTATGTATATTCATACGCCATAGATATTTATAGCTAATGGATCGTTCTAATTTGCCAAGATAATTTGGCGCTTTACTGAAATCGTCTCATCCGAATCGGAGTTATACTAAACGAGTTTCTGTTCAAATATGACGAACATCTATAATCACGCTGCAAAAGTCGGGCTTTCGATATCGAAGATTTTTGCCTGATATGTATAATATATTGCAAACCACCTGCTCGACTACGTACATGGTATTAAGAACGTCGAAAGAATACCAAGTTTGGACCGGTCTCTGCAATTGTTTGCATTTTTGGCAATAATGGTGAAAGAGCTGATTTTTCACAGCGTTCAATTGCTTGATTCAAAACAAAATTTCGCCATGGGAAAATCTAATAACGCCTTGTCCGATTTTGACGAACTGCCAAATTCCTTGGGACAAAGGGCATATAGCTCTTATTGACAAGCTCTTCCTTTTACCGGCAAGGCTTCGTGAAATACATCTTAATAATCTAATTAGTAGCTTGTGGCATGTCTGTTGAGGATTTTTAAGGCGCCAGCTATTTATCTTGCAACAAAACATAGTATGTGGTCCACTTTGCGACCTTCCTAAATACGAACGCTCTTACTCTCAAGGCATTTAAAGGCCATGTGAATTGACTTAAAGTAACCAAAGAATTTTTGTGTTTTGAAGCGGTATTTTTCGATGAAGGACGATGATCAAGATGATCTGTTGTTAGGTGGAGCCAACAAATATCAGTCATCAAAACACTGTATCAGGCAAATGGACATTTGGGCGTGATTGTCACAACTGTCCCCCATTTTTGCACTTGTAAGAAAAATATATCTTCACTGTTATTTAAGGCACAGACTGTGCTGTTTTTCAACGTCTTCCCTTGTCTCGTTAAAGATGTTAGTGTTTTCGCCCTTTCTCTTAGAATTAGTTAAAAAGGATGAGGCGTTATAAAGAGTAAGAGAAAACAGGCCCTTATAAGGAGGACGTATTGATTCGGATTGCCTTGGCAAACATATAAGCAAGTTTATCTATTTGATTTGATCCGTTATCTAATTTTAAGATGATTAAGGTGATACGCCGCTGAGCAATCCATTAGTGGTAAAAATGTTTATATTGAACGTAATTCCATCTCTTTGTCGTTGCAAACTGTGCAAAAGATCCGTCCGTGGATAAAACAGTAGATAAATAGTTTAAAAAATGATACAAAAAACAAGTAGGATAAGAAATATCGAGCCAAAGGTCAACTTGCATGCTGGCTTCATTTCAACTTCCCCTCATAAGGGAGTTCAAAAAAATATCGTATTTAATTGGCTTGAGAGAGTAAAATTTCAATGTCAAATGCTGGTGAAACGATTTCTTTGACTCGAACAGTGTCCAACATCATCTATCATATTTTTTAGAATGGTAATACGATGTCAACGTTTGCACAGTTATGACGTTGTTTGAAGACTATGTTTCTCGTCTGATCAATTCGCCCACGCAATTTAATTAGGACTAAGCGACAATCCTTGACCAGACGACAATTTGTGGTGAAGTCATGAAACAATTTAATAAACATTTGTTTTATTTAAAAACTGAAATATCACAGTTTTGTAATATTACATGTACATCATTTTGTCTGATGATGGTTTTGAAAAACCGAAATGTTGCAGTTTGAATCGTCTTGTTTTTATACTTTAACTTCAGTCAGTTACAAGACGCCCTTTTCGGATTGTATTTTATTTCATACCAAGCATCAAACTTTCGTCTATTGCCCAGTGCGAATGTTGTCAAATGGCTTAAGGATATGCTGAGAATTATTTCTAATACCATATAAACTAAGCTATTCATACAAATTGAAAGATAATTCATTCTGGTTGAGTCAAGTATAATTTTTTCCATGGAAAATCTTTTTCTACGATTTTAGTAATACAGCACATTTATGAGTTCATCAAATGAAAATTAAATATTCAGATTTCTCTTGTTCCTACACTCTCGATTACGTAATAACAAATATGGTATGGTATGTGCCCGTTGCTTTTGGCAATTGATTTGAACATGTATCAATTGTAAGTGACAAGATATCACAATAAGTATGAACCATTCACTCTTTGACTTCTATTTTCTTTTCATTTAGATGGGGTGAAGACAACTCCATCTTCATCTACACACCCTCAGTCTGGCAAGCCTACACAAACTCACACCAATGTTACTTCCACGATTCCTACGCCCACCAAACCAGACTATGGACCCGGTCCTTGGAAGAAGATTCGCCTTCCCTCTTACTTTAAGCCACGTCACTATGACGTTGAGCTGGTCGTAGAGCTGGATAAGCTGATCTTCAGTGGATATGTGGTTGTGACACTCAATCTGACTCAAGAAACACCTTACATGTATTTGCATTCCAATAAACTGAAAATCTCATCTCGATGCATAAAAAAGAACGGTATGTGAGTTTGTACACTACTTAACAATCCAACAGGACCAACACTTGGCATTATATCAGAATAAATTATATGATAAGTACACTACCAGGAGGGCAAAAACATCGTGGAGCTGCACATCTAACATCTAATTCCATTTGTCCTGTTCACTTATTCTTTGTTTCAATTTTAGTTGCTATTTTAACTTTACCAAGAAATTTGGTTTATTTAAAATTAACGTATTATAACTAAAAGGTTTCGTCAATTTTTAGTCCCTTTGCACTCTATTGTCAAAGTCTACGCTCTCATGTAGTATATATAGCTACGCACATTTAAATGAAAACAATGAAACGCTAATTTTAGAGATTCTGTATGAAACATTTGACCCAGCATTCTTGGCTTAGGGTTAGCTGGAGAGAAGTTCTTAAAATAAGACTCTCTTTTCGCTTTGCATTGCAGGCAAGTCGTTAGATCTGAAAAGATATTTCTGGTATTCAACGAACCAATTCTACGTGATGGAGACCAAAGAGAAGCTAGCTCCAGGCGAGTACAAAGTTCGACTGGAGTTTACTGGAATTTTGGCCGATGATCTCGTCGGACTTTACAGGAGTACGTACAAGAATAAGGATAACAAAGAAATGTAAGACGCTTGTTGAAAGTGCCTTTCCCCTGTTTCTCAAGGATACGAAATGGTGTATTTTAAACACTGCATGTATCCAATACGTGTCCCAATCTAATAAACGCCCCCCTTTCTACCTAACAAGATCAAACGCCCCTCATCAATAAATACTTCTTATAAAATTCATAAACGGCCTATATCTTGTATAGAATAATAATTACTATTACTATTCTGAAATTAATAACTGAATTTAAGAATGAACGTTTGAATTAAACGCTCCTCTCTAAAACGCCCTCTCAAAGAATCGCCCTCTCTAGTGATGTAAAATATATAGATACCCGAGGTCAAATCTAAATACGTGAAGTCAAATAAGATATGAGAAGTCAAACATAGATATGTGAAGTCAAATATAGATACGGAAGTCCAATATAGATGCGTGAGGTCAAATATAGATACGTGAAGTCAAATAATATATGAAAGTCAAACATAGATACGTGAAGTCAAATATAGATACGGAAGTCAAATATAGATATGAGAAGTCAAACATAGATGCGTGAGGTCAAATATAGATACGTGAAGTCAAATAATATATGAGAAGTCAAACATAGATAAGTGAAGTCAAACATAGATACGTAAAGTCAAATAGGATATGAGAAGTCAAACATAGATACGTGAAGTCAAATATAGATATGTGAATTAAATTTTAGTGACTTTACTTGCTCTGTTGACACTTCTAAGCTTAAGCTTGCTCTTCTAGAACTATTGCAGCGACTCAATTGCAAGCGACGGATGCTCGTAAAGTGTTTCCCTGTTTTGATGAGCCCGCTTTGAAAGCAACCTTTAACGTGACGCTTGTGCGAGCAAAAGACATGATTTCCTTAACCAACATGCCTAGAATGAGAAGTGAAAATCGTTCTGACACAATGGTCGCCGACTATTACTATAAAACTGTTATCATGCCAACATATCTCTTGGCATTTGTCGTATGTGATTTTGGTTATCTGCATGCTACGGCTGGTAAACAGAACCAAACCTCGGTATGAAAATCTCTGTCAACTATATGCATAACTTTTATAAAAGAATGCGTGCAATGAACGAGCATTTTTCTAGCCTTGTCAAAAAATTTGGGCCAAACTCGTCAAATGGAAAGTCTGTAAATAGTTTATTCGGAAGGAGTTTGTAAGGACGCAATATAATTAATTGAACGTATAAATCGGATTCGAGCTTAAAAAGTTGGTGCATGTTGTCTTACTTGTTCAGAAAATGCCTAAATCCAAATTACTTAACAATTAAATCCGAATAAGGAAGAATTAACAGTATAACGCTTTAAGAGGAGTGGGGCAAAGAGTAGGGTGGATTTGTTTGATCCTGCGTAGAGAAAATGTTCATTTGTCAAAAATGTGTTTTTCAACAAATTAGAACTCATGTAAGTGAAAAAAGGGTATTGGCTGATGAAGGGTTAGAGGTGTCTAATCTTGTAAAGAAAATGTTTTTTTCAGCGTGAGAATTGCAGTTTTTGCATTTAACTTAGTTTGAGCAACGGATCAAATTTAGCATTTCTGTTTCACGTTAACATTTATAATTATGTGGAAACAAACCAAAAAGATAAAAGCTTCGTATGTTATAGCTAGATATATGCATTAACATTGGCTTTCGTGAAAATAGACTGAATTCAAAAATATTGCGTGTATCTTTTAGATGAAGTATTATACGTCGAAAGGTCAAATAGATCAAGCCGAGTTAGCAAGAAGCGTTGGTGGAAAAATACTCGATTATTTCGAAGGCTTTTTTAACATCTCGTATCCCTTACCAAAAGCAGGTAAGTTGTGCTTATCCTATTGGAAGAGTTTAGGAATCTTGAATTGTGTTGGTGTTGTTTTGAATGAGAAAAGTCTCGGGGACACCCGCGTACTTTACAGTGCATCAAATTTTATTATGCACAGGTTTCTCTCTCGTTTTATGGTGTTGTGAGATATGATTGGTAAATAGTTGGTCATAGATGTTAAATTTGGAAAATATGTTGAGCTCAACTTACCCAAGAAACTGGGTTACTCGTTTCTGGGTTACTCGTTTGAATCTTAACAAGTCCCTAAAAACATAATAGTATTTATAGTCCGAGACTCTATAGCATTTGACAAGGTTTTTGCACGACTTTTCTCCTCGAAATATGCATGCAGTGAAAGCCACTACGATGCCAAATTCTTACAGCTTCGTTGAATTCCATTTTCAGACATGATTGCCGTGCCTGACTTTCAGGCCGGTGCAATGGAGAATTGGGGACTTATCTTGTACCGTGAAACTGCGATGTTGTTCAAAGAAGGTCAGTCGTCCGAATCCAATCGAGAAAGGATTGTTCAAGTGATCTCTCACGAGTTGGCACACATGGTAACGTATTCTACGCGATTCAAAATCAATATCTTATACTAAAACATCAGCAAACTGGAGTGCATGTATAATTTTTTTACTATCAAACATCCCTGATGAAGACCAACTTCAGATCACTTCCCATTCTAGAGGGACACAAGTTTCAACATCAGATCACTACTGATGAAGAAACAAGACCGGAGTATATAAGGATTGTAGTTTCAACATCAGATCACTTCTAATGTAGAAACTAGACTGAAATATATAAGCACTCCAGTTTTAGCATCAGATCACTTCTGATGAAGACACTAGACAGGAGTATCCATATAAAGACTCAAGTTTTAACATATCTCATCGCTCTTGATGAAAACGGTAAAGTGGACCATCTAAAAATAATTTTCAAAATTAGACCTCCTAATATTGATTTATAAGAGTGGAAAACGTTTAATTATTTATCGACCATCTCTGTGTCGTAAACAATGTTCTTTTTCTAGTGGTTTGGTAATCTCGTCACTCCATTGTGGTGGGATGATCTATGGTTAAACGAGGGTTTTGCAAGTTTTGTTGAATACATAGGAGTGGACTATATTTATCCAGATTGGAACATGGTAAGATTAGAACTATTGTAGCAATTGATATTTGGAAAATTTTTTGTTTGCAAGTCAAGATAGTTTTTAAGGTAATCTGGTGTTTTAAATAAAACTATCAATTTCTTAAAGTTTTTTTAAAGTTTTGCTTTCAGACGTTAAAAACTGTATTTTCTGCTATGATTTAGTTATTTGCCATCTGTACTCAAACGATAGTCATTACATTTTATTAAAATGTTTGCGAATAGGACTGGAATTTTGACGTTTCATTTTTAAATTACATATGCTAGGAGTATCATTATCTTCTCGTTTTTTCTTTCTCATTCAAGAACGATGCATTCATCAACAACGACATGTTTTACGCGCTTACTTTAGATGCTTTAGTCACGTCGCATCCCATTTTACTACCTGTGAATCATCCAGATGAAATCAACGAAATCTTTGACAGCATAACGTACAACAAAGTATGCTAGCATTACATAACTTAAAATAGCATGACATAACTTAAAATGGCGTTACGTAACTTGGAAATGTAACTCGTCATGTTCTGTTTACCAGTGTCTTTATTGTTATAATGTTGAAACAAGTCTTCTTATTTTCTGTTGACCAGCGGGTCTTTTTGTTGTAATATTAAAACGACTCTCCATGTTTTCTTTATCACTGCCCTTTGTTCTTTGTTGCTGTCATGTTGGAACGTGACGTATGTTCTGGTCTACCAGTGTTTTGAAAAGTTCTTTTTGAAAAGTGCAGCTATCAAAATGTTTCTTTGACTATTGTTTTCTTTTATAACTTACTCTAAAAGTATCACAGATGAAACTGCCAGTATTATATTGAAATGTTTATCTTTCAGGGAGCGTCTGTCATTAGAATGTTAGAATATTTCTTGACACGAAACACCTTTACCAAGGGATTGACTGTGAGTATTTGATGATGATGACGACGTTGCGAATTTTTCTTTGGAATTCATCGCAAGATGTTTTTGAATGAGGAGCTCATCAATTAAGGCAGTTGTGCATTTGCTTGTGAATGCGTTTGTTTGGTTTAATAGTCATTTTTTCATTTGTGCTTATTTCAAGAACTATTTAAACGCCTATGCTTATGGGAACGCACAGACTAAAGATCTATGGAATCATCTCACACAAGTAAGTTGCTATTTTATGTCAATTCTTGGTTATCATTAAATGCACAATGAAAGCGAACCAACATGTGTCTTTGAGCATTAATAAGGAAAACAAATATGTTCGAAAGGTTGTGTCAATACATGCGGTCAAATTTTCCCTGTCTTGACGAGGGTTGTAATAGTCTGCTCACATTAAGGGGTCAAGGAATAATGCAGTAGCTAAAAGAAATGTTGACTGTGGAGGAAATACCAAGGAAAAATTTATGGTACATTAATTTACGAGTCAAGGACAGCTGTATACTTTTGATGATATTATTTTTAGCACGAACAAATATGTTTAAACTTGTTCTAACTCTGGCGATGATACTTGAAAAATGAAACCGAGTCTTTTGGCGGCTTCGTTTAGAATTGGGATTTTGACCAGGTCTTGCTGTGATTGTTTCGGCTTTTAAATATAAATCGAGATCTTTCAGCTAATTTGGAAAGTCCGTGAAAACCGTATGCATGTTTTGCTTTTCCAAAGGTTTTCATTCAAATTTCTCGAATCATTTCAAATTAAAGAAGTTTGATATGGAGTGTCGGCAAACACGCGTTTGTTTTAGTGCAAAAGCTTGTTTTATCACTAGGGGCGCAGAAAATTTATTGGTCTATTGCTACGTAGACTTTGATAGTTGTTGCCTTTAACAGGCATGCAAATCTGAAGGTAAAGACATCGATGTTGCTGAAATCATGGATACCTGGACTCTACAAATGGGATTTCCTGGTTAATGTGAGTGAAGATAATGGCAAGATCGTTTTAACGCAGCAGCGTTTCCTGGACGATCAGATGCAGACCAAAATAACACAAAATTCACTTCAAAATTTGAGTATGTGAGAAAGAAATTTCGCCTAGTACTTAAGATTTTAAAGCGAATTTCTGAAACCTGGGAGTATCGTCGAATGTTTGTAGATAAAGATCGTCCAGGTTAGTTTAGTCTAAAGACTGTTGGTTTTGGAGTTGACTCAACTGACTCTGAAGATTACCATGGCAAAGGTTGAGGAAACGCTATTCAACACCAACACCGTGTCAGTCCTCTAGATTCCACTAACCTGGACTTGTTAGTAAGATTTTGACTTTGAAGAGGAACTTTTCTATGGGTTGCTGAATGTTTCGTTTTATTCATTGATTACCATTTTGTTGATCGTACGAGAACGACGTCCTGCGTAGTTTCAACTCCCTCAAACATATATTATTAATGAGGGCGAAACTGGGCTCGAGAAGGCGTTCTATAGGAAAAGAAAATGACTTTTTGCAAGCATTGACGTGAAGTAAGCTATCCTTTATCTTTATTGCAATTAGAACCTTGCTCATCCGTTGTTTCCAAAAATTCAACTACATCTTTTTCTTTATTAGATATAAATGGAACATTCCGTTTTCGGTGGCAGTAGGCAATGAAAGTGCTAACAAAAAAGTGGAAGTAGCCGGCAGAAAAATCACGTGGATGAACAAAACAGCAGGTGAACATGAAAAAATGGTATAGAATCTATTGTATCCTAAGGTTAGTTTCAGCTCACACCCAGATAAATTTCAATATATCTGGTAAGTTATCTGTCCTTCTTTCTTCTATAATATCAATAATAATTAAAACAATTTAGTTGTGTGTTTCGATATACCATTTCATCACAACTTTACATACACGGAATTGTGGGTTATGTTTTATTCAATTGTTCAAACTTCAAAGTTATGGTAACATAGTATTTAATGCTAGTTTCTTCTGTAGCCGAGGGCTATCTCAATTTAAACAGTTACTATTCAAACTTCATATAGTTAAAACAACGGTGGCTTACGAGCGTTGGGATTCAAGCAATCAATGGATAAAAGGAAATATTGGACAGAAGGGTTTTTATCGCGTAAACTATCCAACCAAAAACTGGGATTTACTGGCCCAGCAGTTGCAGTATAATCATTCGGTTTGTAACAAATATGTTGTTCAGTTTTCAAAAACTATATTTATCAATATTTACCTTTACATAAGCAGCCATAGAATGGATGCAAGTACGACGTCAAAACAAAGTCAACCTAAGCACAATTAGTTATAAATACAATAGGTTTATACAATACAGGAAGTATTATTAAATGTTTTACAGATATGGTTCGTCCAGGTAGTGGAGTACTGAGAAAGATTGTTGGTGTTGATGTTGATTGACGTTTCTACAACCTTAGATGATTACTGCTAAGTTATCGAAACGTCAGTCAACATCAAAACCGATAGTTTTCTTCAGGACTCTACCTAACTTGGACGAAATACATCTACTCACATCTGTACTCAGGTTTGAACCATAGGTTATCGATATAAAAGACCCCAAGCCACACTTTGATGTAAAAATGGTTAAAATGTACAAACAACCAATCTATTTAAAATAACATTGTTATACAGTAGCAAAGCCCGCCCGACTTTTTCCTCCGGTTATGGGAAATATTTCGGTGTCTACTAACTATAAAGTGAATAATGATTACATGCTAATATCGCGAAAATAAATTTTCAGGTTGTTTATATGCTACTGCTATCATGTCGCCCTGTATGTGCCAAAGTCAACTTCTCTGTAATTAGTATAATTATAGTAAGATAGTTTCGAGTGAGATTTTTAAAAAGTGCAGCGAAATAGCTTGCAGTCTTTGAAAAATCCACGAGTGCATATTTAGCGGTAATTACACGAAAAACTATACTATTACTTAATAATTTATTTTGAGATCTTTCGTGACTGCACCGTCTGGCTATGTCTCACTTTGTTACTCTCTATCGCTTCAGAATAGCCTCGTTACGCGACGTATCTGTTAAAAACATTTACCCAAAACAGCAATTGCTGCTTTGTTTCTATTCTTTGCATTCTTTTGTTTTAAAATAATTGCAATTGTGGAAAGCTTTGTTGACTTACAACTGCCCTTCTTTACTTAGGTGTTTTCATTTGGTGACAAAGCTGGTTTGATTCATGATGCATTCGCTTTAGCCAAGTAAGATACACTTCACGTTTTATAGACGATTCATCCGACACATATGTGTCATTTAAACTGTAATTCTGTAGCTCCAAGTATAGGCAATAATTAAAACCTTACAAAATATAGAGTATTTTTTTGTCCTAAGGGATGTAAATATCAAAATATATACTGTTAAAGTTTTTCACTGTTTTCAGAGATTCAAAGGCAAATGTACCGTTTTACGTGTATGACCCAAAAATTAACATTTCCTAAGGCCCTTTTGAGTCACACTTGGTCAATATTGATCATGCAAAGTAGTGAAACTGCATGCATTTCTACATCCAATATTGCTAAATTAAACTGAATTGACTTATTAACATAATAAAACACATCATTACATGTAGTTGTAAAATGTTCCATTGTAGTGCCGGCTTACTAGAGTTCAAATATGCTCTAAATATAACGAGATACCTTAAAGATGAGAGAAACTACATTCCATGGGACGCTGCCATGACCTATTTTACGTCCCTTGCGCGCATCGTGCCAAAGACGGAAAAGGCGTACCAAGGAATAAGGGTGCGCCAATCATCGTGTAGTTCGCAACATTGCTCATAATTTTTGAATTTAATGTCAAAAGATTTCATTTTTCATATTGAGATTTCTTCATTGTAGAAATACCGCTTCAAATTAATAAAATCGAACTTTGAAAGACTTGGCTTTTTTGATAATGGAACTCACTTGGACAAGTAAGGAAAAATATTAAAGATTAACGTTCATATAGACTGGGATTCAAATTCCAACACTTAAGATAGCTAGGTTTCGACATCAGATGAGTGATGATGACAATATTAGAGTTGAATGTAGCTATGAAGCATGAATGCGAGAAATAAAGATGCCGTTTGAAGTAGGACGATTATCTTAGGTACCTGCGAATTGAAGGTGTATATGCTGCATGCTTGGCACGTGACGAAGTCTGTTTGAAAAAGACTAAGGAGCTATTCGATAAATGGATCAACAATGAATCTTAGTAAGTTGATTTTTAGGTTTGCGAGAAATTAACTTAATTTAAATGGTGTTTTTCGCCTTAAATTTTGTATTGTACACAAAATCTCGCATAAATTATGGACGAAACATTTTGATGGAATTACAAATATAACTGGGCATGAAAATGAGCAAATAGCGATAGTAATGAACATCGCATAAGCTCAAACAGTAAGATAATACAGTCATGCAGACATGAAGTATCATTGACAACAAGACAAATGAGGACGTAAATAACACAAGAGAAGAAAAGTGACGACATGAATGACATAAAAATAGGAACAAGACAAGTGTAGATATGAATGACATATGAATAAGAACAAGACAATTGAAGACATGAATGACGTAACAATGATAGCAAGACAAGTAAAGACATGATCTATGGGGGTTTACGAACAAGAAATGTTAGAACATTAAACATGAATCACTTATTGACACAAAGATATCACTAAACATTGCTAGTATATAGTATTCAGTGGTTCATGAACTTAGTAAAGACAATTTACGTTTTGCAGTCCACTGCCACCTGACTTAAGATTCCTGGTGTATTTCTATGGAATGTCTCAGAGTGGCGAAAAGGAATGGGACAAAACGTTTGAACGACTTCTGAAAACAAACGTTGCGTCAGAACGAATTAAGCTGATGTATGGACTAGCAGGCATAGCAGAACCTTGGATTCTTAACAGGTATTTAAGTTGCAGGATAAACACATGTATCGAATGGATTCACTTTCGATTACGATGTGAAAGCTGGTTTAAAAGTGTTCATTGTTTCGGTCTTTGTTTTTAGGGATGTCCTTCATTGTTTATTTGTAGAGATTCCTGTTGTAGAGAGGTGTTTTATGTACGTAACGTTCATGTCTTCACTTCTCTTTTTCTTATTCTTGTCATTCATGTCCTCAGTTGTCTTGTTCTTATTCTTATGTCATTCATGTCTTCACTTGTCTTGTTCTTATTCTTATGCCATTAATGTCTTCACTTGTTTTGTTCTTATTCTTATGCCATTAATGTCTTCACTTGTCTTGTTCTTATTCTTATGTCATTCATGTCTTCACTTGTCTTGTTCTTATTCTGCCATTAATGTCTTCACTTGTTTGTTCTTATTCTTATGTCATTCATGTCTTCCTTTTCATTGTTCTTATTCTTATGTCATTAATGTCTTCACTTTGTCTTGTTCTTATTCTTATGTTATTCATGTCTTCCATTTGTCTTGTTCTTATTCTTGTGTCATTCATGTCTTCACTTGTCTTGTTCTTATTCTTGTGTCATTCATGTCTTCACTTGTCTTGTTCTTATTCTTATGTCTTCACTTGTCTTGTTCTTATTTTTATGTCATTCATGTCTTCACTTGTCTTGTTCTTATTCTTATGTGATTAATGTCTTCACTTGTCTTGTTCTTATTCTTGTGTCATTAATATCTTCACTTGTTTTGTTCTTATTCTTATGTCATTCATGTCTTCACTTGTCTTGTTCTTATTCTATTGAAATTTATGTCTTCATTTGTCCTGTTCTTATTCTTACGTCATTCATGTCTTCACTTGTCTTGTTCTTATTTTATGTCATTCATGTCTTCACTTGTCTTGTGCTTATTTTATGTCATTCATGTCTTCACTTGTCTTGTTCTTATTCATATGTCATTCATGTCTTCACTTGTCTTGTTTTATTTTTATGTCATTCATGTCTTCACTTGTCTTGTTCTTATTCATATGTCGTTCATGTCTTCACTTGTTTTGTGCTTATTCTTGTGTCATTAATTTCTTCACTTGTCTTATTCTTGTTCTTGTGTCATATCTTCACTTGTCTTGTTCTTATTCAAATGTCATTTATCATTTTACTTGTCTTGTTTTTATGGTTGTTCAGACAACCTTGTTGTGTTGTATCCTTTGTTTAGAAAAGACATTTAACAAAATTTCCGTTGTTTACTGAGTTTTCAAAATACAGAAATGCGTATAAGGATATTTTCTTTGTTTAGGATATCTGTTAATAAGTGTGCGTGTTTGTGGACTTTTCCATTGTTCATGGAGCTCTTTATCGGAGATTCAATATTTATGCAAATTCCATTCTTATGATTCTTACGTTAGATATCTACAGTATTCATTTCTTGAAAACAAAATCAAGTCGCAAGACTCAAGTTACGTCATCAGCTATGTTGCAAACGCCAATCCCATTGGACGACAATTTGCATGGAATTTCCTCAAGGAGAGCTGGTCGACAATTTTGAAAAAGTAATTCTTGATTCTACTTTTACTTTTTGTGTTTGTTGCCTACTGCAAATTGCGGTTGTTGTCAAACAGTAAATATTTTCAGAAGACTATACGCAGATAATTCGATTTTTAATGATGGAGTTTTACAAAGGATTTTATAGAGGACTTTATCATTCAAACGCGATTTGATTTTAGCATATGACCTATATAGCCAAATTTTCGTTGTTTTGTTTCACCAAAAGTAAAACAGTGACTTAACACCCATAAAAATCATAAGCTGTCAGATGATGAATGTTTGTAGCAACTTGTAAACTGCTTCTATTTAAAAGAATGAGTCCATTCTGCTTTAAATTTTAGATACGGCAGTGCTTTTGGTTTTGCAAGCAGTACTTTCGTGAATAGCGTTGCAAGGTTTTTTAGCACCAAGTGGGAACTAGAAGAGGTAAGATAAGATCTGTCGTTTACTTCGCCAAGATTCGGTAACGTTAGTTCGTACTTCGTTCATTTAAACATGGGGATATATTTCTAAGTGTTCAATTCTTCCTTGCTATTAGGAACAAAAAAGGAATAAAACGACCTGCATAGCTGTCTTTAAAGATGGCGTCAAAGCTATCGTTTAAGATACATTACATTTCACTGATTTATCCTCTCACCAACACCGTTCTAGCTTGAAAAGAATTCATGAATTTTATGCAACCGCAAGCTTTACTGAGGGTTTTTCAATTTGGAAGCTTTTGTTTGCGAGTTCGTTTCGAGTTTTAATTTCGCGCATTTCAGGTCGAGAAACTTTTCAAGAAATATCCGGAGTCCGGTTCCGCCACCCGAACTCGTGATCAAATCTTGGAAACAATTCGCTCTAATATCCAATGGCGGAAGAAGAATGAAAAGCAAATTGAGGAATGGTTGTCATCATTTGGTTTGGCATAAGAAATATCCTTCTTGTTTGCTACGAACAACGATAACGGTCGTTTTATTTGCTCGTGAATATTTAGTTAGGAGTATTTGGCCGTTAATTCTTTCTCTATTTGGCCAGTCAATCTTGCTTGATATCCTATCGATCATTGGGCAAAATAAATTAAAACAGCTCATTCTTGGTTATCCTAACATTTCAATAAATCTAAAATTTGTTTGATTTATTTTTAAATGTTCGTAATCGTCATCGTGTTGTCATAAGGTATTTTTATTTTAAAATTGAGCTGCTATTATTTATTTTGTCAGCAGCGCTCATATTCGATTAGATTAAGATTACATTCTTCATATTTCCAATAGGTCACCAAAGGAATTATTGTTTTAGCTCTTTTCGTAACCTACTAACTTCACCAGTGATTGAAATTCAGTCCTGAAAGTTTGAGAGAAAGAGCGAGGAGGGAGGAGAGAAAAGGGGAGGAGGGAGCGTCGCATTAGACATTTTTTGATTTCTTAAAAACTTTGAATACTTTTGTAATGTTAGAGAATTCCTTGGCAATGCTAAAAAATTCCTCGATTTTCGACATATTTCCATGAATTGTTTAATTTACATGTTTTTAAGCATTAACTGAAATTTAGGATTGATGGTAACTTTCCAGTCTGTTCTAGAGTAAATATCACAAAAGTAGGTACATGACAAGAAAATAGCTTAAACACAATCAGGTTTTACTAGTGAATTTCCCGGTATAATTGTCTCATGCTACTAGCCTCATGCCCACGAGACTTCCGCCTCTGAAATTTAACAGTACGCAGACATTGTTCATACTGCACCATGTACGACGTGTTTACATTAATATTGTTTGTTAGTTTTACTGGATAACACTTGTTTGCAAGCAACGAATCGCGTTTGATGTCTGTTCAATGTCACGGGATGTCAATTTATGCTCGGCTGCCTCTCTTGTTTATACGCTTTTTAAGCATTCGCATGCTATGATACGTTATGTTATTGCCCGTGTAAAAAGAAAGATATGTATAGAGAGAGTAACTGTATGACATAATCACCACACAAGACCCTTTCTGACGATTCAGATATTTTGCAGTGCAGTACAATGGCGACTTCTGTTTTTGCTCATAATTACAATATTTTTGATAAAAATGGATCATTTTTATGAAAGTCAGTCGTTTTCCTAAAACTGCAACGGTTTTCTTTTCAACAATAATGTTTGCGTGCTTACGGTGTTTGACCAAACGACAATTTTATAAAGCATTTAAAAAAATTATTGGTGAGGTTGAGCATGATATCAAGAATTATTCAGACCGATGTCATTGTTATCTGCCGAAGCGAAGCTGAGGCGGATAACGACTGAGTCAATAATCTTGATATCATCAAAAACATTCATTAATGTTTTATTATCAAAGTATATCAAAACATATCAATATAAATTTTTCAAACCTACGCTAATTTGTTTGTGACGGTTTATTCAAGTTCGTCTCGTTTGGTGACATGAAGTGAATGTGTTCAATATTTTCAGTCATACAATATCGACCACCTCATCTAGTTGGTTTTCTTGCCTCCATTGTACCGCAATATTATGAGAAGCATGCAAACAAATTGACGTCACACTGTTCAAGTTACGCAATATTGGCCGCGTGTAAACGGGACAAACAGATTACATTTTACAACTGAATTTAAGCTAAAAATACAGTCGAAAACAAATTTTAGAGACTTTTACTTTTACAGACGATAAATTTCGATAATTTTTGCCAAAATTGATGTCGAAAGCAATTTGCTTCATGTCACCTTGAAGCCGTGTGACGTCAATTTGTTTGCACTTTAATAGCTGTTTGCATGCTTCTCATAATATTGCGGTATAATGGAGGCAAGAAAACCAACTAGACAAGGTGCTCGATTATGTATGACTAAAAATATTGAAAACTAAAATTCACTTCATGTCACCTTTAAATATGTTGCAAATGTGTTCAAAGCCAGCCTCGCCGCTTTTTTACTGTTTTCCGCATCCTTTTCCTTCAAAAGCTTTCACATCGTTTTAGAATCTGTGGCAAACATCGCTGTTGTTTGATTTGTTTTCAAAACCAGCTCTTAATGGCGTCCATATTTGTAGAAACTATTATCTGTAGATTATGACGTCATAACCATAGATTTAATTTTCTTATTTTCATAGAAAAAATCAAATGAGATGAAAAAGAACACATATCATGCATTATTTTAAAGCGATTGATATTATTTTGTTGACATACGATGCCCTATATTTTACCTACCTTTCTCTGAAACACGTTTTCAGGCATATTTTGCCGTCATGTATGCTTTTCGTCAAGTCTTGCAGGCATTCGTTGATTCTTGTACATTTTCATGATTATTTATGTGTCCCAGTTTCGTCAAGTTTGGACGCAGTGCGGTTTCTTTTATTTTAGATATTTTGTATGCGGACATTCTTTCAAGATTTCCGCCATTGCAAAGTGTCGTCGCTTCTCTGCTCGATAAATCACGCTTCTCGGATTCTCGGACTTCATATGTATTTGGATTGTAGTAACGCTCTAAAATATATTGTAGTTATGTCCCAATCGAAAAAGTGAAAAGATTAATAGTGATAGTAAGGGAAAAACCTTCCTACGCACATTCAGAATCGAAATTCACAACACAACATTAAAAACAACATGTACGTCGCGTGATCTTCGAGAAATACTCGCGTGAGTAAAAGACGGAACGACATGTATTTCAAAGGTCTGATCTCTTCAGTGCTGCCACTCGTAGGAAATCCCTACAGTAGGAAGATTTAGTGGTTTGTAGGCAGTAGGGGAAACCTACGGGAAAACAGTAAATTGTGGGGATTGTAGGAAGAAAAGAAAATTGTTTAAAAATGAGCTTCATTTTTGCCCAAAATACTCTTTTCTTCCTGTGTTCTCACCATTTAGCAAGTGATTGTAACAGAATCTTTCTTTTGGCACATTTTGTGACAGTATAATGCAATAGAAGATCAGCAACTTAGCATAAATCCAGTGTGTCATTTGGGCCACCTGCATGTCATTACTTCCTACGCCAAATTACTAACTTTGTCGTCTAGATGTTCTTAGTTTTCGATAAACCTTTTTTGTATGCATTTTTTAAAAACAGACAAAAAAATCAATGGTCCGACCGGACGTAGGTATATAATAGGGGGATGTGTTGCTGTGTAGGGGAAAAGTAGGGGAAAACAAGGAAAATTATCGTAGTGGGAGGTAGGGGGAAAATAAAGTTTTGGTAAGTGAAATGTGCATACACAGAGTGGCATCATTGGTTCTCTTGCTTCAAAAAATTAACACATAAACGTTTGTGGGTGTTAAACATTTTTAAAACTTCGCTTGTTTAGTTTATATCCATCATATTTTATGTGTGATAAACATTGAACATTTTGCAACATTTGCTTTGATTTACATTGGCATGAAAGCAGACGCTTCGTGAAAATGCATCCCCTGTAAAGTAGCTCACCATTATCTGCCATTATTCGTGACATTTTTTAGTGTGTTTTGAACCGAATCCCAAATGTGCTATGTGAGGTTTTTCCCTACTGTTATCACTAATCTTTTCTCTTTTCAATTGAGACTTAACTACAATGTATTGCTTCCTAACTTGACGAAACTGGGACAAAATGTTATTTTGTCGTCAATAATCATGAAAATGTACAAGAATTAACAAATTCTTGCAAGACTCGACAAAAAGCATGCAGACGGCAAAATATGGCGGAAAAGTGTTTTGGAGGTTAAGTTAAAAATTAAAGTGCATTCGTATATGTCAACAAAATAGTGTCCATCGCTTTCAAATAATTCATGATAAGTGCTGTTTTTGTTCTCATGTGATTCTATGAACATCAGAAAATTCAATCTCTGCCAAGAATATTGTTAATTTATGCAAAATTGAGATTTGATCAGAGATGGTGCATGGTAATTTTCTTAGTAAATAATGATACTATTCAAATTTTTCCCTCCTATGATCACCCCTAAAATGAATCTTTAAACACGTAAAGCATTTAAAATGCTATTTCTTTTGTTTTGAAGTCAGAACTATTTCGCACAGCCATTTAGGGGCGTCTCGGTATCCGAACTTTCGTCGTTCCTGATTAAGCAAGTGGCACACGTTCCTACAAAGTCTCATAACGGTCGTCCTTGACTACATATAGAGCTGTTCGTTTGATATTGGCGATAATGCATGCTAGTTACTACAATTAAAGCTTATATTACTAGCTATAATGAAGACAATAACAACGACCGTGAATTTTAAAGTTTACAAAGCATACCAAAAAAACGACGATAAAAAATGCAAACACTCTTGGTGAGAAGTTTGTGTCATGTAGACACTTTAGTACACCTCAAATTCACGTAGCTAAACACAATGAATAACTTCGTGAGGTTTTCGACAATAAAGTAATTTAGAAAACTCGACATTTCTTCCTCAAATTTTCGTAAGGAATTTGAGTCTAGGACATCATCACGTCCTTAAAAAATATGTGTCAAGTGTCAACCATGGTGAAATGTCCGTTAATCACAGCGTGACGGCCAGCTTATAGGTAAAGAAAATGGCGGATTTTGTTATCATAGTCCATTAAATTAGACAAACAATGATGAGTAATGTAAAATAGAGTTTTCAATCAATATTGCTAACATCTCATATAAATTAAACTATGTAGGGTTGAAATTGAATTCAGGGTGCAACAATATCAAAAAATGATGTAAACATAAACAAAAACGTCTATAGGTTGACACATTCTTTAACCCTTCATATTGTTGCAAATTATGTTAAAGATGTGTTGGGTTCAAGTGTACATTCAGGTACGTCGGGGACGATAAGGAATAATACAGAAAACATGGGTGGAGCGGAAGTAGAAAGGAGAGAACGGAAGTGAGAATGGCGAAATAAGCGAGATACCTTTGAGAGTGAGAATAAAAATTGTTTAACAAACCCAAAGTTGTGATTGTGATTATTCTTCGTGTTCCAAAGACATTGGGACGGAGGTCAATTTTCGGAATAATATCGCAAATGTTTTCTTCAATCGAGTTTTCTTTCTTCGCGCTATTGTTGCAAATTGGCCACTGTGCTAAAAAGGGTTAAGCATTTGTGATTTACCTGACCTCATTGGCTGACCTTAGGATGTCGTCAAAGAATAATATGAACAATTAAGTTTCTGGAATCCGTTATATAGCTTGACAACACACTTTGATTGGGCGAGTTTTCTACCTTTTTTTAGATTTAGATAGATTCGGGAAGGAGGAAAGAATGCTCTAAAGATTAGGGATATATAATGTTTCGAAAGTCAAAGCTTAAAGGCAACTGTCTCATTTCGAAACTCAAATTTGGCGAATATGATTTCGACGTGTCTGCAGCAAAAAATGATATCAAATTGGTAAAAGGTGAGGCTTGTTTCCGCGAAAACTTAACTCTTGCTTACTTTTACTATTTATTTCGTACAGATGGTTTTATTATTGGTATGCCGTTAACCAGTCGAACAAATTTATCAAACTGGAAATTTGATAGGTTTGATTTGAAGAACAGAATGCTCTACAAAAAATTAAATGTTTTTTCCTTGATCAAATAT